TTCGTGGGACTCCAAAGTGGCCGCATCGAAGCTAGATTTCTCAGGACCTATGCGAAACGATGGAATAGCCCACGCAGGAAGTACAGAGATAAGAAAATAATGGTATGGAAGTAAATTTCTAAGAGTTTCTGACGCGATTACAGAAGCGTTGCTGTGACACGGCAACGCCCAAAACTCAACAAAGAATGATTGCACACATGATACATCGCAGAGGCTTTGAAATGGGTGATAACGACGTCAACTAGGACAAAACCCCTTGCAGCGATTCGAAGGGACGGGGAAATAAATGCAGATTTCAGCAACTTGGGCGGCGGTTGAGGCCAGTTGCTGGGTGAATCACACACAAACAAGGGATGGTCTCACCTGCAAAGGGGATAACGCGTAGTTTGAGAGAGCGAAGATAGACACAGACGAAGGATTGAGACAGCAGTTAGAGTTCTGGGGCTGGTTGATGGTGGTTGAGGCGAGATAGGGGTTGTTGTGGTGCGAGACAGGATGGGGAAAGGTTGGTTGTTGGGAGATGTGGGATATTTGAAGGGGTCGAGGTGGAAGGGTGAAGAGAGCAGAAGAAATTGGGCGGGTTTGGACCAGTACAGGGCAGAATGGAAAGTTTGGGATCAGGTGCTGCCAGGAGTAGTCAGCAACAAACCAAACCGACGAACGACAACAAGTTACCTGCAACAACTCGGCAGCTTTTTAACTATTATTTACTTCTTCTCGCTTTATTCTTTTAATTATATATGAGAGAGTCAAATTATGCTGTCGTACTGCTCTACCCTAATCCCTGGATGGAGCTGGAAATATTTCAGAAATTCTATCCCTGCGTCATTGTCAAAGCACTTCTTTTACCTGTCTACATATATCCTTATATGGCTACATCTCCCAGTAATTTCACACCATTATATCTTTTACTTCAGCCCTAGGAAGAAGAAAGCCATCCAACCATCTGCAAAGAGCCGAATGGCGCATCGACTTTGAGAGAGCTTTGAAACAATCCCACCACACGACAGCTTTTCAACGCTAAAGAAGCGCTGTGCAGGACAAGGCGTAATTTCTTTTCACTCAGACTTGCGCTTCCAATTTCTGGCCTACTGCCGGACTAGGCGATAACATTTCCGTTGTCATTCGTATATACAGTGGCTGCCAGCATTCGTTTTTGCCCTGACGGTCGTCAGCTTGACTAGGCTGTGATTCAGGGGGGGAAGAAGGGGGCTGCTGCAGTATCATACTCATCGCTATCATTCGTAAAAGGTGGGTAGATATTATTATATTAATTATCGATTCTCGGGTCCTGTCTCCGTTCTTGGTGGAAAAGGTCGAGTAAATATTTCGTCCTTTCCACAAGCTTCTCTTCGCCCCTCACTCCGCTTGCTTCGACTTCAATACAATAACAATACCGATAGAGTAAGACTTGTTCTGGTTGGATCCAGTGTATCAGCAGAGCTGATGAATGAGCATCAATTACCAACAGTTAATAGGGAGAAAAACCACTAGATATTCGTGCTGAAACGTCTTTGATGATAAACAAATGAAAATAAGACGAAATACCTCCACTCAAGATATATTTAAGAACAATCAGGAATAATAACCAACCTCGAGAAGAAACCTAACAAAAGAATATCCATGTTCTTTCTCAGTCGCCATTCTCTACGATATAACATAGCTGCCTAATAAATAGCTGGCCTCTATTTCCATTCACAGCCATAATCAATCAGCCAAATGTGAAACTGTAGTGCTCTTTTACACTGCAATATCATTGCAGCGATGTATACTCTTCGCTACGCTCGCATTGTGTACCTTTTACTGTTTTTCGTCCCGACTTGACTCTCTTCCAAGGAAGTTGACGGGTGGCAACCCCAAAGAAACCGGAGTCATCCGACGTCATTCCACTGACTGTGGTTAGCTAAGTAGTTTAACTAGCTACGCCCGCTGAGTCAGCAATGAAGCTACTCCGGCCCGAATCCGGCTAGCCTCATTGTGGTTTCCACAGCCCGCCAGTCCAAACTAACTTTCCATCCACCAAAACCTCCAAACCTCCAAAACCACTTATCCCAAAACAACCCCATTAAACCTATAGGTAGAAGTACGAAATCCCTGCCATTGCTCTTGACCATATTATATCTAACGAATAAGCTGGCAGATCTCACCCCCTCCCCCCTCCCCCAACCCGCCACAGCTGATCACTCTAAGCTCATCCCTCTACCTCTCAAATAGCCTTTATATATCTCTCCATCTCCTCCCTTCGCTCCCACACGCACACCAGAACCTATCCGATATGTTGCGTCAATCCTCCCGATCTTTCCTCCGCGCTACCCAGCTGCCTATCTCCCGCTCTTTCTCCATCGCTGCTGCAAGAATGAGTGAAGGTGACGTAGGCGCTCCGAGATCTACTGGGAAAATGACCACTGGGTACGTGCTCGGTTCTTTCTAGACATCCATTTCTCTTATATATTTAAAGCTCTATGTTTCTCAGTAGCTATTGTACAGAAGCAGTGGATGATGTTTTCCCCTGAGAAAAGATAAATACAATACTGATTATATATTCCTTGTATCAAAACAGCAATTCATGGTCCAAGAAGGAAGCTGCCGATGAAGCCATTTTCATTAAGCAACGGGAGATGGAAAAGTGCGTTTTCATAACATCCCCCAATATCTGAAAGGGGAATGGGAAAAAAGATAATCGAGGGAACCCAGACTTCAAGTGACTTGAATACGAGGGAGAAATATTGTGAATGGGAGAATACTTATTCATCTGTATCACAATAGGCTGCAAAATCTAAGAGAAAAGCTGAAGCAACAGCGCAAGCATCTCGATGAGCTCGATGCTCACATGTACGTGCTTATACCCCTTCCCCCTGTCCCCATCTTTCCTTTGGACTGTAGGCAGAATCCCTTTCTATATCCAATTATACTAACGAACTTTTGATCCCTCAATGCAGTGAGCAACTCACCAAGGAACACGGTGGGGAGAATAACTAAAATCTTCATCCTCCAAAGTCAACGAGAGGTGGTTACGAACGAGAGGATGCCGCCGGGGGAGTGGGGTTGGTGCCATGGAATTAGTTGTAAAAGGAATGCCGAATCATTGATCGCATTTTGCTGCTAACTACTACTCCTTCTCCTCATCGATTATCACCAAGTTGCATCTCCCCTCCACAATTCAAATACTCGCACAGCCCCGGAAAGTCTTCACTCTTTACTTACAGCAATCAGCTGGTATGTGAACGCATAGTTTGAAATATATCTCTGTATATAAATAGTTCCTTATTATTTCCCCCCCCCTTTCCACCTATGGTGGTAAACTAGCTGTTTCTGATCTCCCCCTTATTTTCTTTTCCCTTGTATCTGTCTATCTTGCCATTGCATTGTGTTACGGTACGATGAACCAGAAGAGAGTTAGAGAAGAGAAATACGCCTTGAAAACTTATGTTTTACGTTTTCAGGTGATATCGTATCAGAAAATCAAAATGAAAAAAGGGAAAATCTTCCTTCTACTTTTTGCCTTCTTTCTTTCGCTGATTGATATCATGCACGAGATATCAAGGACGTCTGTGCATGGGGAGCGTTTGACACCTGCTTGGCATCGGAAGCCGTAAAAAAAATCCCACGAAAAGGCTATAATTATGCATTGCACTTGGAATCTAATGGTAGACGTTAGAGTCATAGTGAAGTGTCATATCATCAAATCCTGATTTTCCTTTGCCGCCCTATCTTGTCAAGGAAGTGAAAAAAGTGGGTGAGTGACAGGAGATGAGCGGGAGGGAGAAGTCAATCAGGGAGGTTCAAGACGGTCAATTTTTTAAGGGTTGGGAGAAGTGTTGAGCGGCAAAGCATAGATTTAACCAGTGGGGATTTTGAAGACAAGGAAAAGAATTGAAAAGGATTAAAAAATTGAAAGAAATTAGGGGAAAAGAATATGAAATTAACTAGGAATGTATATCGATGGTATTTTCTTTTGTAAAGAGAAGAAGATAATAATATATTTTGCTCACTTTTCTATTTCTATTTTCTCCTTTTTTTTGTGGTTTCGACCGTTCATACATTCTAGGAGGAAAACCAGTCATAAGGAATATGAAGGACTCCTTACCTCTTCATTTTCTTGTTCATTTTTATTTTTAAAAAAAAAGAACAAATAAATAAATAAATAAAAATAAAAAGATACCACAAATGATATAGAGATAGAAAATAGAAGAAAAGAGATCCCTCACCAATTTTTTTAAATGGAAACTCCACCAATCACGCCTGGCGCTTTTCCCCCCCTTTCTGATAAGGTATAAAACACGTTGGAAGGAAACGAAAAATGATAAATTTCAACGCCTCTCTGCTCAATAGCCAATTACTAGGGAAAACGATGGGAGAGAAAGAAAAATGACAATCATTTGCAAGAGAAGGAAAACAACAAAAAAAAGCCCCACAAAATAATTGTCTCCAGAGATAAAATCATGCTAAGTGAGATGAAGATTAGAGGTGTGTTTGGGAGTAGAAGGGAGGAGAGGAAGGTTTAAAAGTATATCGCACACCGCATTTAGTAGTAGTAGTAGTAGTAGTAGAAGAAGTGGAAGTAGAAGAAGTGGAGAGCAGGAAGCACAGGGAGGGGTTAGGGAAGCAGAGTCTTTGAAACAATAGAAGTCGCACTGTCTCAAGTCTCAGCCAAGGATTTATATAAGAATACTACTTATTATTTATCCGGCCAAATCAATGCGGTAAGTAGCCCCCAAATAATAAATGAAAACCATATCCATTCTTCCCACCGGCAGTAACAAACAACGTTTGTCATCCAACGAGAAGCTCGCGATATTTTACTTTTCCTGTAAAAATAACAAATCCCCGAAAAAAAAAAAAAAAAAAAAAAAAAAAAAAAAAAAGAGGGCCCATTTGTTATGAGATCTACGAGAAACCGAATATGAGCACCGCTTTTTCCAACCAAGGTTAGGGGTGGAGGATATGGTGCGGGGGACGCAGGAGCATATCCGGCATAGAGAAAATCGAGAGTCGCATATTTTTTCGCCGGAGGGTAATGACAGAAAGGGATGCCTGGGAAGACAACTTTTGCTTAGTCAGAGGTTTCCGAAATGGCGCTGATATCATTTATTATCCGTGACGATTCAATATGCTTTTTTTTGTTTCCCCATTTCGATGTTTTGGTGGTGTGATGTCACATGCTCACAAAGCGCGTCTTGCCACTGGCTGATTTGTATGTTTGGGTTTTCGGACTATTGACGCCTTTTCTCCTTTTGCGTTTGGCAGCAGACAAGGACTGGCTAAAAGGGCAAAGGTATTGGTATTAGAGAGCAAATAAACCTTGTTTTGTTTTATTTCCAAAACTGACAAGGTATCTTGGATCAATGGCGGGGAAGCTGACAGCACGGGCGCACAAAGCCAGTTTGTATGTGTGTAGTCGACCCATAGGATTCCTTTCCTAAGTGCATGTCTCTCAGGAAATGAAGAACTGAAGGTGATTGATGTGTTGTGGTCGACTTTTGGTTGGCTTCCTCTTCTGTGTTTCCAAGTGCAGACTATAGGATTAAGATTAAAGGTGGTAGGTAATATAGGCGGTAACAAAGGGCTATGCTAAGCTGTTGATAGAAGGTCGTAATGCGTAATTATGTCATGAATGGTTTGAAGATGGTTCGTGGGTTTATGTGTGTCATTGTGTCCTCTTCTCAGTCGTCGATAGGGGGTCACAAATCGTGTTTGGGGAGAGTGTTTTGAGAAAGGAAAAGGAGGCAGGTGTATTTCAACCCCATCCCCCACAGTATTTCACTGATTACTTCTGGGGCTTTTTCCCTTTCCCGACGCCGCTGGTTGATGTAACCTCTGTCTTCGCGGACATGGTTCGTGTCAGACCACCAATGTAGTCTTGTAGGAACCTATTTTCCATTTCCAGTTTGTCGTGGTCCGACTTGACTTCATCAATGCGTTCCACGAGTGCTTGCAGTGATGATTGTAAGATAAATGCTTGTCTGCCAGGGGGAAAGGTTAGAAACAGATAGAGTAAAGATCTAGCATTCTGAACGGGAAAATTGTAGAGAGTAGAAGCAAATATTACAACATCCCGACATTGAAGACATATCACGCACGAAGATAAGACAAAACATTTGATTGTAGTGTAGGAACACACTCACTTTTCTAGGAACTCTCTGGCTTCTCTACCTAGTCTCTCAACATCAGCAGAGTTCCTCCTGGGACTCATGGCGCGGGCGTCATCTGATGAGAATTCCTCCTCCTCAATCTCGATTTCGGGATGGTCGCGAGGGACCAGAATGGAGGCACTAGGTCTCCGCTTCGCCAAACGGGGACGGTTGGCCTTGGAATTTTGGTTATGTTCAGTATCAGATGCTGTGGACGATGACGAAGGAGATGAGACAGGTACGCCTTTTCCATTCGCGTTGTGAGACGGCATTGCCGGTACTGGATCTGATCGCTGGTCCACTCCAGGTCCAAGAGCCATTCTATGGAATTTCCGGACCTTTAATTCTCAAAACGAAGATCCGCAAGGTACAAAGTAAAAGTGGAAGAGAGAGAAGGAAATAGAGGATTCCCAGGACTCCGATAGTCACCCGAATGGCGGAAAAGGACAAGAATGTTCACGGCGGACTAAAATATGAGATTGTCTGAAGAATGGTATGTTTTATGTCCACGATGGTAGGGGTCGTTGAGGAACGACAGCCAGGAAATCAAGCCAAGATGCCTTTGGATTGAGGAGTCGTTCTCTATGAAGATGAGAAACAATTCGCAAACTGAATCAAGAGTCGAGGGAGACGGGAGGATTTGGCGGTATAAAAATGGAGCCCGTATATAGTTATGGAGGTAAGTTTACTAAGGAGAAGGTGTGTGCGGCGAGAGATGGAAGGGAGAGCGAGGAGAGAGAATATGAACCGGAAGAACGAAGAATTAGAGAAAGAATAGATATGGAGGGCGTGTGCGGCGAGAGATATGAGGGATTGAGAGGAGAGAGAATATAAACCGGAAGAACCAAGAATTAAAGAAAGAATACGCAGTGAAGGTATGGACGGAGTCTGGCGAAGCAACCAGTCGATCACCCCGTGAGGCGTTAAAATGAGTGAAATGTCAGAGCGAAGAGTGGATGGAGAGTTCTTTGCTGTACGTATCTGGCAACGGTGAAGCAACAAATAAAATTAAAATTAAAAATATAAAATATAAAATATAAAATATAAAATAAAAATATAAAAAATAACAAGGGAGGCGCAGGTTAATATGGAGGGCGAAGATAGGCGTTTCTCTGACCTGAGTCGCTGACGGCGTTGCGCTGAGAGGACCGTTTCTCCCAGTCGACCAGGTCGTCAGTCCGCTCTGGTTGGCTCTCACGTATATTTTCTTCCCTTTCCCTTTCCCTTTGCCTTTCCCACTGTCACAGTGAAGCGGTTGGAAGCTTGGCTGGGGATGTAGGACAAGGCTCGAAGATTTAGCGCTGGTTGGAGAGTCGACCCGTATTATTGGCCACATACAAGGGCGGAGAACGTTACACCGCACAGTCAGCCGATGAGGCAGCGCGTACTCTTATTTGCTGGGGGTACCTGGACCCGGGTAGTAATATCAACTCAATTGTATCATCTGGTATTAGCGGTAACTCTCCTTTACTTATCGCCTGCGTACCATACCAATACCAGCCAGTACGCAGAACTCTTCTCCTGCTCCCTGCTCGGTACTCTGTTGCAGAGTGTTGCCGTGTGTATCGAACATCTTGAAGGGTTAGAATACGCCGATCACCTTCGGAGCGTGCAGTGCGACGGGAGTGCGCTATTATTGCACAGGGCTTCAACGTCAACCACTCACGTTCACTCAGAATCAATTATTATTATCTTACCCAACCCCCCGCCCGAGGCGATGCTTGATTGTCTCTGCCATTTTATTATTACCACCATGAATACTCTCATCTCGCCAGCCCTGGCTGCGCAACATGCAAAAATATGCAAAAAGTATCATCAGCATATTTACGAAAATAAAGGAGAAGAGCTGCTTAAGGTATTTGTTTTATACTGGTTAGTTATCTCTGCCCACAACATCCATTTCCATTAGTTCAACATGGGATTTAATTAATCTTTTGTGGCATGGAACCTCTTCAAATCATCTTGGTTTTTGCTCCGATAGAATCTCTACCCCGAGAACAGAGCAAGGAAACACACTCATGCATTTTGGCTTTTTTGTACGGAGTATGTTGTGCCATATATATGCATTAATGCGTTTCGTACCCTTGACCATGGGGCTTTGGTTTGCTGTTGGTGGAAATCACAGTTCTGTTTGCTCAGGACAACCTGACCGAAAAGCATGGACATCTGGGCTGCAGGTGTGGAAGAAGAGCCAATGAGAACGTTTTCAATTTATTCTTCATCAAGTTTAGCCCCCCGATTTAAGAGGGTGGATAATACCCAGATGGAGTGCAGAGTACAAACCACACATTTATTTGTCCCTGGGTAGAACCTTCATCTGAGATCATATATATTTAGCGGTTGATGATGATGATGTTTGCAGTGATATAGAGGTGTGCAATGATCAAACGTTTTTTTATCTCTTGAATCATTGAATAATAAGCGCTCATATCATCTTATCTCATGTGTGCATTTACTGGCACTGAATGCAAAACTCAGGAGTTTTCTCTCTTCTTCAATATCAAATTTGATGCTGCAGCCAGCATCAACAGGGTTAAGTTATAACTAGGTGGTAGTTGACTGATGTCAAGCAGAGATCATGAAAATCTACTAGTTCTACTCAATATCCCCCGTTTCACAAGTGTTTCACAAAGAGGTGCGCCTGACATAGGTTAGTTACTCGGAAAGGGCCCCCAGCAGGTCTTAGGTATTATTATAGAGAAAAGTCTCAGAGCTACCAAGCCATGATGATATATATACCAGACCAAATAAGGAGCGGAAACCTGTGGAGATCAAACATTTATTTTCAACGGTTGATTCACTTCCCACTTGATATGTCTTCTCCCTTGCCATTGAAACCCACATTGGCAGTCAGGAGTAAGCTCCGTTTGCTCCTCTCGAATGACCTCAGTTGCCCATGGTAGAGAGACATGGCCCAGTTCAGCCATGCAGAAAAGCGCCACTGGCAACCTTTGGGAAACAATTCTAACCTCCAGGGACCAAAACTTAATCTTGTTTCCTAGAAAGAACCAGGAAACGCCTTCCTGGTAACTATGTACTGTCAGCATCCGTTTATCCTGGAACTGGAACTATAATAATCCGATAAGCGACTTGACGAAGGACTGCGGATGAGCCGTGAGACACATGAAGTTGCCCGGCATTCATCATAGATAAAGTCTCAGACTAGGACTGCTCAAGAGCGTACATCTGAGGTCATGCTGCCAATTTTCAATTGGAGAAGCTCCACACCGAGTTTACAGCGCAACATGAGTGCTTGAGCAGATGAAATGATATCACCTGCTAGATCATCTGCCCGAGACAATATGTGATTTGAAGAGTATGAATCGTGTTTTTCAATTATTCATGTTCGTAACTTGGTTTTATTATTCTCTATTGACTAATTAGGGAGTGATTCGAGTGATCCCGTTGAACATATCATATATCAATTTGTCAATGGAAACATCTTGATGCTGAACACCAGGAAACTCATCCTTTAAAATTCAACATTAATCAGCTGTGTAAGAAAGTGGTTTCTTTGTGCCCTTCTGCAGCTTCAAATATTCCTTCCTCTGGTGCCTGCCCTCCGGGGCTTATTTCCCAAGAACGAGTCGATTTAGGGTGTAGATAAAGAGCACTGGGTTGACCTTGTTGGGATGGCATCCGCTGGGACTCTGAAGGTGGACATGCAAGGGATTATCAATATTTAAAACACGATAGCGGTCTCATCCATGGAATGGTTTCGGAAACCATCATGTCCAACGAAATGGAATTTTAATGACAACATTTAAGGAGTTAAGGAGAACCTTTCTGAGTTTGTTTCATCTTTGTTGATGCTGACTTGGGAGACTCTCTCCTTCGGAGTAGCTGGAGGCAAACCCCCAAGGCCATTCCAAAGCTCTGTTAATGAACACATTCACATCCTCTTCACCGGGTTAAAATATCCTTCAACATGTACTGATAAACTACATATTCAGAATGCTCATGCGCCAATAATCTTCTATGAAACCTTCCCAAACGAATCATTTTATCTCCAGCGATTATCCGAGGTTAGTGACTGTATTTTATCGAGCAGGGTAGCCAGCATTTTTGTCAAGAGGATGAAAGCCTTATGTTGCTACACTTTCAGTTTTCAATGAAGAAATATAACAGACGGGCTCGCCAACACCAACGAGGCCACTGCCCTCTGTAGTGAGGCAGTTGTTGCGGGTTCAGCCATTTTAGCACCACAAATGAACGCTTCTTGAGATCTCGAAGAGATGATTCTCCGACCACTAGGGAATTGTTTGTCATGCCTGGCTTGAATCGATTTTTTTCTCACAAGGGGAAATTGCTGGAGCTATGAATACACTGGACTGCAATCGGATTCAAATAACTGTGCTCTCTATCCCCTGACTTCACGAATTTAGATAAGACAGGAGGAGCAATTGTTAATGATTTCTGGAGGTAAAGGGGGAGGGAGATCTTCGATAAGAATGAGAGAGTCAACCAGGCTTTTTATGTACTCTACCTCCCCACCGTACTTACGAATGATAAGACACCATTAGAGCTCATGCGAAGCACCAAAAGGTGACCATGAGGACATCAATATGCTACCGTTTGATGAGGATAGTTCTAAGCATGGACCAAAGGTTGAAGAAATAATGCTAAAGACTGATAATATTACCGGGTGCCTAAAGAGCTCACTCTCTCAATCTTATGGAGCTTTTGGCCAGATAGTGCGAGACTCAGTTTCTTAAATTTTGTTGCAAAATGAAGTGAAATAAAGTGTAATAAGTGCTGTATGTAACATACACGTAATATATGATTGTTTGATAATACTTAAAACTGTTCATTATCACGCACTTCTCGTTTCTCTGTTGTTGATCGCAGGAGAAATTTGTCAAGGGTGTATAAAGTGTTTTATTTCATTTTATGCAAAGCGTTTTTTGATCAAGTTCCATTGGCTCCGATTGGCGGGGTTGTGGGGAGAGGGGGACCTCCCTTGATATAGAAATGAGATGTATTAGTTGTGTGTAGTAATGCTGAGCAGATCAGGTAGTTAACTTCTGATGGTCCGTTTCAAATTCTGATTTATATTATGGCAATGGACAAAGGTTCCGAAGAGAGGAAATGCAAAAATCACTGAGCGCAAGGCGATGGTCAATTCTTTCGGAGGTCGTTGAGAAGTTGTGTTCCCCATAAATTTTCTACTTCCGTTCATTTCAAGGAATTGAACGATCGCTTTTCACCAACCAGCAACTGAAGGGTTTTTAAAGTCCTTATGACTCGTGTATTTCTGCATTCATAAACCACGTCCTCTCCAAGTCGATCTTCACGCCCATTCGGCCGGTATACAGCGTCCTGAAGGCTGATCGTCATGATTGGAATCATAATATGGGGATATGGTGTTGAAATGATCTTCGCCGTAGTATGACGAAGCAAAGTGGTTTGGTTTTTTCGAAGTTAGTCCTAGCGCCTCCTCCCACCTACGCCATAAATACGCCATTTTACCAGGGGTCGATGCGGCGCATCGTCCCAACTTCTTACCACCTGGTTGTTCCTTAAGTTAGTTACATTTTTTTCCTTAAACGATTTTTTAAGGTTTGAACCATGGCCTTAGGACTGCTTAAACCATCCAGAAGCCAGAGGAGAAAAGCCTCATAAATGGTCGAAATATACCGCGATCAGTTTTCTAATCAATGGAAGAAGCCATGATAGAACACAAAGAATAAATCCGTTCACGTCATCATCTTGGCGGTCTATAGCGGCAAGCTTGAGGTAATAAGAGTCCCTAAATATCAGGTGTCGTGACTGAATCATTGTCCAAATAGACGAGACAAATATCGGAAGCAACACGCAGAAAGAATTTTGCGGAAATAGGCAAAGAGAAAGAGAAAGGGGCACAGTTGGAGGTTCAAAGACGCCGAGGTCGTATGAGTTGCGGTATATCGAACCCAGGAAGGGCTCAGTTTCATGCTTCCTGACTTTGCCCCAGAGTGTTGGCCATTTCAAGAGTATGAACCAAAGCGACCCAAGTATGTATACATATACACAACACAAATACAGCCGTTGCCCTGACGGCTCCCTTTCTGTTATACAGACTCAAGCCACATGGACATCTATCTCAGTAGCAGTTCGCTTAGGTCTGCCCCTCTGGGCAGGCTAATCTTTAACGATTGCGTCACACGTGGTTAGTTTTTGGGTCTTGCAGTTCCATCTGGTTCTAAGTTAGTGAGCGCACCAGCTTCAGCCAGTCATGACGGACTTTCTGCTTAACAATCAGTGGAGGCTGGTAAAATATACGCATCAAAAGCGGACTTTCTGGCAATATTGTTATCATCGAGGTGGAAAAGAGACCTCTTCCAGAGGGGGATCAAATATCTCCGTGAGAATTTGGAGACCACTCGTATGGCAACTATTTTATTTCCACATGTACTGTGCAGGGACATACCTGCTTTGTTAGTATTCAAGTGCCCTGGAGGAGGGGAAATAAATCGCTTCATTAATAATTTGCTGGCGCTCAACTTGCAGGGAAGATCAATCGGGTGACAATGTGGAAACAGCAAAAAGTAGCGGAGAAGGGGAAAAACTCCGCATTCATACTAGACAATAATGGTCATACAATACCTCAGGCACAGCACTTACTATTGATTAACATTCAGTAACCCTATAATCCACAGATTAAAACTGTGCCAAAAAAACCCCCGCGCTTGCTTTTTAGGTCCATGATAGTGCAATCCCGTACAGTGGACAGCGGGCCATTTCCAAGTCCCACCAAACAAAGGGGGGAAAGGCAGACAAATGGGAAAGGAGAGCATATTATTATTTAAGTTCTGCCCTCTTCGCAACATTTCTCAGCTGTATGTATGTATTATGAGAAAAAGAAGGACGAGACTAAGTTGAACAATAATACTTTCAATCTTTCACCCTCGGTTTCGTCATTCCGTTTTGGTCGCTTATGAGTTTCTGGTTCTGTTGATTTCCGCAGCTCCATTCTTTCTTTTCTAGAGTATGACCCAATAGAAACCGTTCCTCGGCTAAGAATTAGCACATATTCATGCTTCTTATCAAACATATAGTAGTGATCCTGTATGAGAAGGGAGGGAGACCACGCGATTTGAGAGCCTGTGTTTTGGCATACTTTATAGTGTCCCTCTGCCCATTTTTTTACTTCCAGATTTGCAGGCTATGAAAACGTTATAAAATATCGAAAAATGGGAGGCTGACTATTCATAGGTTCGGAAGATTGAAATCGCGGGGGACGTGCGTGGTTTCTTGCCCACCGCTATCCCTGTCGCAGCCTATCAGTCTATCTGATTGGGGGCTTGTCCCTCCCGTGGTCTCACCCAATGATTCTGATCATCTCTTTTCCCTCATGCTTGTTTGCGATTGGTCATGAGGCTGATGCTTTTTATTATCAAACTTCAGTTATGAAGTTCCCTCCTCAAGGCCGTATTGATGTACTGTACTGTATCAGAGTACCAGTAACTAAATAATCTTGAAGTTATCGTATGGAAACTGTAATAATACGTACCGTTTAGAATACGTCATTAGCCGCGAGCTTCATTAATCTCGCTGGGATCACATTTCGCTCAGCGATCCCAAAATTCATGCCCTGTTCAGTTAAAGACCATACCTAAAGGGATCAGGACACCGTAACATTCTACTCTATTTGCCAGGTGAAATTGAGAAATACGATAATCTATCAAAGGGCCATCATGTCAGTCAGCTTATCCCAATTTTCAAGTAATTCTCCACTTCCAATCTCTCAGCTCATGCAGACAAATGCTGAACACGCGAACTGCACATGTACTGTGCGTACTTCGTCTTCGCTAACCCCCTGTTCAAAAAACCCATCTTTTTTTCGGAAGGGTTTCGTCATCAATTCTCAGGGAAATCTCGGGGCGTGTGAACACACAAATCGCACAGTTCCATGTGGTGGAAGAAAACGTCATGAACGATAATCTTTGTATCCTCGGCCCACCTCTCTTGTTCGATTTGGCCATACAGAGGAAGCGAGACGGGACAATGGAGTGTCCTGAAGCAAAATCGCCCGTTGTGTAAAAGTGTGAAATGCAATATGTGTGCGTGGGCCTTCGAGGATTTTCGGCGGCAAAGACGATCTGAAATGGAAAATCTCTCAACCCCCTTAACACATATCCAGTATAAAAAGGCGAGGAGAGGATACACAACTAGCCCTAATACCTAGTCTTAACCCTGGTGTTGAGGGCAGTGAGACTTGAATAGTTAGAGATAAGGCTCTGGTGTTCGGGAACGTGTTTCCTATCCCTTCCAGCGATGCGTAGGCAATTTCTCTGGCATGTCTACAACTAGTTACACTTTGGGAAATTTGGAATAATCAAACAAAGCAGACCCCACATCAAGCCTGCAAGGGCTGCATGTAAATATTCCCTGTCAAGGGATTGGTGCTAGGTTTAGCTACTCCCCTTTAGTTTACTGTTCCCCCATCCCTCATTATCATCCCACATTTCATGGACTGAGAAGCTCATGCATGCCACACTGCCCACGGCACTGCAAGCTAAGCAAGCTGGCCATGTCAGATAAGAGCAAAAAGAGAAGATGAAAGAGGACTATTTAAGTTAACATGACGTGATGGATACAGGGGAGTTTACCCTTGCTTTATGCATTCCGTTTTTGCGATTTTGACTCTGCAACCCAGCCCCATGGATTGATTTGCATTGCTTGCAACGGCTGGGGCCAATGCCACCTGCTCATTCCGCACCGTGCGCAGGCGAAATGGTGAAGAAGACCTTTGTCATTCCCTCGAGATTGCTCGATTTTTTCTGCTTGGAGAGTGCGGAGTACCTATACTTGTGTTTGCTTCCTGCATACACAGATATTTCATGCAGTTATGCATTTGTCTTGTATTTTCGCTGCGAGAGAACTTAATGGATCGAGACTCAAGTAGAAGCTTGATAGAAAAGGACAGGAGATTTTTTGCGATCTCGTATAAAGTTCGCAGAATCCAGGTTGTAAGAGAGCGCAAACCGGATGGTCTTTTCGAGATTTGGAGTGTATCATTGGGCATGCACAATGCCCGTTTTCACGCTTTCATAAACTACGCCATTGGCCTATATATATAATATGGGAATCACCTTGCTACTTCCCGGGGCAATAGCATATACTTCAGACCTGGACATAAAATACAAGCCCTGCTAGCCTATAATTCAGCAGGTGTTCAAGTCCTATAGCGAGGGCAAAGACCCTATATCATGAGAGTTAAAACTACAGGCGTGTGTGGCCATATTTCTGGTTTCAGGACTACACCAGAGGATGTGAACGAAGATGAAGTCTTATTCAATAGGAATGGCGGCTTGTTGTAAAAACAAAAACAGAAGCACAAACCAGTATAAATAGAATCGTCTTTATCTTCCGCGTGAACGTGAACCGATATATCCAAAAAGCATAACGCCAGGGTCCTCTATACCAACAAGTGCAAGCACACCTAATATCTGCAATCCAAGGGGAAAAGTAGAGAATCGAAGAAAGTTTCCTGTGACACTCCCCTTTAATGGAAGAAGCAGTGCATCATGTAGGGAAGAACTAGTCTGTAGGGAATCGAGAAGTATGTATATCAATGCCACCATCATCGTATGACGCTCCAGTCATGGGGAAAAAAGTTCGTACGATCTGCTGATTAACGAGAATTCTCCCATTGGTACAATGCCCGTAGAACGGCCACTGCACCAGATTGGGATTCAACGGTACGGCCCCGGCCACGATCATTCACATCTTTTGAGAATGCCAAATCCACGTTGTCGGGATCTATGACGGATGTTTCTTTCTTCTTTTTTTCTTCTACTGGAGACATTCGATGCCCTCTAACGCAAATTTCATCGTGTGTGCCTACTTTTGGATGGTGATAGGGCTCGTCACCATCACCTGAGAATGGCCCTTCATTCATGCGATCGATAGCACCCTCTGGTAAAGGGGATATCTGGTTGGAATCTGTATCGTTGTATGGATACTGTTTCCCCCACCACATACCAAACTTTCCTTGTTCATTTTTTGTCATGTATGAAGCCTGAGCGTTGTGTTTGATCCAAGAATAATAGGCAGCGCATTTCTCTTGATGCCAGTCGTAGTCCTGCCTTCCGGGTGGGGAATATTTAGCCGTTTGCTTGTGAAGTGACGAAGATAGAAATTGTTCTTCTTCGGGAGAGATACGACGGCAGAATTCAGCAAAGTGATGGAAGAAAATGCCTTTGAACGTGTGCCCATTTTGGGAGCATGTCCCCGAGCTGTCGCAAACGTCCTCGAGAACTCCAGCCCGTCCCAACCCTTGCCATTCCTGATTTGATGTGTCAGGCCACCCGGTCGCCTTGAGCACATTCTCTATTAGTTGATGGGCATCTTCTAGGTAGCTTTTATCCCCAGTAGCAAGCCAAAGACCCCGGGCTCCGCTGAGTATAACTCCTTGGTTGTAAGTGTACACCATCGTATCCAAAACGTCACATTTCTTAGTGCCAGGATTAGGTTTATCTACCCATCCATTTATATGGAAACCATCGGCATAGAGCCCATTTTTGGTTGTCATGTTTGAGTTTCTGAGCCACCGGTATGCGGTAATCGCAGAGTTCAGATAGTCAGGGTTATGGGGCTTGGAGATAACGCCTGAAGAGGATCTGGAAGCTAAGGGTGAGTCGATATCGTCTCCAGGGAAATATAGATACATTCCAATGCTCGCAGAGATGAAAAGTTCGTTGGTAATTGCATTTTTGTACGGCTCTAGGTATGGGCTCCAAATCATACCGCCATTGCACAAGGCAGTATCCCATCCCTGCGAAGCTAGCTCGTAGAACAATCGAGCTCTGTGAGCAGCAGGCCTTCTGAACTCGGTACCATACCAGGATGATTGCAAGCTTTCATTCGCCTTGGAGTATGAAGAGTAATATAAGTTTGAATGTGTATTTTGGAACTTAATGTTCTCCAACCAGTCTAGGACCACCCACAACATGTCATCGTACGCCTGCATTCTCAAGCTAAAGGCGTTTTCCCCAAAATAAAAAGTCGACAGCTGAAGAAAATAATGATTTATCAGGTTTTCGTAGACAAGAGTGTCGAAAGGTTCGGACTTGGGAGTGGTAAAGCCGCCCGCGGCAACCGGTTGACTGTCATTTAGGACAGCACCGAGATTCGTACTCAGTGCGGAGAGTGTGGCAGAGACGTGTGTTGCCAAAACTGCTGCGGTCCAGTCAATGCTTGTTGGCCAGGTCCCTTCCCAAATTTCAAAATATGATGATTGCATAACATCCAGGGCGTCTAGCAGCTTCTTCAGTGTGTCCGTGGGAGCTCCGTCGGCTTGTATGCGTTTCTGTGGTTCCGAACCAAAACCTCGCAATGGAATCGACTCCGGGAGATCATTGAGTAATTTCTGCTGTCCATCGCTGCGGGAATGACTAACGTGCGGATCTAGGTTGTACTCTAGCGGTTGCGCCAGCGCATCCGCGTGAACGGGTAGGCATAGGAGAAAGCCAACTGTAAAGATAACGGGATAGATGGAGCGAAATCCATATCCTGGACACCAAAACCAAAAGCCCATTCCGTCGTTGCATAAACTAAGCCTTTACCTAAGAAGACTTTCTGAGATTAACCAAAACTAATAATGTGTGGTCGATAGCTGGAGGGGAGGTATGGACAAAAGCATTTAGGCTATCTCCAAGAAGAGATAACTGAGTTCATCGAGAACTAAACGAAGGATAAATGAAAGTAATGAATCAGCTAGCAAACGACAGGTATAATGAGTAGACGCGCCATTGAAAGCCCAGATGTCATGGAAGAGATGTGGTTGGAAGATAATGTTTGGTCAGTGCGAGGTTAACCGCAGCGTTGATGTTCTGCGCCCTTTGATGAAAGGGTCTAAGTTTAAGCGGGCGGACGAATGGGTAGGCGTGGCATCGGACTATTAGTACTAACTACTGATAGACGATAGCCAGCCCCTGAACGCCAGGACTGTTTTCACTCTGCTCTGGATGCCATATTAACTGATCTGACTTTGGCGTACATATGGCTCTGAAAGAAGTCATCGGATTACCTGTTGGAAGCACTGACACAACTCCTACAAGATACTACGAAATACGATGTTCGACAGCCCTTGGAGTGAACCCAAAGGATGCTACCCAAGGGGCTCACGAGGTTGCGCCCCGAGCGATAACTAACCCCATAAACGTCAGAATGCCTCTTGTCGTCTGAACGCCTATTTGGATGGTAACTACTTTCCAAAATCTGTCCAACACATTCCGTTATTTCTCATTCATATGACCTGCATAATGAAGAAGATTTTCAACAAATTTAGCTGACTGGGCAATCATATGCTTCCGTAAACTCTAGATGACCCTCATTTATTCACGGTCATGGGTACAAAAATAGTTTTTATGATAAATTACCACTCGTCAACATTCCGGGCCATTCAGCTAACTTTATTGAAGCTATGGTTGACGTAATCGGACACTGCCTTATAGGACACCCAATGAACCACTTTCAATCATCAATTATTCATATGCCAAACCATTTTAAGCAAAGAAGCTTCTCAATGAATCAGAAAAAAAGTCTTCTCAAGCTATTAAACTTTTATAAATTTCGAACATTAAAGCTGTTGCTAAGATATATAATATCTTTCATATTATTTTTCTTTAACAGCTATATAAATTTATAATATTTTAAATTCTCAGTATTCTAATTGAAATTTATCTTTACAGAGGAAGAAATTTTTATTAAATGATAAATATTATAAACAATAAAAAAGAAAGCTTTTTTTTTTTGGAAAATGTGATTATATAAGAGATGATTAATTTAATCAACTAACGTAATCCATCACCTAGTCGATCGGATCACCTAGTCGATTGGCCTTTTACCACTCAAAGTATTTCAGATTAAATTAAGCAACAATTATATACAGAAAGTAGTAAATTATATTAAGAATTATTTCCTGCATGCTGAGAGCATGTACAAGCAGTATGTCCAATAGTCCCACATACACTACACTGTGGTGCTGTGTGTTTTCATAGTTGAGAGTCAGCAGCTTCAACCACCTCTTCTTCCCATTCATTGACCCTTCATACACAATCCAAGCCTTCTTCAACCCCCAAAGCACCCTTTTAAGCTATATATGTATGGCCTGTTTCCTGCTTTCTCTTTGTTTTGCATTTGCAGCTTTTAGTTCCTTGACCTCCTGCTCCAAAAGTGCCATTCTATACATGGTCATTTGATAGCCCTTGACAAGCTGGCTTAGGGCCTGATGGGTAGGACTGGGTGGACTTTGCATATGATGTTTGATATATTTCCTGACCTTCTCAGCCTGCTGCTCCAATTGGTGTACATTATGTGGCGTGGCCATGGCCCAGGAAGCTTGGGAGCTATGAGAAGTTCCAGGAGGGATGAGTGTATGCATTATAATATTAAGGTGTGAGAGAACCTGTTCAGGATCATATGGAACCAGCCCAGCAGCTCTAAAGCTGCTCTTGATGTTGCTTTCAGTCAGGGCCTGTATATGAGCAGTAGGATAGAGACTCAGAAATTTCTTTTTGTCAATGAGATTGATTTCAAACCACATCTGCTTCTTTATCAATCATCTGTACATTGTTTTTAGAAGGGAGAAACAGCCAATATCTAATGGCTGAAGAAGATGAGAGGAATGAGCTGGCATGTAGAGAGCAATAATATTGTTCTCAGAGCAGAATCAGTCAAATTCAGCTGAAGCATGACTTTCATGTTCATCAAGAATCAACAGTTAGTATTTGTTCTTGTACAGGGTAAAGTGTTCTTGTTGAACACCTTCTTCAGTCAATATAGACCCAGTTTGTCAGTTGTTCAGTCATTATCACTGACTTCAATAACCCAGTTGCCTGGCAGCCCTTCCATCTCATATCAATAGAATTGATGCACTTTTTCTTTGAAGATGATCATTGTACAAAGAGCTCAATCTGTGGTATTGATTTCAGCAATAATAGTCACTCATTCTCAATTTTCAAATTGAACTGGTTTTGAATAATTGATTCTTTCAGACTCAGTCATCACTTTAGCAGTGCTAATAACTCCCATCTGAAATTCAGTCTTATCAAAGTTGTAGATATTATCTTTTAGAATCTCATACTTTGCAATGGTATTTTGTACAAGTCTGAACCACTTATAAATAATCTCAGAATCCTCACATAGAGCTCATTGATGAATATACTTATATGAGAACTTGAATTTGAGCTTAAAATAATGATTAATAAATCAATTAACCCAGTATTTGCCAACTGTAGGTGGAGGTTTGGCCTCAGTGCTAAGATCTCAGTTAGCAAGAAAAAGATTGACTGTTTCTCATACAGTGTGTACTTGAAAAGGCTGACTACATTCATCCATGGATAAAATCTACTGTACAAGAACTGACTCTTCAGTAGAGGCTAATTTTCAATTGTTAAGTTAGAAATTCTCTCATATTGTATGATCATTCAAATAATTCTATAAGATGATCAAAAAGATGCTGTACAAGCTTGCAGCTTTCTTAATACTTGAAGTTTGACCTCTTTTTAATGTTTGAATAGTCAAAGAAATCTTTCCTTCCTGAGTGAAAGCTTGAGAAGACTGTAGAGTAGGTATTTTATTAATGTGAATGCTAGATGCATACATGTTGAATAAACTGATTAACTAGATAATCTGATCAACTAGATGATGGATTATATTAATTTAATATAATTTTTAAGCAAGTAAATCACTTAAGTAAATCATAAAATCATATCTCAACTGATTAGATTTTAAATCAAATTATCTCAACATTATAATATTTAATTAAATTAAATTAATTTACACTAGATTGAGAACATCTTATTTTTGTACATTTAAGAGTATCATAATTGCTGCAGCATTATAGAGCTTATTAATATAATACAGACTTAAATGATAGAGACTTACAAAGTTGAATAACTTTCTATTCAATAGATGTAGCAGATGAAATAATAAGATTTTAAACTATATTTCTAGTTAAATTTATTATATGTTGAGCTTTATCTCTAGATCTATTTTTTTTTTAACTTTGCTATCTTATTCATATTAAATATATAAAAATAAAATTTATTTTGATATATTGATTAATTTAATTATAATTACTCATTTCTGATTTTCAAAGTATAAAAGCTTTATTTGACTATAGTATTTATTGCTAATAATAATTTTATAAAAAATAAAAACTTATTATAAAGTTAACTTTATCAAAATTATATATATTCTTTGATAGAATTTTATATTTAATAATTGAAGTTATTAAAATTTTAAATTAAATCAAGTTTAAATAGTTTTTATATTTTTATATTTTAATTTGATTATAATTATAGTTTTTAAAATAATAAATTTAAAGCTTTAAATAATATATTATTAAATTTAATATTTAATTCTTATTAATATAAATAATAATAATAATAATAATTTAATTAAACTAAGATTTAATTATTTTATATATTTAATATATATATATATATTTAATTTTATAAAAATTAATAAAAATAATTAAAGTATTAAAAATTAAAAAAATTTAAAAGAAAAAAATTATAAATTATAAATATATAAAAAGTAAAATAATATTAAAATTTGATATTTATTAATTATATATTTTAAATTACTTTTTAAATTATTTTTAATTTTTATTTTTAATTTTTTAATTTTAAGATATTTGTATAAAATATTTAAAATAATTAGTTAGTTAGTTAAATAGTTAAATAAATTTAAATATTTTTATCTTTTAAATTAACTTTTTACAGTTCTTTAAATCAATTTAAAATTTATTTAATTATTTTAAATTTTAAATTTTAAAAATTTTTAATACTATTTTACTATTTGAAAATATTCAAAATATATTATATATTTATTTTTATACTTCTACTTTTTAAAGTTTATTAAATCTTATAAATTTTAATTTTTTCCAAACTTTTAAAAATTTTTACAAATAACTTAATTGAAATAGCATTAGCAAGATTAAATATCATGTAAATATCTTTTCTAATCTTGTAAATCAATCTTTTGATCAGTTGATTAAAATATTTAAGCTGATTATACACAGTGCTACTATACCAGCAAAAGAGAATTTTAAAGCTAAGAGCTGTCAATGCCAGACAAAAGTAGAAGAGAGAGAATCCACATATGTATATAGCTCAGGAAGGGATTCTAATCTCACAGGAAGAATTAGCTAGAGCTGCTAGAGCTCAGGAGCTCAATCAACTTGTTAAGGGTGTGGAAATTCAAATCCAGGGCCTAAGAAGTGAGCACCAGCACGTTGTAGTATATGTGGTAGTACAGAACGTAGAGCTCCTAGCTGCTCACAGGTCTAAGGTATATTCTATATAATTTCTATATAAAATCCTTAGTGGTTGTTGTTTAATTTGAAAATTTGTCGAGTGTGGGTTGGAAGAGTGGTTCGTTAGGTGTCCTGGTTCAAAAGGTGTCCGATTACGTTACCCAAAAGAAAATCCTGCAGAGTGGCATACAAAAAATGATAGTAGCATCCTATCTTTGCTTGAAGAATAAGCAAATATCTTAATACGTACGCGGATTCCTTGATCTACTGGGAAGCATGAGTGTTTATGTTTATACATCCAATCGAAGGCCCCGCAGCGATACACCTAAGCAAGGGATAATGGAACTAGCGGGGATGATATTTGATAATAGGTAGATCGTTCAGTTCAATTTTATGGTTAATGAAGACGCCTAATTCTTATTTAATTAGCACAGAAACTGGGAAGATAAACAGCTGTATTGGAATCTTACCTAGGCCTTCGAATAATCGAATGCCGACATGTCTCTTCCCTGACGGCTTACATCCAGACTATACGCGACGGGCGAACAAACTAGATGCGGACGTCATTAGGGAGACAGAGTCGGCGATCTAAATAGAAAATCAACAGAAGCATATCGTCATGGATAAGCCGTATCCGCTACCTGCCCATTTTCGCCATCCTGTATTTTCTAATAGGGTTGTGAGTCGGTATGCGTATCGTTATTTTGCGGAACAAAAGGAGAATAAAACTTCAGAACCAAGTTCGCGGAGCTAGACAAGTTCAAAGCAGTCTTGGAGCTTGGCCGCGTTTAGCCTCGTTCAGCTTTGCCTTCAGGGCTTCGACTTCGACCTCGACTCCTGCTCCGCCCGCGGCCTCCCCGATTGCGATTTCCAACGGTTCCGGACCTGCTTTTGTTTGAGGGTGGTGGTCGGACGAATGCGAAATCGACCTGGATGGACTGATCAAGAAGTTTGGCACCATTAAGTGCTTCGATGGCGGCCTTTGCCTCTGGAAGGGTGGTGTACTCGATTAAAGCGTATCCCTATTAGACGGGTTAGCAATGTTGTCCCATTGCAACATGGCATGTGAGGTAGCAAGATATTGTGGGTGTAAGTCAGGCGAAGAAAGATTTAGATACGAAACAAACTTAGTGAGAGGGAGGGGCAGGACTTCATTTGGTTGCTTGCCTTGACATAACCCGTCCTCCTATCCAGATTTAAATTAAAATTCTTTATCTCTCCGTATTCAGCAAATAAATCGGTAACGTCCTCTTCAGAGGCTTCCTCGTGGATGTTTGTTGCAAGAACAATCCAGCCTTCAATACTGCGCACCGCAACAGCGCCAGCCTGGGTACGCGCTTCCCTGGTAGTGTGGGAGGCCGGCGCTTGGTCATCATCCTGCCTCTCCGGGACCGGAGAATCAATCTCCATTTCCGTCGACATCTTTGCGGTTGAAACTATTGCTTTATATGTGTTGACGGGATTTGTGAGATTCAAGAGTTGTTGCTTGTTCCTGAACAGTTTCTCCTGTCAAGAAATGGATGGATTGTTATTGGGAAAGCTAGCCAGATTAGGTAAGCAATGCGAGTCTTAAACCTTAACTAGTTAGTTATCCTCAACTCTAACATCGAGCAATGAATCAATCTATGAGGTTTATCTGTGCATTCTACAACCAGCGGAGATTGGTACTGAACCAACCAGGGACAGTTAGAAAATTTTATATTCGAAGCTACAGATAGAGGCCGGTAATTTTGATATTTCAACTCATTTGCAGTTGGTACGATGTGCTGCGCTTGAACCCATAGAGATCCGTCTCTTTGTGCTTCTTTTCTTATTTTCCTTTTTGTTTCCCTCCCACTCCTTGATTATTTCCAGTTCACTGCTCCTGCAAGAAATGCAGCAGCTTTATTCGCGTTCTCTGTGTATGACAAGTGAGCCGGAATATCCAAACCGCCTCGACAGATAGGATCTCCTCTTGCACATATCGACATCACGTCCTTTTCGATGATGGATCGAAGGGGTATGCTTTGGAGTGGGTCTCCAAATAGTACCGCTCTTGCTACCTGGCCAGCCTTGAGGTCGCCAGAGGCATTGTGTACCACTGAGGCTCCCTGGGAATACCCCGCAAGGACCACCCTACTTCCGGGGCATTGCGATAATGACTGGCGCACGAGATTGACCATAGTTGGTCCACCGTCTTCACCAAAGTTTAAATTGCCCTATACCCTACGGTTAGCGAATGTTTGCCGACTGCCTTGTTCTATCGGGCTAAGCTTACTAGGTCAGACGCAGGGTAATTGACGCCTTGGATGGTGACTTTTCCGTTCATACGCGTTCTCAGCGCGCCTGCCAGAGGTGGCCCTATTATCTCACCCATATTACCAATTTCACCCGTCCCGCGGGCATATATCAAGGTCAATGGCTGGCAACCATTGTTTTCTTTGATGCCATTTTCAACAATTGAGCCAGTTTTCGAACCCTCCATGAGACCTCGAAGCCAATCCCACCCAGGAATGCCACCCCTCTCTTTAATGTTGTTCCTTCTCACAAGGTCCGGCGGTATTCGAATCGGCGAAGCAAGAGCGGAAACGCTTAGGTATGCCGATACGACGAGAAAGTAGAGCTTCATGGCGATTTAGAGGAATGTGCGTGCAAGCAAAATGAGGGCAAACTCATGATATCCAAGTTGGAATAGGACAAAGAATGCTTGAATTCCGCACTTCCAGAGGTACCAGGAGCCTGTTGTACTTGTACCACAAGAATCGGCAAACAGATGCCTCTGTATGGGAAGTTAATTGCACTGCGAAAACGGGGGAATGCACGGATATTTAAGTCTAGTTTACCTTCTTCTTGAGCTTTCATATGTAGGTCTCTATCCCTATCAGTTCCGTCCTTGGAGCATTGACTTTCAGACTATATTTAAGTGGCGTTGTCCTACAGACAACCCCTCCCATTCTGCAGGCCTGTATCTTGCAAATGCTCTACATAGTTGCAATAAACAGAATGGAACTGGAATGAAAAGGCTCTTTGATACTGGATTGCATTGGAAGATTCCAGGCTGCTAGGCACATGGGACAATGGTGGCGGGAACATGTCGGATAGGCTGGTAAAAACCTATCCAATCTGGACATGGGTTCTACTCTTTTTTTTTTACGTTGTAAGCTTCAAAATTTAGAAGTTGAATTGAGAGTTGTGTATATGAAGCACTGTCCTGCATATAAGGAGCGAAAAGGATCGTCACGAGCATAGATGCCACTCATAGCAAAATGGTTGGAGAATGGGATTTCTTGGCGGACAGCTTGAGCAGCTGACACTGGGCGAATAAGATGGGCATATCATTTCCGAAGCTAGCAGATATCAACTCCGCGGAACGCCTACGTCCGGACTATGCCGACAACCAAGCACGAAAAATATCTTCTTTGACGTTACAATTGGTGGTTGCTAAGTTGAAGAGTGGAGATCATCATGACTTGGTTAACATTTTATTGTCGGTTGCGGGATGGAGGTGATGTATCGCAAGGATCATGAACTTGTCAGAGTTGAGAAATGCTTCAGTAACAATTGACTTGGTGTCCTTCCCCGCAACTTGCGACCCATGAGGTTTTGCCATTGCCCTGAAGTAAGGGAATCCTTTGCTACCCGTGTTGCTTTGATAGCAAGTTAGCTCCTGAGACTATTGACTACGCTGTTGTTGGACGCGACAACAGCGACTCAAGCTTCCAAAACTGCAACCCACTCCTTCAATTCCCCTTCTTTGGAATTCAAACCATCTCGAGTCACATGCTGGTTTAACAACGATGCCCCTAGTACTGAAGAAGCAATTCCTCTTCTGAGTTCATTGTTTACTCTCATTCTCCTCTCTGGGAAATTTCCCTCTGTTTCTTCAAGTGAACTCACTGCTGTGTTCTCCCGCCATGTTTCCCTATGCTAAAACATACAACCAAAACATAAAATTACCTTCAAGGGCCGGAAAGACAAAATGTCATTTGATTTGCCGGGCAATAGCATTTAAAAGGGCGCAGCATGATTTCATCTTCCAGGAACGTCAGGGGTAGTATATCTTCGTTGAAAAAGATAGGGAAGCTTTGTTGAAGATTCTTTGTTGAGATTTTCGTAGGGCCCGGAAATTATACCCAAATTGGCATTGTCTTGCTACTTGAGTGAAGATCTCCTTATGACAAATTTTGATATCTTGTTGTGCAGCCTTCCAAGATGTTGCAAGCAAGATCTTGATCTATCACAGCTGAGTCTATTTACATCATTAATGAGCGTTACAGTCTCATGTCTATATATGTTCAACTTGTATTCATATGTGAACATTTATATCTGTTCACACAGCCAAGTTTCTTTTTGCTTTTGTGTGAGCAGAAGTGTGTTTGATCTTTCTTTTCACCCTTTTTATTGAGTCCTGGATTTTGAATCAGTCATGACTCTATCAACATCTGTATTCATCTCTCATGTCAGCAAACACATGCATACTCTCAAGTGGAACGCAGTTAGAAGCAAAGGATCATCTGTAAACTTTCTTTTTCCAATCCTCTTCTGCTTTTGTGGAATATATCCGTTCCCCCAAAACCTCGATCTTCATATGGGTTCTTGAAACCTGCACCAGAGAGAAATTTGTTTCTTTCAACTTGTGTTATGCTTGGGCACCTTTATTCTACCGGAAAGAACACTCCTTTCGGTTTTTGTCCGGCGATTCCATAGTAACGCATCGTACAAGCGGGTTTGATTATTTTGAGCATGCCATCGCCGTAAGTATCATTATTCTGCGTCGTCATAGATCGCTGAGTTATTACGTGTCTGACCTCGCGAATCACAGTTAAAACCAGGAACAACTGGAGAATACCCTTGCTGGTCGTTTCCCAGGCTTTGGTAGCAAGAACATCAAAACGTAGAAGGATTCTCCAGTGGTAATCTAAGCAGGATGAATCCTGTCCCGAAATAGACGAATCCATCAAAACGGCTATTGAGATAGTCATCCGTCTCGGGGGGGCTAATGCTTGTGATAATGATGAATATGTCCGCCTTTGGCCACCGAAAAATAATTTGGAAGTGGGATTTCGGATTCCCAAGACGGGCAGTTACCATCACAGAAGTAACAACATATGCAGAAGAAATTCAAGGTGAAGAATCATACCCTTACATATACTCTACACCAGAATCCCTCGTCTCACCGTCATTCTCCACCTCAATCACCACCTGTGCAAACTGGACAAACTTGAAGAACTCGCGGATACCTCCTTAATCCTCAGTCCCCATATCACGGATGCCCAACAACTAAGCCCAGAAATCCATCAGTTCGGCTTTGCCAACGGCCGGTTAAAAAGTACATTGGAGAATGTCCTACGGCAGCCACAACAGGTAAAATGGATGCAGATCCGGCTGCCCGCATTGTGAATACCTCTGAGATGAACTGCAGTAACTGTACTGGCGAATTTTGGCGCGATATCTCCGATGGAGTGGAGAGCCATGAGCCTCATTGAGCAGCGGAAGAAGGAGTGTCGGGATCGACTTGTGGAGAATGACCGTTTGGTTCCGCAAGGAAGGACGGTGGAGATGTTAGTGCAGAGGGAGCTGGAGGTTGCGAGCAGTTTGGAAAAGGGAGACGTTGAGGATAGGGAGTATTGAATGGGATATGTATGAGAGGATTTTGAAAGGGATGGATCTTATGAACATGCGGGATCAGTAGGTGATGGAGGGAGAGAGGTTGAGGCGGGAGCATATTAAGATGTTGGATTTTGTTGGGTATTTAACGAAGGCTGTGGAGAGGTCAGAGGGTGGAGATGCGGATGAGGAAGCGGGAAGGGAGCAGGGGAATTCATCCCATTGAACCTGAATCGTCATGACGATTTTGAAAATGAGATGCTTGAACTGACCTTGGAAAGTTTGGTTAGTTGTCTTTTGAGATATTTCCCTCTTTGGTCTTAGATATACAGTCAGGTTATGGAATATCAATCAGGTCAAGCAGAATTGCATCCTTTGAGGGGGTTTCTATCTTGTTTGCGGAGCAAGTGAAGTGAGAGAAGCAATATAATAGTGTGTTTCTTGCAAGAGTGTTTCCATATTTCAGCAGTCATTGAAGTACTGCATTCTTATTAGTCGGCTTTGGATACGTTCTTGTTCTCTGATTGATTGAATAACTTCAACAGTTGGGATCTTCATGTACCCAGCTTTTAATATACATAGTTCTTCATTCTTTCAATTTCTATTGCATTAATTGCACTGCTGCTGTGTGGAAATCTCTATATCATAACAAGAAAGTCTCACTCTCTTGCAGTTCTATCTCAAACACTCTCAGAGTATAAGAATTATATTCTCTAGCAAGTCTTGCATCTTATATGATGTACAGCTTTTAATTCTTTGCAGTTATACCTGATTCAATATATTTTCAGTCTGCAGTCTGCAATGAAGTACAAGACCTACTTCACTTGATGCAGTTCTCTTTTATTGAAAGAGTTTCTATCTTAAACACTTTTTAATCACTGTTTCAACTTACAACCTCTGCTTTGATCATATTGCTGATTTTAAAGCTCTAAAGGACTCTGGCATGTGCTGCCCAGCTTGTTTAAATCCTCTCACAATGGCCTCTGAAACTTATGTGAAACAGCTACAAACTTCTCAAACATTAGTCTTTCTGACTCTGAGATCACCGACCGAGGCTCGGCGCCCGAACTTGTTAGGCCCAAAGTGACTGTAGCTCTCTTGAACTCTAATTTTTTTTTACAAGATAGTGATTCTACAGGAGAGGAACTGAAGCAGTGTTCACCATAATTGCTGTCATCACACTATAATTTCACCTCAGTCAATTAGGTCTTCTCTAAGCTGTCAACAAGCCATCCTTTGAAAACTAACTACCTGGCTTCTGTTATCAAGGAAATACATAAGTTACATCTCACTTTACCTGCATCAACACATTAAAAGCAGGGTGTGATTCAGCGGAGTCATTGAGGAGCTTTCTCACAAAAAGTTCTCCGAACTCTGGTTTACCAAACCCAGCACCACAGCACTAACTACTGGGTGTGACTCATGAAACTTCGCTCTGAATAGGCTGAGATGTCGTTCTCCATCTGGAAACGGTAAAAGTCACACCGGAAATCAACAGGAGGGCTGATTCCTAAGCAGATACATAACTTTCCGATCTCACTGCGCAAGAATAACCTACAATAAACACCCAACAGATACGCGCTGCAGCTGCAGCTGCACTCAAGTCTAACTTGGTCACATCAGTTCGCTTTTCTATCTTTTTCCTTTTTTTGGTGGGTTGATGAGAATCATATGTGTAGACTTGGTTACGTCCTCATGCCTGTGCATCATCATACGTGACCTCCTCGCTGTTTCTGAAACTACAAGTTCACTGCGATATGAATCTTCGCTATTGCAGAGGTTTCAACGAGGAATAAATGTGGGGTTGGGCGAGTACCAGAGTATGTGAGATCTCAAGGCAAGTATATCTCTAAGGAGGGAGCAGATTCTTTAAGCTCACCATAAAAGACTCTAAGTAGAAGTCTCAGTGATCAGTTTTGAGGCTGTTGAATCTACCTACTATCTAGGCATTTATTATACCTGAAGAAGGCGTACAGTTTGAATGTGGGTTGAAAATGGGTGAAACGGGTTAAATAATCTTCAGCTGGAAAATTCGAAAATTGGAAGTCAATTTATGTAAGTTGGGCCCACTAACTATTTCAACCACGATCAAGTAAACAGTCTACACACTTTGCACATCGAGCATAGAGATGGGGGTGAGATATGTATGAGGCATGACTAGCTTATGTAGTTTTAATAGAGGGGTGTCATTATTTATATAAGCCTGAAAAAATCTTCAGTATGGTTTGAACATTCATATCAATTGGATAGGTCTCATATATATCTCATACCCATTCTTTATATACTTTTGATAAAGAGTGATTGCCATCATATTTTCATATCCTTTAATTAATTTTAATTAAAATCTAATCTTTTAATCTAACTTTAACTCTGAACTAAGAGTAAATCAGAATTAAAAATAGATTAAAGTTAAATTAAATTAAATTAAATTAAATTAAATAAAACTAAAATAAAATTCAAATTAAAGATATGAACCTGAGAGATATGATAACATCACTATTATTATCAAGAATATATGAAGATCGGTATGAGATATGTGTGAGATGTAACTAGTAGTTTTGATGAGAGAGGTCAATGATCTGAATGTTTAAAACCTCTCTGAAGATTTGGTCAGTTCGAGATTATAAATCAATGTTCAACATGTTGATACCCAAAGATCAAATGTAACCCTTCAACTGCCCGATACCGAGAGGGCAACTCGGGGCTAAGGCTGCCTTGAACAAAGATCAAGGTTCCCCGACCCGCAACCACTAAACCATACTTTCTCCAAAGGTTTTAGCTGGAGTTTAAAAACCTAAAAAAAACACGAATACCTAATCTACAGCGCGTTCTCAACACCAAGTCCATTCTGGTAAATTAGGGCCTGGCCCGCCGCTGGTCCCTTGGGCCCCGCATATTATTTGAGCTAAACTTAATTCAGTTGGGGCCACCAATCCCGCGGAACCTTTACTAAGCGACTTCCAACGTCCCAGCAGTTCAACCACAAACCCCCTCCGTAGCAAAAATGGCTGCAGTCATTCATCGCATTATCCCCTGGATTGTGTGAACTGACCAGAGCGCGGGGAGTTAAGTGCTCCTGGGATTCAGTTCTGGGGCAGTGTAACTTCTTCAGCGCTTAATTGCCACCCATGGGACCTGGTCCGCATGATCGCATAGATGCCAACCATCATCTCTCTACCACATCTTGTATCCAAACACACACACACGGAGTGGGCAATTGGCGTCAGTGATATTGTGGTTCCTTCTAGGTTTGGAATCGGAACTTTAAGCCTCACTGACCTGTTCGTCCTCCCAGGGCTCAGATGAATCAACCCTCGGGCTTTCTCCCTCCTAGGGCAACTGTTTTTTTTTTCTCTCTGTTTGTTTTTCTTTGCCGCTGTTCCCATCTCACCTATTTTCACGTCTCTCATATTATCTTTGTTCGGATTGTTATGTAGAGAAAGGGTTTTCCACGGGCAAATCCACGCTCCATCCGTGGCTGCTCCATGGCTGAACGCTCCATGGCTGAATGGATCCATTCAGCCGTTGGATGTGACCTTATGGATCACCACCAAAACTCAAACTGGCAGGCAAGGCTGGCACGACAGAGCACAACCAAGAAGAGGATCGATTGATGAAGTGGAGTAGAATGCCAAATGAGTGGATCCAGCCTCCGGGGAATGGGTCAGCGTGGCGGTCCCCAGAGTACTTTTCGCGCGCGGAGGGAATTGAAACCCGGTGCAGCGTTGCCTGTAGCATGTTATATTGTCCATTAATCGATATTTTACTAACGTCATCCATTCCTTACGGCCGGTTCCCATTGGGATTTTTGTCCGCCTTGAGTCGTCGCAACCCAATTGCAAGGGTCAGGTCACCCTTCGATTAACGCGGAAGTCTAATCGAATTTGAACTTCTAAAAGACATTCCTCCCGCTATGGGGTCGTTGGATTCTAGTAATACCATGTCAGCTTCCAGAATTCATATTTCAGAGAACTAATAGTCAGGCGGAATTTTAAGTTTTTCTTCCCTTTACTTGGGGGTTGATCTCTTTGAAAACAAGGCCTTCCGTTTCCTCAAAGCGCCCATCATATTTACTTTAAGCTAACACCATGATGGGACGCCTAGGGCGCAAATAATCATCGTCCCTGTGCTCGTTCTTACCCGGGTCACAAAGAGGTGGCAAAATCAAGTGGGGAAATGATCGCAAAGCATCGAGTTGCTTTCCATTTGCTCAGTGGACGTTATTAAAGGCGATTGCTTTGTTTGCGCCTTACAAAAAGGGCGAGTCTATGGAAATTGCCAGGGGAAGCGAATTCAAGATTGCCACTGTCGTGCAAAATGCTTCGCCTTTTTATACTCTGCTACCTCGCCGGACTAGCATTAGCAGCGGACACCGTCGATTGGAAATCCAGGTCGATATACCAGGTCTTAACTGACAGATTTGCGAGGACTGATGGTTCGACTTCGGCGAAATGCGAGACGAGCGAGAACCTCTACTGCGGAGGATCATGGAGGGGCATAATCAGCAAGTTGGACTATATTAAAGGAATGGGCTTCAGTGCCATCATGATCTCACCGGTCTCGAAAAATGTCGAAGGTCGCGTTAGTTACGGAGAAGCATACCACGGCTACTGGGTTCAAGATCTATACCAATTGAACAAACATTTTGGAACTCACGAAGATCTTCTCGACCTTGGAAAAGAGGTGCATAAACGGGGGATGTACTTGATGGTCGATATCGTCATCAATAACATGGCCTTCATAACGAATGGCAGAAACCCTGCCACTGCGGTCGATTACTCTGTCCTCAACCCATTTAACCTACAAAGGTATTACCACCCGTACTGTAAGATTAAGGACTGGAATAATTACGATGAGGCGCAAAAATGTTGGATAGGGGATGACATCGTTGCACTTCCGGATCTCAACACGGAATCTGAAGAAGTGACTCAGATGATGGAGGCCTGGATCAAAGAGTTTGTTGCCAACTACTCGATTGATGGTATTCGAATTGATGCCGCGAAGCATGTTGGCACGGAATACCTGAAGAAAGTGGCCAAGGCATCTGGCGTTTTTGCAACAGGGGAGGTGTTTGAAAGCGACGTGAATATCGCCTGCAGTTACCAAAATTATATCCCCAGCATTCCGAACTACCCTGTTTACTTCGCCATGATTAAAGCCTTTACTGCTGGAAACATCACTGCGTTGAATGATGAACTCAGCACGGTGAAAACGGTTTGCCGTGATACCAGTGCCCTGGTAACCTTTTCGGAGAACCATGATCTCCCTCGATTCCCATCTTATGTCCAAGACCTCTCTGTAAGTTTCATGCACAACCTTTAGAGGGAGCAAGCAAAAACTAAACATTGAAAATATCTCGCCCATGAACTCTACTAACCCACTCTCCCCAGCTCGCCAAGAACGTCCTAACCTTCACAATCCTCTCCGATGGCATCCCCAGCTATTACCAAGGACAAGAACTACACTTCTCAGGATCCGATACCCCCGCGAACCGCGAAGCCCTCTGGCTCTCACAGTACAACACTGAACACACTCTCTACCAACTAACCTCAATCCTCAACAAGTTCCGCTCCCACGTCATCCTCACCGACTCCGGCTACCTCACATCCAGCTCCTACTCCATTTACAGAGACGGGAGCTCCATGGCCATTCACAAGGGGACTAATGGTCGTCATGTGATTGTCGTCTACTCTACTCAGGGTGAGAATGGGGGTGACTATATCCTTAATTTGGGCATTTCATATACGCCCGGGCTGATCGTTACAGAAATTCTGAGCTGTAAGAATTATTCAATTGGTTGGCCTGGGTCCCTTGGGGTTGAGATGACGAAGGGGTTGCCCATGGTGTTCTACCCGGCGCATCTGATGGCTGGGAGCGGGCTGTGTGGTGCTAGCAATGTGTCTGCTCCTGTCAAGGGGAAGAAGACCGGGGAGTCGACGAGTTTAAGATCTGGGCTGACGGGTTGGAGCGTGATGTTGGTGGCGGGGTTTGTTGTGTTATTATTATGAGATGAGGTGTTTTCTGATCTCTTCTCGTATATATATATCTGCCACCAGCGCTCTTACTCCGGGGTTTTTTTTCTGTTCCATTTCGAAGAGGAGTTATAGGGCTTGTTGTACATACGTCGTTTATATCTCCAATGATACCCCTTAATACATGATATATCCACCCTTTATAAAGATTTTAGGGTATATGTAACCGCCTTTCAGAAGATCCCTTGTCTTGATAGAACGGTAAGCTTACGAGAACGACTACATATGGTGGAAAATAGGTCGCGTGATGGAAGGGCCCGACATGTCTTCCTTTAACTAATACAGCTCTACCAGTTGCAGTTCTTGGAGACGAATAAATGTGTCATCGGGGATGTTGGCCTTCGGAGTGGATTACCGACATTTAAGATAAGGTGTCTTACTCAACAAAGGGGCTGCGGTGACAAAGTCCTAAATATTCCCAGTTTCTTTTTTCTTATCTGGTATTTATTTATTTATGTATTTTTCTTTTTAAAAACCACAGTCCGGAAAATGGAGATTTTCGTCTTCACATATTCGTTTTACTAGTGGAGGCCAGAGCAGCAATAAAAGAAGGCACAACAAGTCTTCCACCGCCCACAACAAAAAAAAAAAAAAAAAAAAAAAAAAAGAACAGCACATCTGAACTGTCTGCATTCCGCATGGAAAGATTTTCTAGAGGCTCTTTTTTCAGATTTATTGTGTAAGCAAGTCACGTATGGACGGACGGACCGGCAATTCCTTCTCCTCACCAACGTCTCAATAGATACTAGTATACAACCCCAACCCTCCGTCCTCTTCGAAATATTATTATTTATTTCCGGTTATTCCTCAAGGCCAGAATCTGCACCATCCGGATGAAAATATTCAAGAAATCCAGCTCGAGGCTGATACTCTCATTAACAGCATCCCTCTTAATTAGACCCCTCTCCGCCATGCGGGCATGGTGCAAGATCTTCTGTATATCGAAGAGAGTGAACCCTCCAAACACCGTGAGACCGCCGTACAGCCAGATACGCTCAGACCACATGAGTGTCCGCGCTGCGGTGGCGGGGAGGACAAGAGGCGCAAGGCCGGACATGGCAACGACGGTTACACCGGCGAGCAAGGGGCCGCCAAGGTATAGGTATTTCTCCTGTTTGGCGGTTGCGCCTACGAAGGCGATGGAGCCCATCATACCAATGGTGTAGAGGCCGGCACGTCCGAGGATAGCAGGGGACATGAAGAATAGCGGGGAGAGGACGGCGGCTTGGGTTAGGTTAAATGCTCCCCATAGGGCGTACTTTTGGATATAACTGTGGGGACATATTAGTTGCTTTGAAGATAAAGTATTGCAGGGGTGCGGGTGGCTATGAAGGAGTAGATCATTATCCGTACTTTTCAGGTGCGGTATAGAATGTTCCATACATCGTCCCGATGCTAGCTACCAAACTCAGCCCGACAACGGCCCATGGATTTGTCGCCATCAGCCTGTAGGACCAGCCAGACGTGTGTAGAGCCCGTGCCGCAAAGCCGATGACCCCGAGACCGAGACCGGTGTGCATGAAGGTTTGATTCAGATATTGCTGTTCAAAGAGTGGCATGGCGACGTCTTCTCTTGTTTCGCGGTTAAAGATCAAGTTTGTTGCGACGATCGTGCCTCCCACGATAGCGGCACCGTATATCAGCTTCTGTGCCAGGTCTCCTGACGACTGTACTGGCTGGTAGGATATCTGCCTGTATGATCGGCGGAAGGCATTTTGGAAAGTCTGACGGGCTCCGGCGAGAGTGAAGTGGCGTTTGGATGAGGATGGCCCTTGCTTAAGCGGAGAGCTGTGGATGAAGCGAACTGTTATGTTTGATGATTTCGGAACCTGTCTGAATGCCGTAGAGACGGCGAACGGCCGTCGGAGAACGAAGGCCATGGCTTGATGGAGAAATAGGATGATGTGTAAAGAACAGGGCGATGCGCAAGAAGTTGAAGTCGAGAGCCCTGATGATAAGTCTCAACTGAACAACTTCGCAGATCACGGGATCCGGAATATTCCAGAAATGATGTCACTATCACGTGATATGATCTGCTTCTTTGGGGTGCGGGGATTCATTTAGCCCCCGCGCATCCGCTGGTGTCATCCAGCGGGAGAATTTGCTATTACCATGCGGCGAATATGCGGAGGTGTTGGATTTGTTGTTGAATTTTTAGGTTATAGATATGCTGGTTGGAGCCGATTTTTTTGCCAATTTATTTTCCCTTGAGATTCGTTTCATAAACTGCTGTTGTCAAAGATGTCCGGCGTTAAAACAATACAGCTCTCCCATGTGCCCTTAAATCGGCCTGTTCACGTTGCTTTATATCGAAATCTCCAGAATGCATCTTTTTTAAGGGAGCAACTCCTTTCTGGGAATACTGAATTCGAATATGCCTTTATCGACGCTACAATGGTACGGTGGGACATATCCTTACTGACATTGCGTTGCACCCGCAATGGAGCATTGGAGGGGAAGATGAAGTCAAAACTTCTAACCAAGATACATAGATTCTCTCTACCACACACATACTCACAGCTGTATTTAGAGCCCTTAATGACTATCAAAACAACCGACTGAAGTCAAAGAATGTTCATTCGGAAGTAGTATATTCTCTCAGCTCTAATAATAATGTCTGTGGGCCATTCCCCCCCTTTCTTCCACCAAGATAGACAAACACTACTGACTGTTTTGCAGATAGCGGAGTCGTTTCGCAAGTTCGGTTTAATCGATACTACGGAGGACTTGCTGGTGATCAAAGTTTCCACGTCCCCGGAGGCTACAAATGAGTCCGTAGCTCAGCATCTTCAGAAGGTCATCAAAGGAACCCCAGTTGATTTTAATAACGAGAACCTACGTCTTGTATCAGATGTTAGCAAGATCAAAAAAGCGTATAAATTGGGAACCGGAAATGCGAAACCGGGGCAGAAAGCTGAAACAAACAAGGCAGGTCAAAATGGATATACTAGCTCAGCTACGCTGGAGGCTGAAATGAAAGATCTTGAAAGGACTATCATTGGTCTTATGGCTCTGAGAGGGGCGTAATTATGTTACATAATGCGGCCCGATCAGAGCATTACGTATAGTACTGTGTCGAAGATTTTAAGGCACCTAGCCACGGCCACCAATTTTCCTCTTGTCAACGCCATTTTTCGGTTCGCAATATTATTTAGTTTCAGCCGTACTCCGAGTGTATGGAGGTCCCTTGGGCAGGAGAGGTCCTGCTTCGATATTTTAGAGGGTTTCATCCAAAGGAATTATTGTATCGAAGGATCCAAGAGTTTATAATTGAGGGATGTCCATATTTCGTTTGGCAATGGACAGCACTTCACACCTGATTATTGGGGCATGTCCTATAGGAATCAAAGTGATCATGATCTATCGCCCCTCGGTGTTTGACGAGTCACCAACCAAACCCTTGGTATAGACTGTAGGAGGATAGAGGACAGCAGAAAGGAGCGGTTCAATGAATATCATTATATCAGACGTGAATCGCGTCGATACAAGAATCGACAGTCTCAAAAGACATGTACAACTACAGTAGAGTGGACGAAGAAATACAATATAGTGCAAGGTTGCTCTCGTTACTTCGCTTCGGATAATTGGCCAAGTGATAACTACACGCGGTTGCCTGGCCAGCAACCCGGCTAGTCCCAATGTGGAAATCTCCCAACTTGCGCCAGAACTTCCAAGATCTTCCTGGGTCAAAATATCTCATCATCTCAACATCCCAACTAGACAACGACAAAGACACTTGATGTAATAAGCCATAGACTTGTCTTAAGGCCATTAGTTAATATGATGGGGGAGGCCATAAATTCACCAGTGTCTCCACAGATTTCTCCCTCTCTATGAATCCCGCTACTATGACAAGGCAGTTGTCGTCCGACGGGCGGATGTTTGCCAGCTCCATAATCACCGTTATTCCTGACTCCTCTCCAACCGCTGCAGAGGCCATAGAGCTATCATCGCCGTTAAGCCTGCCATCACCAACGTCACTGCTAGATTTTCTATCGACCTCGACGTCGCGTGGACCCGCAAGATCAGACACTGATGGGGATAAGACGCAGGGGAAGGAAGTTTTGGACACCAAGCCTATCTTAGAAAACAGTTTTAGGAGGGAGAATAGGGTGGTATCAGGAACAGGAGGAAAGGCTGCGACAGGGAAAAAACTCAAACGAAGAACAGAGAGCCCTGGGAACGTTTGTCAATCCGAGATTCATATCGTACCTGGGGAACGGATCATTCTCCGCCAAACAAGGCCGGATAAGAAAGCTGCGAAAGCAAAGCGTACGAAGAAAGAAGATGGTTTAATCAATCGCAAATTGTATGGTAGAGTTTCAAAGGCAAACCAGACTGTAAGTCTTCAGCCAGAAACGAAAAAATCAGCACCGAAGGGTTGCAATGACACAACGCAACCCGCTGACAATGGCCATATCAATGATCTGGATGATGGGTTACAACTTGAACAGGCTATCCAAAGAAGGCTTGATTGGACTCCTACAAAAGATACTACGATACCGGTGATAGATTTGGTTGGGGATAGTCCATCTTCATGTGAGAAAAGTTTAAGCGGGATGCGGAGCACGAGGACAATGTTGTCTAATTATGAGTTCAGCGGTATTGTGGGAACACTGGGAGGTTCAAGATCGGAAGGCACTCCTGATGCTCCCACGACAAAGCGTCCGGTAGAGGTATTTTGCACATTCCATTACGTATTTGTGTTGGGCGTCTTCTAACTATGCTATAGCTTCTGAAAGTCAACAACTTGAAAGAAATATCAGGCCTCTCAGACAGCAGACAGTCTTCGATAACCGAAGATTCTGAGAGTGCCACGTCGAAGCCACGCAGAGTAAAGGCTAAAAATCCTCCAAAGTCAAAATTAACAACAATCACGTCTTATGCAACTGCTAAATACACCGTAGTTGAAAAGTCAGTCGATTTGGATCCTGTTGAGACTCTGCTGTCTGACGAACCCGGGAAGGAAAAGAACGTAGCCAAACGAACGTCGGGTGCCAGGTGCGCTAAGCCCGGTAGAAAGAAGTCAGCTACCACAGAGAAAAAGAACGAACCTCCAATATTCAAGGTGGTTCCTCCACTCGAGGCCTTCAAAGCATTTGATGGGCAAGAGTTATTGTTTGGGACTTCGAGCCAGCTGGCAAACGGACATTCGGAAGATCGACATGAACAAAATGAAGGAACTTCACACATAAGCAATTCTAGTGCTTTTATACCATTATCGAGGTCAGAATCCTCATCTAAGGCACCTTCACAAACTAGTTTGGGCTCTGGCTTTTTGAAATTATCAAGTTCAAAAAATCTATGGTCTGCAGGTGCTAGGGATTTGACCGGAGCAGTTCTTGAGATAGACGAAATTGATCTGTCAGAACATTGGATGAAGCCTTCTATTTTTGAATCCCAGCCCAAAGCACCGCTTGGTTGCAAGGCGGATACTCAAATTCCACCCCAACTAGGTGAAATTGACTTTGATAATTCTTGTCAAAAGCCATTGGCGGCAATTGATCCTCCTGAGTTGGTCACCCAAAGCGAAACCCCATCCGAAAAGGGAGATTTACATAAATATATTGTGAAGCCCACTCACATAAATTCTTGTTCTCAATCCGGGTCGAGCATTTCGGTAGGCAGCCCTGAAAAGCCGGTTCAAGATAAACCTATATTCAGCGGGTTTACAACTTCAGAATTAGCGAAGAAGGTTGCCGCATACGGCTTCAAGCCAATAAAGAGTAGAGATAAAATGATTGCGCTTCTTGAGAAATGTTGGGAAAATCGAAATAAGACATCGAACTCGGTGCCAAAATTAACACCAGGAGATGGACTTTCCCAGGTTGATGAGTCCACGCAGGGACAGTCATTAGGACAACATTTAAAACCAAATTCAATTCCTCAGACGGCAACCACGCAGGTTCCCAAGGTAAAACCGGATAAGCGCGATACGAAGTCCCAGGGCGTTCCCGTGCCAAGTAGGCGTTCAACCTCGACATCCAAGGTGTCCAGGAAACGTACAGAGTCTCCTTCCGCAATTCTGGTTGACGATGACCAAAGAAGTGACTCTACTGGGGACTCAGTTCCTCCATCACGCCCTCGTCGACCCTCAAAGAGCTGCACACCACGTGACAGACAAAAATCCCCGGAATCATTCAATCTCCCTACGATCCCCTTAACCATACGTTCCGGAAAGATTCCTAGTACTGGAACCGCTTCCGAAACTCTCCCCAGCCTCTCCACCCAGATAACGGCGGCCATAAAAGCACAACCTCGCCTCCGGGCCTTCAACGGAGTGAAACAACCTACGTGGTATGAGAAGATACTCATGTATGATCCGATTCAGCTCGAGGACCTGGCTGTATGGCTCAACACTGATGGGTTTGAACGCATTGGTGAGGATCGCGAGGTTTGTCCCGGCTTGGTAAGGGAGTGGTGTGAAAGTAAAGGGGTATGTTGTATATGGAGGAAGCAGCGGGGCGTGAGGGCGCATTGTCCCCTGGTGAGGGCTTGATTTATGGTGTTTCCCCCCCCATCTTTTGGTGTTGTCATCAATTTAGGTATATATATGTGTGTATCATTATGGATATGAATTGATGGATACGATATTTGGTTGTCAGTGGTGTATGGTATGAGAGGACTTTTTGGTCTGGGAATTGAGAAATGGTGTGACATCATTATGCTACCCGGCCAGGTGAGACATGGTGTCTGGTATCGGTATCGATACCTCTTCTTTCCTGGCTTTTATTTTTCTTGTTTTTCTTTTGTATATATATCTCATCACGGTTAGAATTATTTTTCCCCTTTCCCATATGATCTTGAAATTTATCTTGCGCGAGGAGGGCAGCACCTATATCCGCAAGCAACCTCCCTTAAACCGGTTCAAAATCCGTGCTGATCTCTCTCTTTTCGTATTTTGGATGTTTTATCATATTTGGATTTTAAATGTCTTTCGTGTATCCTCAGGTCACATTGGAGATATTATTGCATCTTTATTAAAACCCTTTCTACCTAGCTACTGGTATATATCAGGCTTGTGTAAAAACAGGAACCGCCCATAAAGATAGCGATGATCCGCAATTCCATTGCCTATCTATATCTGTTTATCTTAAATTCTCCATTCCCTAACTAGGCCAACCCGGTTCATTCCAAAGCTAAGAAAATAAAAATAACAAGAAAAAAAAAGAACAAAAAATAAAGAAAATATGTCCCAAATCCAACATAGAAAAGCCAATTCCATGGAGGAATAAAGCTGATCCGGAAAATCCTACCGTCATGCTAGCATCCCTGGGAGCCTTTGTCCATGATGTGCTGAAATGACCCACCCAATAGCCTTCCGAAAGAAAACATAATTAGGAGAAGCAAAACTGGGGACAACATACGTGAATTCACCACCACTCACTCCATACGCCTGTTTTGCTACCCTTTCTCTAACAATGCAGATTGCCATTTCAACGTTGCTTTAAATAGCCCCTTTCCCCCACTGGCCACGCCGACAGCAAAGAGCAATTGAGAGAAAGAAAAAAAAAAGAAAAGAAAAGAAAAGAGAAGAAAAGAAAGTTAAAAAGAACTCGGGGGAAAGATGAAAAAGGGGGAACCCGAAAAAGACGAAAAAGGAACCTAAATATTCTCACTCGAAAATTGGCTGTCCATATCACGGACGGCCTCTAGGCCTACCGATATCATCGAACGGGCGGGAATTCCCTTTGCTATCCCCTTCACTGCTAACATTTCCCCAAGCTGCCTGAGCGAACGTAGGGCTTTGTGGCAATTGCGCACCCGTTCCAGGCGGGCACGATTGTCTCACAATACCCCTGGGGTTATGCGGTTGCTGCTGTCCCAGTCCCATTCCCAGTCCTTGTTGTTGTGGTCGTGGCATGGATGGTGGCAGCAGTTGGTGCCAGGACGGTTGATGATAGCCAGCACCATACTGCTGCGGACGACCAGGTGGTGAAAGCCCGAAGGGTTCTATACGTGGTATTTGTTGTGGTTTACAGTAATCACCGGGTTGCACACTTATTCCCTGGGGTGTGATGTACAGCTTCGGGGCAAAGGGTTGGGGTTGGGGTTGGGGGTGAGAGTGAAACGGGTTTTGACGATGAGGCGGCTGATTGGCCTGATATTGAAGTCCGGGTCGGCGCCCGGATTGATTGAGCGGAGTCTTTAACTTCGAGCGATCGTGTTCAGCAGCATAAATATCATCTTTATGTGGGAGCTGGGTCGGCTGTGTTGGGCCAACTGGATACCCAGGACGGGAAGAGATTTCTCCTGAAGAACGACATTAGCTGCTATTAGAAAGGTGTTTATGAGATTCAAGGACGGTAACCGTTCGCCGTACCTCTTGATATTGGAGTCTGGTTAACATAGTGATCATCGTGAGCGATATTTTGAGAACTCTGCACAGGCGTCTGTGTCGGCAGCGGTACTTGAACTTGATCTTGACGTTCCTCATTGCCAACTAACATGCTCTAGGTTTACATGTTAGTAGTTAAATGATGAGGAAATAATGCCATGAGAGCAAAAATTATGTCTTTTGATTGACTTACATCAGATTGGCCAATACCCAGAATCTCATTGACCTTTCTCTGTATCGCCGTTTCTCTAGCATCATTCTTTTCTTTGCGATTGATTTTCCAGGCTTCAGCTTTTCTCTCTTCTTCTTTCTCTTCCTCTTCCTCCTCTCCTAGGCGTTGGGCACGTTCAGTTTGGATCCGAATATCATGATACTCATGCATGAGCCTATACTCTAGATCCATCACGCGCCCTCTCGCCCATCGTAGCTTTCTAAGCTCTTTAATTAAGTCCTTCTTTTCTTTTCGCAGTCTCTGTCTATCTCCCCGTGGAATTGGGTGACCCGTAAAGGGGTTCGTATGACAGCACACCACGCGTGCTCTCACGCATGGTTTGCATCGAGGGAACGTGCCGTCGCATTTTGTTTTTTTCATCTGTATTCGCGTGGTTAAGGAGAAAGAATGTCACAAAAGCTGGTCTGTTGGGGGAGCTCAGGGTGAGAAATCATTAAAAACTTGCGAGTTTCAATATTTGAATAGGGGTTCCAAATACTTCGAACCAGATACGTACCTTACACATATTACAGGCTTCCAAGGTCCGGAGGGTACAGTCCTTACCTTCGCTTGGCTGTGTGTTGCTGTTTGAACCTGGTTCCATCGGGGCTATTATCCCATTGCTTACACGATCATGTGCCTCTTGATCTTCAATCTTGCGTAAGACAGCTTCTTTCTGTAGTTCATTCCATGAGTCTTTCAAGTAGCTCTGACCACCTTCCAAGCCTTCTTCGCCTTCCGCGTTCTCTGACGCTTCCGAGTCGTCCATGTATCCTATTAGTTCAACCTCTCTCAGCTCTTCTTGAATCTTTTGCTTTTTGCGCTCGCGCCCCTGCCGCTCTTCGACGTCATCGTTATTGCGTCGTGTTCGCCTCTTGTTGTTTTGTGGGGGTACAGGAGCAGGTAGTTCCGCCACTTCAGCATCTTGTTCTAGTTTGACGTTAAGTCCCGAGTCTTTCTCTAATGTTTGAACTTGATGCGTCGAAGGCTCTCTTAAATGATCTAAAAACTCCTGCTCAAGAGGATCGAGCTGCGGGGATTCGGCATAGTTCGTGTCCTCAAAGTGAATATCGTGAGGGTTCCCTGTGGCCTCCATTGATTAATCTCCAGTGGATGAAGAGCGCAAATTGCCGGCAAACGGGGCTGTGGAGAAATACTTGAAAATTTCACAAGTAAAAGGGAGTTAGGCGATATTCGGGAAGATATGTTGAGGTCCTCTACGCTCCTGTAAGTATTCAAGATTTTGGAGTGGAGAAGATGAAGAAAAGGGAGTAACGGAAAGTTGTGGGCATCTTGAACCGGATATATACGCATATATTCATCCCGCCTCCGTGTCATATTTCTGTCAAGCAAATAGCCCTTCCATCTGGGAAATTCCCCGCCAAAATCTGAAATAGACAAAACATTAAAGAATGAACAAAACAATTCAAAATGTACGGGGCTTTCAAGTTGGTGGTGGTTTAAGGTGAAAGTAAGCCAGCAAACGGTGAGATGCTTTTGACAGGCAACGTTAAAAAACGGCTACTTTAAACTTCCTTTTTCAGTTAATGATTCAGTTCCCTCAGGCAAAAAGTCGAACGATCAGGTTTGTATCTTTTGAGCTCAATCAAGTCGTTCGGGTTCAGCCGTAAAAAGTATATCTGGGCTTTGACAACCTTTGACGGCCTGAAGTCATAATTTGATGTAAAAGGAGATTCCAGGATTTCTTTGTCCACCGACACGATTGCATTCGCTTCATAAGAGAGAAAACAATGACATTTTGTCTTCACGTGTCTTTCTTTGACACGCAGCCGCGTTAAAACAAAAATCAGAAACAGAAACTCAAAATGTTCTCAGTTCAAATAAAGAACCTCGGGAAATTTCCCTTTGAAGGTTCATTGCGTTTGGCCTTGAGGGAAGATCCCGCTCGAGAGAGGCGTTGAGGAACAAATGCAACAGAGCGTCGTGATAAAGACGTTGACCTTCCTCGTGACAAAGGGTACGAAATGGTACGCAACAAAGGTACATAGAATCATAACAACTTTAAGCGGGCAAAAGGTAAAACAAAGGAGAGGTTAAAGAATGGCATTTACCGACTCTAGAAGCTAAAGTAGCAGTTTGTCCATATCGAGATGCATTAGCCTGCCAGTGCTCGAAAATAAAAAATAAATCCAAAAAGAAAACAAAAGATGAAAACCAAACAGGGTTCGAGACAAGTACAGCACTGTACATACATGTACATACGGGTACTCGTTGGTTTCCAAAGAAGTTAATGTTTCCTCGAAATCTCACCAAACAAGATTATATTCAACAGACTCTGATAACCCTTTCATCAACCCATCCTCTATTAAACGCCAGAACGAGGAAGGAAAAGCTAGATTGGGGAACCCGGAAAGCGTCATTGCGCAACAGGAAAAAAAAAAAAAAAAAAAAAAAAAAAAAAAAAAAACCAGCCTCTGCGCCCCAACGGCTCAGATACCAAATCTGGCGGTTGATGTGACAGTTCAATCCAAAAAGAATAGATAGCAAAATGCAATGATAAACGAAAGAAATGGTGACGGGAAATATTGTAGGTGGTGGATATCATGTTACTCATATATGAAACATCAAAATGGGGCGGAAAAAGAGAGCACCCGAGGAAAGAGAAAGAGTGTTAGATAAATGCCCAAAAAGAAGCAAAACAACATGGAAATTGTTGTCACAGGGTATTTCTGCAAATAGAAGAGCTTAAATATATATATATATATATATATATATATATATATATATATATATAAACTCAGGATGAGATTCAGACATCCAAAATATGGTGTACATCCAAATATTCCCGAAGAGAGAGAGAGATAACAGAAGATAAAAGGGTATTCCAGAAGTGGGAAGAAAAAGCACGTACGAGAAATGAGAATTACACACTCCTCCCAGCCCTTAATAGGAGGGAACCAAGAGTAGACTCACCCACCAACAAACGGACATCACCGAACCAACCTTCCCCCACAAGAAACAGTCTCAAACCGAATCTTATCCCCATACCTCCGATGAAACCCATACTCCAACCACGGCGCCAGATTCTTACACTGACTAACATCGAAAGCGCGGAGTAAACTGCATCCGTCAACGACAGACTCGACGCCCGTTCCCGTAACCCGCACGCACCCGCGGACCGACAATTCACGGAGCAGGATGAGATGCAGACCTATGCAGCGGAGGGAAGGGTCTGAGACAGCGGAGCCGCAGAAGGATAGGTTGAGGTGCGTTAATTGGGGGCAGCCTAGGGCTAGGACTTCTGTGGCTGTGTCGGAGAGAGCGCAGCAGAAGGACTGATAATCGTTAGTAATAGCGAAAAAAAGGGATTGTGTGGGGTGTGAGCGTACCAAGTCAAGTTCCTGCAACCCCTTCGCCGCATTGGTCAGGGATACAATAGCGCTATCAGTAAGATAGGTGCAATCCGCCAAACACAGCTTGCGCAACCGAACAAACTGCGCATTCCCCCAATACTGAAACCCTTGATCAGTGATGGTCGTGCACCTCGTCAAATCAACCTCTTCAAGCCGCGATGCAGCATAGGAGGCTATATGGTGCATCGAGCGATCCGTAACGTGCTTGCAATATGACAGCGCAAGGCGCTTAAGAGCAGGGCAGCCCACAACAGTGCCGCCTGCAGAGGAAGAGGAGGCAGTTTGTACGCCGTTTTGCAGGAACGGTTTTCCATTCCATTTAGCGGCTTGGATCGCTTTCCCGTTAATATAATGCTGTCCGAATGAAGGGTTGGGCACTGTCCATCCCACAATTCGGGCTAAGAGGGTATCGCTGACTTTTCGGCAGTTGCTTAAGTCAATTTCTTGTAGCGATTTGGCTTTGTTGGCGATATCGAGGATTGCAGGGGCCGTTACATCCCATACACTCTTCATTTTCAGTGCTCTGAGATTTGCCCCACAGGTATTCGCTAATGCCCGGAATCCTTCATCAGTGATGTGAAAGCAGTTATTCATATCAATGGTACGGGGTCTATCGCCGACAAAAGGGCATATAATGTTTGCAAGTACATCGTCGGTAAGCTTCCGGTTGTAACTACTAAGGTCCAAGAAGTGAAGAAGCAGGGGTGATGTTGTGAGGATGTCAGCCCAGTGACGTGAAACGGCGCGGAGAGGAAGGAGGTGGTGGAGTTCAAGTTGCTGGAAAATGACAAGGAGAATGTCATCGTTGAGACAACATCTACTGGAATTCTTGGTAGCATAGGATGACGGAGTGGATTGTTTGGGAGACACGACAGAGCTAGGATATTCAGATGATGCGAGTTTTGAAGGGGTCGCAGTGCCGGACCGAGGGCGTAATGGGGATTGCAGTTGCTGATCCGGAGAAGAGCCATCAGGGTCAATTGGCACAAGAGAACCACGCCGTGACCTAGCACGTACATTGTCCATGCTTATGCTCAGAAAAGGGTCTGGGTCAGACGGCTCCATGGTAGGCCTGTCCTCTATTAGAGATGGCTTGTGCGGGCTGTCCAGCTCCGTCTCCGTGAGTGTGAGCAGGGGCATCGATTGTCTCCTGGCAGACCCGTGGAAATTCCCATTGATTACAAGCTCATCCATAGGCGGTTCTTGATCTGCAGGAGCATCGTCCATCTCAACCTCGCCATTTGTTGAAGTGACCAATCGTTTCCTGGCTGTGTTTTCAACCTGCTCCCGGATATGTTTCGGGCAGCGATCCCAGAATTCTGACAGCACCTCACCGCTTATCATTAGACATTCAACGGATGTGACGGAGCGAACGGTTGCTGTTCTGCGCGGTGCGAGCGATAGACTGACAACTTCCCCAAAGTACTGTCCAGCCTTTAGTCGAGCTTTTACCTGGACCTCACGCCGACCCTCAGCTTCTGTGCCTCGACGTAATCCACGTTCATTTAAAACCTCCACCTCGCCTCGCACGATAAAATATATCTCTCGACCCTGTGAGTCTTGTCGGATGATGTCTGTGAAAGGAGGATATGTTCGCGGTTGCGCATTCAGACCGAGGAAATGGAGGATGTTTGAAGGAAGACCAGCAAAGAGGGGTAACTCTTTTAGAAGCAATCGTACGTTGACAAGGCCATTAGCCAGGGCACTTGAAGTTGAATGCTGAGTTACGCCGGGACTAGGAGATTTGCGCTTTTTATTGATACTATTCCCGCCCGGGCCATCGTCGTCGTCGAAATTCGAGCTCCCCGCAAACGCATCGCGAACCCTCTTCGTCACACGCTTATGGGCTCCGGCGGCGTCGATTTGCGCCTGTGGCTCCTTTTTCTTCCGTTCCAAAATCAACAATCGCTCTTCAGCTTCTTCCCTGATCATTTGTTCCACCTCCGGAAACGCTGGGAGAATCTTCTTAAAATCCTCCTTTGTCAACACGATAAGTAGACACCTGGTGCGGGCAATTATCGTCGCCGTGCGTGGCCGGTCCATCAGAACACCTATTTCCCCAAAGAAAGCGCCCGGCTTCAGCTCCGCGTACACACTCTCGCCATCTCGAGAGGTGACTGCAACAGCTCCACGAACCAGCCAATACATCGCTTTTGCCTCATCGCCTTCCGTCAAGATGTAATCGTTCGTAGAGTTCAGCTGCGGGCGAAGGTGCAGGCCAATTTCCGCCAGGAATGATTCTGGTGTCGATTGGAAGAGAGGGAAAGAACGTATTCGATCGATTAGGTCAAGAGGCATGCCTTGTATTTGCGATGCGGCTAGCGGAGAGGGGCGTACGGGCCGCGACGGGTTGGTCTCAGAATTGAAAGTTCGGATGAGGGACATTGGATCAGAACCTGGAGCGGCGGATTTGTTTACGACTGCAGGCCCGCCGCTGCTCCCCCTGCTGTGTCTCCTCATTGTTCCTAGTAGCAGTTCTAGATCCGATTGGGATTGTATCATACAAGGGCCGGCTATGTTTGAGGAAGAGACATTATGATGGTTGTTGCAGGGCCGTGTGCAAATTGGACAGAAAGCTGTTTGTCTTTCTCTTTCGTTTACCTCTTCTTCGGAGCTGCTGTTTTTCTTTTCTTTTTTTCTTTCTTTCTTTTTTTTTTTTTTTTTTTTTTTTTTTTTTCTTTCCTTCTTTTCTGGTTTAAGTATCGAAAACTGGCGGAAGATGAACTATGACATAACAGGTTGACGGGGAGGATATTATAGTAACAATTGCTCCTGCGCATGTATAAAATAATCAACTCGTTAGTATTGGAGTTTAGGTAAAATCTCATCACGGGAAGGACCAATAAGACAGCAGAATTGGAAAGCAGTTCAACCCGCACCCGACCACGGGCAGCTTGAGCTAGTTGTGCCAAAAGGGATATTACCTGGGTACCTAAGATTATAACAGTATGTATATGTATATAGGCCAGCGGTGGGATGCACCAATATCGGAGTAATTAAAAATGCGAGAACAATGGTGGGGAGCGAGGATGATGAAAAGGGAGGCAATTAAAGGCGGGGCGGGTGCAATTGTTCATTCCAAACCCTAAATAAGGCGCTTGTTCGCCACAAGCTCCTCAAACTCCAAGCATGACTGGCCTTTAAGATAAAGCTGACAGCGAGATATAGGACGCAAAGCTGGAGAGAGGAGAGGGAGAGAGGTTGAAGAGAAGGAGAGGGTTCTTCTTCTGGTGGGGTGTGGGTGTTGGGGGTTGGAGGAAGGTTTGTTTTCCGCCAGGACGATTCAACCGCGGGCGGCGACCAGCTTGGGGTCACGATTGGGGGGGGGGGGGTGTCGGGAAGGAGCCAGAGAGCGGACTTGGCTGCTTGCTGCTGCTGCCTGAGGTGTGGAGCCCTGTCAAAGCTGGAGGCTTGGCATCCAGCTCCCCAGGTCCAGGGCAAACCAAGGGTAAGGCCCCAAAGGCAATCAAAAGGTTCGTGGGGCACAGCCTCCACAGAAACAGCGCAGTTACATAATTCAGCCCTGGGGGCAAGCTGTGGAAATCTTAACTTAACTTCCTGTCACTCCCCCCCTCGGTAAAGCACACGCACCTCAGATGGCAAAGATTGGTAGGGATCAAAGACGTCAATGTTCTTCTGCGGCTTTTTTTTTTTCTTGTCATGAACCTTTGAAAACATCCATCATTGCCAGCAGTCGAATACCGTGGAGATGGAGGAGCTCTCTCTCTGAACAGTGAATAAGCTTTATTTATCTCCTCGAAAATGAGATCGAGGGGCAATTTTTGCTGTCTGCATTGTCACAGGATGACAAAACTAAGTATTATATAGTTAACTGCTTGCAGAATTTCAATGATGACTTAAGCCAACGATTGTTCCCGTAGTTTAAGTTAAGAAAAAAAAGATACCTCTAGAGAAATAGCCCTTCCGAGTAAAGTATTCTGGAAAGGCAACTGGGCCTGCTGAGGAGAATGTTAATTGTCTGTCTATAGAGAGCTTCTTGGAAGTAGTTTGGGGAGCACAGTGAAGCAACAGAAGAGTGAATCCAGCATCCATATGGACCAAAAGGCAAAAATCTGCTTCATTCCAGCAAATATGACATTCGCGGGTAAATATTCATTCACATCGAATCCGGCTTTCATGCTGCTATTCACATATTTTCTGCGGAACCAATGCTAAAGTCTTGATTGAATGCCATCTCTGCCCAGTGCAAAAATTATCATTCCCTGAACACCGTTTTGATCCCGCACACCCCAACTCGAACAAATATACATATTCTAAAACCCATTACATTGCCAAATAACTACCCCATATGGCTTTCTTTCTCCCCCCTATTAACGTCTCCCACATAACCAACCTGCGCATCCCCCAACCCTCGCCCAGGCCACACCAGGCAAACCCTCAGCCACTCACTATGCCTGCACTTGCGCGGAAGATACAGCGCATCACTAGGGCTTCAGAACAACAGAATAACAGAATAGCCTCTTTCTGGCTAACTATACGATTCGGCCAGTGACTCCGCAGATTTCAGAGTCTTCGCCATCTCCAGCTTCAAGTCGACCGTGGTACGACGATAGTTCCCCCAGATTCTTAGAGGAGGCTGAACCAAACCTCATTTGAAGTCCGGCGGTCGGATGCAGGTGCGAATGACCTTCCCGCCCGCTGGTGACGTATCACTCTTTGATTTTGTTGAGTGAGGGCCGCGGAGTGCTTCTGAGGGTAATCGATGGCATCGTTTCATCCTTCCCGGACAAAACGCTCTAGGTTGGCGTGTTTTGGAAAGCGAAGAGAATAGCAGCGCGTTAAAACGTTTCGTCTAGATAGCCTGGATCGCCAAGGGAGAACGACAAAGCACGGTGGGTAGGGGGGTTCCCCGCATCAGGGGAAGATTTGGGTTTGACCATTGCCAATTTTTATGGCGGGCTGCCTTTGAATCCACCGAAGAGCTGGCAAGGTGCGCGATAATCGTTGTTTGGGGGTTACACGAGGGGGGGGGGATTCCGCAGTTTGCGTCGACAGGGAAGCCAGATATGAGAGTGGTTACGCGGCAGAAATCGGAAAAATAAATGTATCCTGGATTAGGGTTTAGTGAGGAGGGAGACGACTTTTAATGTTCCCCCCAAGGTCAATATTGCTTTTTGATAAATATTCGAGCTAACAGCTGACGATATCTCTCGCCAAGATGTAGATTCTTCATACGCATACGGACTCTAGAAAGAGTTCGTAAATATTAAAAGAATATAATATATGACAATATACACATAACGCCAAGTAACCCTGGTACGTTATAAAGGCTAGCTACCCTTGCTTGACGGGATTTATTTTCATATTTTCATTGAATTGATTGGGTTTTTGTGAATATCAACGAACCACTCATCTGCAGCACGTGGGACTGTTTAAATGAAGAATAGCCAGATTATGCTCACTCTGCTATATTGAACGAAAGCAAAAACTTGTGATTTAAGAAGATAGTTCTTGTCAGTAAAAGAAGCAAACGAAATGAAGAAATAAGATAAAGGGTGTTTGGAAAAGAGAAAGGAAAAATGAAAATTAAATTAGACTAAATTAAAATAACATCCGCCATTGAACCTCTGCAATTTGCAAATAACCCCAGCAGGCGACGCAGCCATAGCTCAAGCTGCTATAAGCAAGTCACCGCTTGGCTCATGCAATCCTATATCCCCGCATTCCGCCAGCTCCTGAACCAAGTCATAGGACAGACCGCTCACCATCTCAACCTGGAGAATTTCTCTCCTGTTCAAAAGGAGCGCTCCATGGTATGTGCCTAGCTGGTGGTGTGGAGGCTGAGCTCCGCATGGGTTCAAACGGAGCGGTGAATTTGAGTGGACGAAGTGAAGCTCATCCACCTCCCAACCGTCACAAAGAACATGTCTGGTCCAAAAGTGTTCTGCCGTTGAGCGTCTGTGAAAAGGGGAGGGGGGTGGGTCTTTCATTGCAACCAGCGCTGGTATTGCCCAAAACTGGCTTGTCTTGAAGGACGTCCTGTCGGATGCCTTTGGTTGGTATGTTCTGCAGGTTCACCAGTGGGTGGTGTCTTGCTAACGGAATTGTCACGAGGAGAGGTGTTTGTAGGATTGCTGCTTTGATGATGCACTGGAGCAGGGTCATCATCACCTCGACGGCTGGAGTGAGCGGAGTTGATAGAATCCGGGGATTGCTGTCCTTCCTGTTGGTTATCGGAAAATCCGGGAATACTCCGGCCATCGTGGCCATCGTTTATCGCTGAGCTCACCAGGGGTTGCTGGAAGTGTTCTGACGTTGCTATTTTAGCCACAGTGAATAGAGTGTCTGTGCACAGTCGAATGCTGGTGAAAAAATTGTCGGCTCCATTTATGAAATTGAGATATCGAGGGATGGGCGTAATTCCAAGTAGCTAGGCTCATAAAACCGCCGACGTTGTTTCGGTCAAGGGGATTCTTGGGATTTGGAAGAGTATATAAAGCCGTTCTGGTCATTGAGAAGGTATCACCATGGATACGGTGGAGAACTGTTTCAGGATCTTCTAAGCCCTGCTGGGGAGTCTTCATCGTTTCAATAATTCCTTCACTGAATTTTGTTGCGGGATCTTGTAATTATCCAAATAACTAAAGACTAGGCGTTATCACTGTGCCCACTCTGTGGTCGAAATTTGAGATAAATGAAATCGATGTAATCAGGTCGATTTCCTCTCATGGTCGCCAGAGCATCTTGGATCAAGCCGTACACAAGACTCAGTTTTAAACCAAGCTTCGCTGTTCGTGCTGCGGTATATATGTCATGCCGAGCTATAACCTTGCTGATTAGCAACGAAAGATAGACAAATATATATTACAGGCATACTGTAGGTAAAGGCAACGTGTAAGCAACGCATATATATAGTGGCAGCATACCAAATAAGCTGTAGACACCGGAGAAAGTCAGGCCGGCAGTAACCGTCGAGAGGAAGTCTCGCCGGCCGTGACGGGCATGGTCAACAGTCTCCTCAAACAGACAAAAGGTGAAAGCTCCAACTCCAAGCTTCATACCCATCCTCATTCCATCCTTCACACCCCCAACCAGAGATTTGTAATTTTTGCTTCTGTGATAGTGATACCAGCCCATTGTTTTGGTTGGTAGTCTATGTGCATTTTCGGCACGGTATCGAAATGCTGCTTTTGTACTACCGTGACCAGCTCCCAAAACCATGCCAGCAGCAAACGCAGCGACCATTGTAATTGGCAAGCGAACGACGGGTTCGATACCAAGGCGAGGAGGGAAAGGATCGGTATGTCCAAGCATGGTGCTCAGGGCTTGATTTTCGACAATCGGAGGGAGGGAGTCCTCTTTGGATCCCATATTTTGGCGACAACGTAGAGTTATAAGGGATGGATGAAGGGAAAATGGAAATGCAGGACAGTGAAAAATGGGCTGCAGTCCCAAACTGAACACACAATTAGTAATGTCCTAGAAGAAGCTCAGGGTTCGTTGGTGGCATCGTGAAGTTCTGGAGCTGCGATTTAATTAATTTTAACTCGAATGTCGACGGCAGCTAGTTAGGTAACTAAATATTTAACTAGCTCCGATTGGACAAACGTTTCCCCGATGGGAACTTATTTAACAAGGACCAAGATCTGTAATCTTCGTCAATGGATATACGACAGCACTCTCTACCGCTCAAGAATAAAAAGCTCGAAAGTTGAGGGAAATTACGCAACTCAAAATGGTGAGTGAACGGTATGAAGCAGGTATAGTCATTGTGATTGATCCTCTACTAACCCCGCGACATTACGTAGAGTGAACCTAACTCGCTCAAATGGACTCTCAGGTTCAAAAACCATAATATTACAATCCTCCTCCTTGTGTCGCCTGTCCAGTCATTCGACTCCATCAAGGAAGAGCTCCTGCGGGCTTTGAAAGTCCGCAACATTACCCATATCAACGGCCAACCCGTCCCTCAAGACCCAGCTGAAATCGAATTTGGAATACCAATTGACAGAAATAACCTGGAAAAAGGTTGGGAAATAATGAAACCACCTGCGCGAGAAAGAAGCGGTGAGAAGCAAACATTACGAGGTCGAAAGACTATAATCGCCAGCCCAGAGGGTTTAGGTCTTAAAGATTCTCACGCGATTGCCTTCAGATTTCACAAACCCGTTGAAGGAGAAGATGACGATGAACTGGGAATCGGCTTTGATGACCCTGGCTGGGACGTTTTGATATCAAAATATGATGCCGAGGATGGCGAGTGACACTATCCTCAAGCGGGTACGTTTATGAGTAAGGGGTGTGAGGTCTAACGTTTCAGGAAGTATATCCGACAAAAATATGATATGCTGCCTCTTGGTGCCTAGTTGCCCCAACTTGTTTTCATTGTATGGCGCGGAGGACCATCGCTCTAAAAACCTTTTCCGAAGTGTGGAGTGCCACTTTAGAGATACCAATGTAATATATACCTATACCTAGGCTCACTTTGTCCTGTCGCAATCTGGGGAGTCCGCTAGCGCATCCATGCTCATGAGCTCAATGGGTGCACCTTCGGAGTTTGGGGTTTTCATGGCAACCACAGATGCTCACATTTCATATCACCGGGAACAATGGGTAACCCTATCACAATGGTAGAGAATATGGCCATGTAAATCACTACATTCCAGAATGAAGTCAACAGTTAACCGGTCCACGAGCACAAGGTCTCCTGTCAAGATTCCAATCCAAAACCATACACATACGGTGTTCGATACCAAAGCGAAAGTCGCAGAACTAATGGATATAGGTCCTGTACTCTTCTTTGCGTCCCACGAGTTACAAGTGAACCACTGAGCATCGAACAGTTTCAAGAACTTCCTTTCGTTCCGTAAGTTTGGAAAGTTAGTTCCGGTGGGGCGTGTAAAGAACATCAATGGCCCGTGGTTGTAGAGCCTCTCCCTCAATTCATACGATTTTTTAGCTTACTCTTGGTATTTCCACGGCAGAATTTCAAAATGTCCACCCACCCCATGTTCTTGCTGCCATGGCAACCGGCCTCGGACTCTTGTTTTTCCACGCCCGCCATGATCAACAGACCCCGTAAATAATAATTAACCTTGGCATTGACGGCCTCAGTGACTCCAAACGGCCTTAACTTCCACTTCTTTCACTGTCGACAACACAAACATTCCAGTGGATTTGTATTTCTCTTTTTCTTTATTTCTTGTCCTGTATTTCTTCGTACATTTGTTTCTTTCCTCCTTTTAGCACTCTATATAGAGGTCTGTTTTATCCCATCTTAGCTTCATCATCTACAAATATTCACAGAGCACACATACTTGTTTACACTGCGTCGCCCTCATGGCGGCTTCGGGCAGCGCGTCTTCGATTTCAGTGACAGTTCGCGTCCGGCCATTTACAATTCGAGAAGCTGCCCAGCTTACAAAATGCGATGATTCTATGCTGTTCCTTGGGGACGGTTCCCTTGCTGCCAACCCGTCCCCGAAATTGATACAGAAGGGCCTTCGACCTGTAATAAAGGTTGTAGATGCCAAATGCCTGTGAGTAAAGATGCCTTCCCCTTATCAATGTGTACAACCTCTAACGATTTTCAATTAGTGTTTTTGACCCTCCCGAAGACAACCCTGTTCATCGGTTCTCCAAATCAGTCATCCCAAATGGAAAGCGCGTGAAGGACCAGACATTCATGTTTGACCGAGTGTTCGACGAAAACACGACCCAGGGAGATGTTTATGAAGCAACAACTCGGAACCTGCTGGACAGTGTATTGGATGGCTACAATGCCACGGTGTTTGCCTACGGTGCCACAGGGTGTGGGAAAACACACACCATTACGGGAACCGCTCAGCAACCGGGGATTATTTTCTTGACCATGCAAGAGTTGTTTGAGCGAATATCAGACAGGACAGATGAGAAAGTCACAGAGGTATCATTGTCATACCTAGAAATCTACAATGAGACCATCCGAGACTTGCTCAATCCCAATAATAATGTGAAGGGCGGCCTTATGCTCCGCGAGGACGCAAACCAGACCGTTTCTGTGGCTGGACTAACCAGTCACCACCCCCAGAACGTCCAGGAAGTGATGGACATGATTGTGAGAGGAAATGAGTATCGAACAATGTCTCCAACGGAAGCGAACGCAACTTCATCTCGATCCCATGCCGTTCTTCAGATAAACGTGGCACAAAAGGATCGTAATGCGCATGTCAACGAACCCCATACAATGGCAACTTTGAGCATTATCGACCTTGCAGGAAGTGAGCGGGCGAGTGCAACGAAAAATAGAGGAGAAAGACTAATTGAAGGTGCTAACATCAACAAATCTCTGTTGGCTTTGGGAAGTTGCATAAATGCGCTCTGTGACCCCAGGAAGCGCAACCATGTTCCATACCGTAATTCGAAGCTTACTCGCCTCCTAAAATTCTCATTGGGAGGAAACTGTAAGACGGTGATGATTGTCTGCGTCAGCCCATCCAGCCAACACTTTGACGAAACCCAAAATACCCTTCGATACGCGAATCGAGCAAAGAACATCCAAACAAAAGTTACGAGAAATGTTTATAACGTAAATCGCCATGTTAAAGATTTCCTGGTTAAAATTGATGAGCAAATGGCCTTAATCAAAGAACTCCAGCAACAACGGAAGGACTCCGAAGCTGTTGCCTTCGCCAAGCTCAAGAAGCAGACTGAGAAGAAGGAAATAATTTTGCGTGAAGGAGTTGCTCGTCTGCGTAGTGCCTATGAACATTCAGCTCCAGAAAGACAAGAGAGGATCAATGGCATGCTTCGCTTAAGACAAATCAGCCGCCGCATCTCAATGCTCTCGTCTTGGATTGCCGCATTTGACAATGTATGCGACGCCTCTGAAAATGAATCTGCCATGTCAAACCTCCAGGTTATGAGAAAGACTGCTCAAGGAATCCTTGTCGAGTTAGAGGGCAGTACACAACACTATCACCAGAGGCTTGCGAAAAGTACTTGGGATCGAGCAATCAACTCCGCGCTTGAGATTGGTATTAAGCAACTTCAAGAAATGGAAATAGCAGACAATGTCGACATTGCAAACCTCACCAGGGAGGCAGAGCTCCTCAAGTCCAATGCGGAAATGGAGGCATTGAATGCTGTTACCGAACAGGAGAAAAACAGAGACGTTGCTATGGTCCAGACGCTGCTGCAAGCCAACTTCGAAACCATTTCTGCCATTGAGGATATTATGAACTTACGCGAGGAAGATGTGGTTAACACTGGCAAGAGAATTCTCGCAAACCTGTTGAGGTCAAGTACGATCGCTACATCAAACGTGGTCAAACCAGACGGGAGCGTACCAACCGTCGAGGCTTTCTCTCCCAGAAAATCCGGCACCCCGAAGCGCCGGAAGAAATCCAGCTTTGGAGGTGAAGCATCATTGCCAAAACCTTTTAATCCGGCTATCGCTATCGCACCCCAGGTAGCGCCTTCTCCAGCAAAAGCCTCCCCAAGAAGAAAAAAGATGGGTCCGAAAAAGGGAATAACTTTCACACCGAAGAAGCTGCAGGTAAAGACCATCAAGAGAAGTGTGAGATGGAAGGATGATACGGTGAATGGAACACTAGCGGAATTTGAGAAGACCCCCCAGAAGGTTGAAGAATCGTCGCCTGGTACACCATCGAACGAGCCACAGTTACCGCCTATGCACTTAGCGGTATCCGCCATTCCCCGTCGCACGTCGAGCAGTTCCAGAGAATCGTCACCAATTGCCAGCCCTCCCATGTCGCTTCATATTCAAAAGAATAGCCGTTTCAAGACCGGTTTCTTATCAAAAAAGGCTAATGTCTCTCCATCACCAACACCTCCAACTTTGACTAGGCTCTCCTTATCATCAGACGCCGAGAATTCTCCTTTATGTGGTATTGAAAATAGCAGTTCCCTAAATCGCAAATCTCTTGACCATTCTGAGGCTGATATCACAAAAAGCAATGCAAACGGGTCATCTGATAGCGAAGATGGATGGAAAATTGACAAAAATGAGGCCATGACGATACATTCAGCCATGAAAGGCATCTCCGTAATCCATGGAGGGAACCTATCCTCGACATCCACGGTCTTCAGAACCCATCGTCGACGAAGCCCAACAGCCGCATCTTCCGGAAGCCCCCCCAGTGAAAATGCCATGTTCACGGCATCCCAGGCGAGACGCATGGTGAAAAGCGAAAAGGGTCATGATTCGAAATTAAGCGTCTTGGGTCCGAGGACCATTCCCATTACAAAGCCAAGTAGCCAAAGGCGGACTACGTTCGGAGACGCGAAACAGATGAGTGTTGGCTCACGGGAAAAAATAAGGATTATCTCAGTGCGGGGCAGTTTGAATTCAGCTGTAAAGAGCTCTTGGAGGTAATCTGGGATCTTTTAGATATGTTTTTTTTGGGGGGGCGGCGGGCGTTTAGAGATAGGATATTAGGTGGTGTTTTGGTGTTTATATCATATCGCGGCTTGTGCTTCATTTCGCATTTCCATTCAACTGCATGTATTCTGTCGCACTTTTTTTTTTTTTTTTTTTTTTTTTTCTCTCTTTTTCCCTCGTCTGCGATTTGGGACAGGTTGGCTTGTGACCCCTTCCCGCTTCATGCAGGCTCTGGTGTCTGCGACCATTAGTGGTATCGGTTTTGATTATGTATGTACAGTATAGGAGATTGGCTGACTGCGGGTCAAATTTCATTTCACTTCTATTCTTTCTTTCCTCGAATTTTTATTTTTTTTTATTTTTTTATATTTTTTATATATCCTCCCCATTTTGATGCTTGTTGATAGAATCTTTGGCCACGATTGGCCACTGGTGCGAACGACACAAATGAGTCGTGTGTAATTTTTTCTTGACACAGACATTGTGCTTACAAGAAAAGATCAACTCAAAATCCCATGTTTCAACGTCTATTTGCCATTTCGCATACCACTTCAGCCACTTGCGATTGGCTTTAAGAGAGAGTTGACGTTACATATTGATCGCTCGCTTCCAGCTTTCCAGCTCTGCCAAGTCACGATGGAATAGAGTAATCGAGCATCAACCAACAGAACCAGAGGAAACTGATGTAAAGGAGAACTTTAGGATGCATGTTGGGAGGTACCATCCCCAGTTTCCCAGGTAAAAAAAATTAAGATGGAATGAAATTTTCAGATGTTCAATGCCCAATTAACCTGAACCAAACTTGTTCGAGTTGAATGTGGGGCAAACTTCGAGTTATTGACTCCTGACAAGTATTGATACTCGAGGCTCTCAGGAAGGAAGTGCACTGGTTCATAAAAGAGACTTGAAGCGCACAGCTGCAGGTATTTCGTAGCTGCAAACATCCCACCTGATAATGCCATACTATCCTTAATATATATAAAATAAAAAAAATAAAAATAAAAAATGCTCTAACTAGATTCTAAAATGAGTTTCCTGTCGGAACGGCCTGTTTTAAATTCTTCTCTTATTATTAACTACGAGTTGCGTGATTAGCTGCCAAAAGTCGATCTGCTCAACCATGAACTAACTTCTCCAATATCAAACGGACACTAGGCATCACCCGCAGCTACAGGGAAGCCTTTGATTCTCGCGATGGAGTTCCCGTTGCTCTCGACAGCGGCTTGCAAACGAACACCACATGACGGCCCGGGAAATTGCCAGGTCACTCTACTACATATTCTCGTCATTTAACAATGGCATTAACTGGCAGCCGGTTTAGTACATTGGTTAGCAGTGACCCTATGGTCCTCAAGCCTCCCTCCTCGAGGCAAAAAAAGGAAGAAGAGAAGTGTAACTAACTCATAAATAAATTAACCCAAGCAGAGCAGAGACGGGTGCATCATTGAGTCGGGTGATTTAGTTTTTATACCCTTCCACATATGAAAATTGACAAGACGGCTCAAACCAGTCAATGGGTAGGGAGGGCAATTGGACTACCGCGTCGATCCAGTCCTTTTTATCTTGCTCAGAGATCCACCGTGCAATCTGGTTTTACAAGGCCACCCACCCATGCTTAGTTACCAAGACATCCCGCAAAGCTTGGGTCATTCCTCGCCAAACCACGTTCTGCTCCATGGCAAATCACCCAGCAACATGCGTGATGGGGAGTAGAAGGAAATGCAGATAGGTTCTAGGGAATACTTAATATAACGCCTTTTTTACATCTGCCAGCAACCTGGAGAAGTTGCACATAAAACATGCATAGATATGTAGTCTATAAATAGCGTCCGTAAGAGATACGGAGTCTTCTACCGAATGACGCAATCCCGAGGCGCGCAACGAAAGTGGGGCAAGTTCGGCCAAGGGAAGGATTATCTCATCATCAAATCCCTGAGAAAAAGCTTCAAGACGCCGTCATGATTTGTTTCCAGCTGTTCTCGCCTTGTCCTTTTTCTTAGTTACTTCTCTTGTTCTCCCCCCGGTCCTTTAGCATCAGTAACTAAGTTAATTTTAATGATCTGCAAAATTAAAAGCGCCTCCATTGTCAATCAATAATCAATCAAATAGCATCTTTTCTAGGTTTCCACAACGTCGTTCCCGATCTCATCCGTCATGCCGCCATTCATGTCACGAATCATGCGCCTGTTCTCTACCACCCCATCTCTCTCCCTGACTCCAGAAGTTCTCGCAGCCCGGGGCTTCCCGGAAAATGCGCAAGAAGCTACATTCGCTGCTGGCTGCTTCTGGGGTGTGGAACACCTGTTCCGGAAGAAGTTTGGCGGCGGGAAGGGGCTCTTGGATGCAAGAGTCGGATATTGCGGTGGTGAGTCGAGAAGCCCGAGCTATCGGAGCGTCTGCAGTGGGACTACGGGTCGTACGTGGTTTTTTTTCTTCTTCTTCTTCTTCTTCTTCTTTTTTTTCCATTTTCCATTTTCCATTTCATATTGCTCTCTCTCTGTCCGTTTCGCCCCACGGAGCTTGTTGATCTGACATAGACAAATCTTCCCAGATGCCGAAGCTCTAAGGATCATCTTTGACCCTTCCATTGTTACATATCGTCAACTGGTCGAATTCTTCTACCGCATGCATGATCCTACAACTCTTAACCGACAAGGCCAGGATGTGGGGACACAGTATCGAAGCGCGATATTTACGCACAGTGAAGAACAGCAAAAAATTGCCAAGCTGGTTACTGAGAAGGTGGCTACGGAATGGTGGAAACGGCCAGTCAAGACGTTGGTTGTTCCGGCTGGTCAATGGTGGGATGCGGAAGAATACCACCAGCTGTATTTGGATAAAAATCCCGGTGGATATGAGTGCCCCATGCAGTAAGTGATTGATTCCTGTTTAACCGCAAGGCAGAGGTCGAAGTTCGGGGAGCTGAGTTCTGCGACGGAGAGAGTTCTGGCACGTTAGAAGGGGAGACGAATGCGGGACGTTGTGCTAACTATGCGTTTTCAAATAGCTTTGAGAGGAAATTCGCGCCGTTGTCGGAATGAGGTTGCCAGATCGAAGTTATTTGTATATATAGAAAAATAACACTACCCTAGCAATTGGGGTTCAGGTTACAGAGTATGTATGCCTTTGAAATTGTACTATCAGCCTGCTCTTGTGAGGTCTCACCCTGTCTTTGGGAGTGATATCAAACTCCATTCACCGACCATCCTTGCGGCCAAGATTGGTTTTCATCACGACTACCTCCCCCTGCATGCACGTAGACAATGTAAACTCTGGTTACATCCATCGTTACCAGATATCCATGGCGTTCTGTTTATATGAGGATATCAAAGGTTGTATGTAGTAATTTCGGCCGGGAGAGGGAATGCTTACACACTGCGATGATGCTACCGTGAACTAACGGACATTGGGACAGAGACACTTTCATAATCCATTGCAGATTGATTCTTTGTTGCATCCGTATAGGATCTTGGACGGATCACAGGTGGACATGAAGGGTAGGAACTCTATTATTTCACTGCGAAACAGCAATATCTCCCCGCTATTTAATGCTTCCGGAATGCCTGGAAGACGATCTGTCTGTGGGTTCGGGGGGGGGGGGGGTGTAAAAAAGTTGATCGCAGCAGATAACTAGTTACCTAGAAAAGTATCACACGCAACTGTGGACTCGGGGGAGGATCAAGGCACGCGGTCATTCGCCAAGCTGTAGAGGAAGCTCCATCTACAACCAATTAACCAGTTAATTATCAGAAATGTAATAGCGATCCATGGACGAAACCCCCACCCCCCTCATACCTTGCGTCGAAACATAAGTGCTTAGTTGCTAGTTGTGCAGATTTGGATGTAACTGAACACGCCCCCCCCCGCCGCACATTGGGGGGTAGACGCGGAACCCTGTGGCAAGATTCCGAATCACGAGAGCCAACCAACCCCAAGATGCGTCCCAAGGCCGCAGGAAACCCAGTCAGGTACCCAAAAATGAGCCAAACCTTCGGTTTCCCTCCTCGGTTCCAATCAGTTGTTCGGTGGAAACCCCCCTAAACTGCTCAATTCCCTGCGTCGCTATCAACTGCTCCACCGCGTTTGATTTGATTAGCTCTATCCTGGGTTATCCGACACTATCCTCGCTCCTTCTGGCAAGCTTTGCAACGGGGTCCAACCAACGAACTGCTTGCGTTTGTTGTCAGTGAAAGCGGCGTCTCTTGTTCCATCCCCACGCCCCCGGTTTGTTAGTCTTTCCCTCTATGCTGCGTCTCTACCTACGGCTGCACCGGGCTGCTGTGAAGGAAATTCCAAACTGATGGAGAGCCGAATTGCTCGGGAGGAGGGTAACAACCACGCAGAGGCAAGCAGCGTTTGACAGCGTTATATACATAACTAACTGGTTAGTGTTAGTGTTAGGATAGGGTTAGGTTATCTTGGATGAACAAGAAGGAGAGAGTAATTCATACCTGAAGAACCCCAGAGTGTGCCGCCGCTTTCTCCTAAATGTTTCCTGGAGGAAATCTCCCTTCCGGCGCCTGCGGCTTCCGAATACCCTGACAGCCTAAACTGATCAACCTCTTCTGGGAGCTGCCCCCCCCCCCCCCCCCGCCCCCCCTAATACAAACCAACGATCTGAAATATATTTATTTCCCTTGAACGAATCTTCTTTTGTTTCCCTTTGTGTTCTTCTTTTACTTAGACTCTAAGAATTCGAATCTTCGCTGTTTTCATTTCTGTATCATTTCTCTTTCGCCTGAGCGGTATATCCATCTCTTATTCTTATTGTTTTTTTTTTTTTATTGTTTTTTTATTTTTATTTTGGCTTAAAGTTGTTTTGTACTTTTAAATTACTACTATTCCTTTCTACATTCTGTAAAAAGGGCTGCGAGTTGTTTGTTTACCAAGGAGGACTCTGAAAAGGGAAAAAAACGGAAAAGGTGAGCGTCAAAAGGGACACGAAATGCGAAGACAGGTCGCCTTCAAAACTACCTCTGCCTGTTTCGGTTATGCTGGGCCTCGGACTCCTGCCAGGCGAGCTTTCTCATGGAATCGAGGTCCTGTTAGATATTCCCACCAGGGACCCGGCCAGCTTTCCGATCATTCACTGCCTGCTGCAGGAGGGTCCTCCATATCCCCACCCGGCGCAACGAGGCCATACGCAACGCTGAATCATACGATGCCTTCGTCCAATACTCCAAAATCCTCTCCCCTTTCGATTCTTCCCTTATCCACTATACTGAGATCCCTATTCGTCACTACTATTTCGTCTTCACCTCTCCTCTTCCCCCCCTCTTTGGCATTTTTGACAGTCTTAGCGAAGCCCGACTCAACCTTCTTAAATCCTGATAATAATCTTCTCTTGAAGACTCTACTGGGACAGACGATGTATGCCCAGTTCTGTGCGGGAGAAACCCGAGCAGAGGTAAAGGGGAATATCAAGGAATTGAAGAAGATCGGTTTCTCCGGTGTCATATTAGGGTATGCGCGGGAAGTCACAATGGATGAGGCCGAGATACAGTCTCTGGCCCAAGCCACGGTCACGAAAGAACGGGAGGAAGATAAGGCTCAGGGCATTGCTGACTTGACAGCATGGAAGGAAGGGACCCTCGAAACAGTCGACCTAGCAGACGATGGAGACTTTGTGGCTCTGAAATTCACTGGAGCCGGGAAGGGATCAGTCCGCCATTTGCTACACGGCTTACCGCCGTCGTCCGAGCTCGAAGAAGCCATTGTGGAGATTTGCGAGAGGGCAAAGGCGCGCAATGTAAGGTTGTTGATCGATGCTGAGCAGCAAGCTGTTCAGCCAGCGATTGACAAATGGGCTCTTGACTTCCAACGACGGTATAACAAGGGACCAAACCAACGGGCTATTGTGTATTCGACTTATCAGGCCTACTTGCGTTCTACCCCTAAAACACTTTCTGAGCACTTGGCAATTGCAAAGGCGGAGGGATTCGTTCTTGGAGTCAAGCTGGTCCGTGGTGCATATCTAGGAACTGAACCGCGACATCTCATTTGGGCCACGAAAGAGGATACCGATAAAGTATATGACGGCATTGCCGAATCGTTGATTAAACAGCAATATGGAGAAATCCTTTCACCTCACCACCACCCTTCGACCGGCGACAGCAGTGGACAAAGCAACACCTTTCCAAAAGTGAACCTCGTGTTAGCTTCTCACAATCGTGCCTCGGTCGAACGAGCCCAGAAAACTCAAAACGAGCAACTCCGCCGGACTGGCACTGAGCAGATCGAAATGGCATATGGTCAGCTGTCAGGCATGGCGGATGATATCAGCTGCGAGCTAGTGCAGGCCGGGAAAGTCGCCCGTGAACAGCAAGCAGAGGGGGTGACGGCTGAAGTCGAGGCGCCAAAGGCGTACAAGTACCTTGTATGGGGAACCGTGGGCGAGTGTACTCGGTATTTGCTTCGGAGGGCTCAGGAGAATAGGGACGCGGCATCTAGGACGGAGGAGACGAGGAGAGCCATGGCGAAGGAGCTGCGGAGGAGGTTGGTTGGAGGCCGCTAGCTAGGCAGCGTTCAGGGGTAAATTAGGTAATCAATATTGGGTGCTTAAGTTAACATTTTGGGCGGTTGCTTGAGATTTATTGGTTTGATGAATGGGCGCTTTTCCTTGTTTGTTTTGCAGTTTTCTTGTCATTCGTATATGTCCTGTTTAGTTGACTTTCAGGGAGTTGGAAGTGCACTTTGCTGATACTGATTGAAAAGAAATCTTTATACCAGTTCCTGTTCTAATAAGAGGAGGTTAATAACTAGAACATACCCTCCATTACTTGATGACAGAATGGATATTGAACCCTACCTTGAGGTATTTTATGTCTAGGCCAGTGTATTTTCTGGTATGCGCTGGACGTCTCCTTTCAGCGTCACGTAGTTATGTTGGAAAGGGGAGGGAGGATATATATGCTTGCGTCTTTGTTGCTTCGCATTGCTTTGGGGGGGTTTTCCCCCCCCGCCAGCTTTCAACTGCTCGCATGGCAAAAGGAAGATGACTTTCGATTTTTATTTTTTACTTCCCTCTTTTCCATTTCAGTTGAGGTAAATGATAGGCCGTCGCTTTTTCTCGGTTTCTGCCTTACAGGGTTTCAAGAGGCCAAACGCTCACAAAGGAAACTATGAGACAGTTAGAATGAGGCAAAGCAACAAACAAACGAATGAAACCAAGAGATGATGGGGGTTGATATTACCGACAACTAAATAATGTTTCATTCTTTCTTCCATGAGGAGATCTGTGTGTAGCTGCGAGAAAGCTGCAGATCCCATATAATATCTATCGCTATTTATTCTCTGGTGTGGAGAGATTCTTGCCTTTTTTTTGTTCTACCCCTTTCTTTTTTTCTTTTTTTTTTCTTTTTTTTTTTTTTTTCGGGCTTTCGCCGGAGGTCAAGGAGGAAAATAAAGCTCAGAAATAGGAATCATTCGTCTTTTATCTGCTAGGAATGAAGAAGGAGATCCATGGAATGAATAGTGAATGAATCGCTCGGTGGCTATGAGGAGAGTGAAGGTCTCCCACTCTCTTTTCAAGTGTTATTCAACTTCCTAATTATCTTTTCCTGGGATTCCTTCCCGCTCTGCTGTTTTTAGCAGATGTGCGCTTGTTGTCCTAGCTGTTTTAGAAACCTTTTATGCTCTCTCAAATACCCTCTGTCTCTTCTTCATTTGTGAACTCTTCTTATTCTATCTATTTTCTTGCCCGCCTTCTTCTTTGTTTGACTCTCAGTGACTGTTCCCCAGCTGAGACCCTTCTCAGTCACCTGTATAACACAACAACTTCTCTCTCATCCATTGCATTGCAGGATACTTGTATTGATTCATCGTTAGCGAGTCATTATCCTCCCCTCCTGACTCCCGAGGCTCCTCTCATCATCCAAGAAGATGGTGATGGGTGGTATATCGAGCCAGGCCGGGGGATCTGATGGACCTCAACGCATGGATACCGCTATGGTGGAGGTCTTGGACAAGTTGCGAAGCATAACTAATCATGTAAGTAGCTAGGAAGAATCCAGAAATATGACCACTGTGAAAAACGCATTCTTGACTTGGAAAGCACTAAATGAAAAAAAAAAAAAAAAATAACAATCCAAACAGTTGCGCAAAATCCACTCCGACGAGCCAGCCAACAAAATATCAAAGAGCGTTCATCAAATTTTCAAAGACTTCGGTGATGCAACGGCTGGGTTAACGGATTATGAAATGTGGATGGTTCCTTCGGTAGTGTGTATCTGCCTTTTCATATTAAGAACATTATGTGATGCTTGAGAACCTAGACTGATAGGAGAGATTTAGGATGAGAGCAACCTGCTTAATGATCATGACGACGAGGAATTCAGCCGCAATGAATACCAGCGAATGCTGAAGGGAATCTGCCAGCCGAGGAATGGTGATCTTGTTCCCATTCATTACCCAATCCCGGACCCCCCGGCTCGTCTGTGGTCCTCTGTAGCCGCAGCCCCACCTCAGGCCCATATTAACAAGAACAGACCCTTGATTGATGCATCAAGCAAGCGACGCAACAAACGTCCAACTCCAATCGTTCCAATCCACCCCGGTGGGCGAATTATGCAAGCCCCGAATCCAGCTCAAAGAGAGCAGAACAAGAAGGCGGGAGTCCTAATCGTGGAGGGTAAATTCAATATTCACAGCCTGAATTTCCTCACTGCGAGAATCCATGAGGGTCCACTGTACAGTGTTGAGATTGTGCATAATACAGGATACGCTGAAATTACGTTCCTGCATGCACAGCATGCAAGCAATTTCCTGATCGAAGACAAACTTGCCACGGAGAAGACTGGCTATGGTCGTTTTGGACCTGATTTCAAGGTCAGATATGACAGATGTTTGGTGCGGGACTGGGATGGGGATCTGGAAAATATGGACAAACCCATGTTGAATAAAGAGAGGCGCCGGTTGACGTTTGTTCGCTCGAGATTGCTTGCATATCCGTGCACCTTTGAGAGATTGACAGACGATATCATGAGAATTGCTGGGGAGGATGGGGTGGATTTTATATGGAAGTTTAACGCTGGCAACGGTATGTCCTGTGATTGCTTTCATGTTCCTGTAAAGAGCGTAACTGCCCAATTATGAAATGAAAGAAGAAGAAAGATTTCGACTAATTGGGGTATATTTTTCCACTCAAGTTACTGCTGCTTTCAAGAGCGTGAAAACGGCCCGGCATGTTCGAGAGATGTTCTGGCAGAAGTCATCTGAGCCTGGCCCATATGCTGGCGTGCAGGTCACGTACTCGACCGACCCTTGCGAGAAGCCATTGCATCTCAGGAGAGCATGAAAATTGGACGGATTGGTAAATAATACCCACGACAATCGGCATTTGAGGAGCCTGTCCTGTTGTCCACAGCGACTACATGACAATTTTTGAATACAACCATGAACTTTCAAAAGATGTAACTATTGGTTGAACAATGTATTTGAATTGGCAATGAGCAGGGGCAATCCGTGACATTTGATCTGAAGTCTCAAGGAACAGATGCATGTGTTCCCTTACTTTTCCCATGGAATAAACCATTGGAGTAAAAAAAAAATAAAAATAAAAATAAAAAAATAAAAAAAAAAAAAGTCAAAAACGTAAGTATTCCAGCACAGTAAATGAACAAATTGCAGAAACCTTGCCCGAATATTTCCCGGTCAGGTGACATAACTGCCTCCTCGGCCCGTTCTGGTGTCGTGACTGCCGAGCTGTTTGACGCCGAGACGCCAAACGAGTCAAGGACTCGAGAACTCAAGTCACTGCAACAAACCGCCCCAGTTAACATCTCGTTTGTGCAGCCTACCCCTGCAAATTGTTCATAAATTGCAGGTCTTTATCATCAGACGGTTGTCAGGAATTGATTGTCAACCGCTTCCAAAGTTCGGTTGGCCAATGCATCTGAACATTTGACGTTTTGCGCCCGACGCGCCCGGTGACGATAATAACCAGGCATCCTTTGTTGCTGGTTCTACCTAACACTTTGTCTAAACAGCCTGGCAACTGTTAGCTGTGCACAGAGCACTGCGTGATGGAGTTTGGTTGACTACAACTACCCGACTTGAAATGAAAATAAGCCAAGATGCAACATATCCCCAGAGCAGTTACTTCCAACTCAGGAGATGCTAACAAGGGGTCACCGGCTGAATGCTGATAGGCTGAAAATATGGCTATTTTTGTGGCTTGCAAAACATGCTTAACCGTATTCAGGATCATGGCTGATTTTATGGATCTTTATTGGACTATCCACGCTTTTCACGCTTTTTAGGTTGGCTCGTCTGTTGAACCAAGGCCCATCCGGCCCCAAACAGATAGAGCCTTCGGTATTTAAACCTTTCAAACCGAAACGTGGAAACACTGGCAAAAATAGGGGCAAATATGCCGATCTGACCCCGTATCAATGGTACGGGGAGACGTCAGCCGCCCCGGTGACTTTCTACAGGAGCCAGGGGGGGTCCTTGTACCCGATGGGCATAGGCATGGCTGGGCAGTTTGAGGCAATAACAAGGGCTTTGGCCTATGGTTATCGGCTGTAAAATGCCTGGGGATGGATGGACTCCTCATTCTCTTAGCCATGGGTTGTTCTCCTCTTCCTCTTCCTTCTTCACTATCTCTAACCGTCTGTGAGAAAAAGTCACTCCTTCATCACTCTCTCCTGTTCAAGGACGCATTTCACTCGTTTTGTGCCCTCCTTGAAGTCTGTGCCCACTACTACCCTAACTCACCACACCCTCGTTGTCTAGCTTTTATCTTCTCCGTTTTGTACCGTTTAGTGTGTGAATCCACCTCCCTGGAAATCCGACTACACGATACCCTTCGACCCATTGGCTTTGGATCTTGATTTTATGTATCTCTTTTATATTTTTGGCATTACTCTATCTCCTTCTTAATACCTAGGCCCTTTGATAAATTCCACGTGAGAGTTTTTGATTAACGACTTTCCGGACTCTGGGATCCTTTCTTGTATCTCTCAGGATGACTCGTCTTGCGACATTCGTCACCTGTCTGGGGCTTTTTTCACAGGCTGTGTTAGCGCAACAAAAAGTAACATGCAGTCATGATAAAAAGTGTCCCGAGAAAACCCCATGCTGCTCCCGTGAGTAATACACCCGTTCCAAAGTGCCATTTGTCACGCGAATTTATGACTGATTCGCGCCCGTGTTTTGGTTTGGCAGTATACGGGGAATGTGGCGTTGGGGCATACTGTCTCGGCGGTTGTGACCCAGTGTCTTCTCATTCTATCGACTCATGCACTCCTGCTCCAGTATGCAAAAGCAAATCGTATACTTTCGACGATTTGGATGGAGTGGTGTCGAGAGAAAAATATCTTGGCGATGCAAGCAAGGCGGACTGGGTCTCGAGCGGGAAACCTCTTTCCAACGACGGGAAATTGATTTTAACGATGCCAAAGGAGTCTGTCGGCACCCTTATTGCCAATAACCATTACGTGTGGTATGGAAAGGTTTCTGCCAAAATGAGGACCAGTCGCGGTGCGGGCGTTGTTTCCGCCTTTATCCTCATGTCTGATGTGAAAGATGAGATTGATTTCGAATTCATCGGAGCTGATTTGCAAACTGCCCAAACCAATTGGTACTTCCAGGGCGTCATTGATTGTATTATTTTCCCCCTTCCTTCAATTGAAATTGCGATCGTGGCTTTTGAATTGGCTAACTTAACTGGTACGATGCAGATACCAACGGACAAAATGTTTCCGTCGATGGTAACACCTTTTCCCAGGAACATACCTACGAGATCGACTGGAAACCGGATTCAATTACTTGGTCCATCGATGGAAAGCCCAGACGTACCTTGAAGAAAAAGGATACGCTCAACAAGGAAACTAACCAATACCACTTCCCCCAATCACCTTCCCGAGTTCAGCTCTCTCTCTGGCCAGGTGGACAGGCGTCCAATGCAAAGGGTACTATTGACTGGGCAGGTGGCCTCATCGACTGGAATCATCAGGATATCAAAAACAATGGTTATTTCTATTCTATCTTTTCTGAGGTAACCATTGAGTGTTACGATCCGCCTGCGGGTGCTAAGATCGAAGGAGACAAATCATACATCTACACAGACAAAGCCGGAACTGAGGACACTGTTAAGATCACCAACAAAAACACTGTTCTCAAGTCGCTCCTCGGCACTGGCGTCGATATGGACAAGGACTATCCCCCCAAATCCGGCACCAAAAGTGGATCGGTCCCCAATGAGACTGACACTGTCGCTGTCATTCCCGGTTTAACTGGAGCTGGTCCGGGCACAAATGGCCGTCCCCCAAGTGACGGTGGAAGTGGTGGCAGCGATGGTAAAAATAACAAGCCATCCACCGACTTCACTGCTCCTCCTAGTAAAAGCAGCTCTTCATCCCAGAGCGAACGAGTTCTCATAGGATCGATATTTGCGGTGCTCGTTGCTGTGATGGTTTTGATCAATATGTAAAGGATTTTATGTTTTGACTATTGTGTTATATGAAATTTTTAATATTCCCTTTTTGGATGTATAATTTTCTTTTCTTTTCTTTTTTTCTCCCTCCTTTTCTCTCCTCTTTCTTTTTCAATATGTTCTAGTTGGACGTTGAATCATCTTATTTATTTCTCTTCCTTGGAGTTTCAATATCCCCTGTTTTTGTACTGCCTGTGAAAGCTATCTATCTACCCACGCTGCTCTGACGGGAATAATTTTCTGGGCTCCGGCTTTTTTGTATTTGAGAAAGAAATATATTATGCGAAGGAATCACTAAAACACAACCCATATATTCGTAAAAATTTTCCCATTGTCATTCCAAGAGATGGTCATTACTTCGGTATATCGACCATCAGGCTACTTCTTGCTGCGATAATGAATCCCGGCTCAGCCCCTAAAATCATGTGGGGCCCTGGCACAAGGTTAGTCGTCTTGTCCGTGTTTACTCTCTACGACCCACTCTCTTCAGATCTACTGCTGAAATTCCAGGACCTATCATAGGAATATTGACGTATTATAGTTGGCCATATTCTCCTACACTACAAGCTCTTCGCATATTATCTACATGGTTGCGCCGGTAAGCTTGTTACCAACCGAAGAGAACGGGGAATGCCTCTCCTGCACACGCCTCGGGTTGACACCCAAGCATGAGATTGTGTATTTTTCAGATAAAGCACAAAAGTCCTTTTACTTCTGCAGCTTCTCCCACATTCCATCTGGCTAGATTTGTCGCAGACATCTTCCCCTCTTGTTTCCGCCGCTGCAGGTTGCCGAGGACTGAATCAAATATTTTGTGAAACCTCAAGCTTTGTTGGAGGCAAGAAACTCCCCACACATCTATGATTCATACTTTTGAGATTTAACAATAACCCTGAATCTGTCTTGAGTTCTTGTTCTTTGCCGTTGTTATTTGCCTAGGTCATTTCATGAGCTAGATTTTGGTGTTCTTTGCGGTTTCTTGGTAGAGATTGTTTGTCTCTTTCTTCATCAGAAGGATATAGATGCTTCAATAACTAACTCATGACATTAGAGCGTCGGTTCACTTAATTATGTATTGATTGTGATTTACTCTCCCGATCTATTTCTGACCTAATAAATGTGTCATATTTGATGAAACTTCATTGTCTCCATGCCTAATGACTGATCTTCAAACAGGAAGGATTTGATGGTTGCCGCTATCTGAGTCATGACAGCAAGTTGCTGTGCCATCCTCTGACTACTATCATTTTCATGAAATGAATGATGAATCACCAGCGCCTGAAAACGGGCTAGTCTCTCAAAGAATTCATTCAATGAAGAAGCAAACTTACCAAGGGATTACTGGCAGTGGTATCTACAAATTGCAAGCGAGCAAAGATACCTATCTCAGTGACTAGGGATTTATGTTTTCCTGCCCAATTGCTCCAGACACTGCTGTTCCCTGAAAGGCTTTGCTGTCATTCCAGTACTTGCTTGTTCTTCTCTTTCAAGATTCACTTATCAATTCTTTTATATGGAAAGAATTATGAATGATGGCAAATATAAATGTACGATTATGGGATCAACCTCCCGCCTTCTCCTGTCAGTTCGAACTTCTGATTCTTTCTTGTAAGCAATCATAATCAGCCCCAGGGCCTCTGTTCCTTCATCCCAGGGTTATTATTTGCTTCTTGATCAGATCTAAAAATATTATTCCAGATAGATCTCAGGAGTTCCAGCAGGTGGAAGGTTGTAAATGTTGACTAGTTGACCGATTTCGGCAAACTCTCATGCTTCAAGAAGAATGTCAGGGCCCTCCCCCTTGGGCTGAGAACGCATAATTTCAGATCTCTCAGTAAAACATATCACACAGCTTCTCTCATCTCAATTCTGTCATTGTGCCTCCTTGGATATCTGGATATCTGAACGCGTGTGTGGTTTGCTTCCTACCGCCATCAGCCCTCTGTTTCGCCTCGCGACTCTCACCTCGGATCATCTCAGAAATCCACTTCACAGATCCTTACTACGACGGCAGTCTGTCCCCAAAAAAAGAGAAAGAAAGAAAGAAAAAAAAAAAAAAAAAGAATCCTCTCATCTATCACCCGCAAGCATCGTCCCAGCGGTAGCCCCATGGCACAAGAGAATACACATCAACCATACGAAGTCCTCAGATCTATCACCCAAAACAGCCATACCACAAGAAGAAGAGGAAGAGGAAAAAAGAAAGGAGGATGTGCTACTACCACGAAATCACTTACGCCTGCTGTCACAATCTCTTCGCCTTGATCAATTTCTGCCTAGATCCATACTGCCAACTACAACGCATCAACGACCCGGGCGAACGCTGGCGCTATGATATCTTCATCCTCTTCAAGAATCCGCCGGGATTCACCCCGCTTCGCAATTACGAGAATATACCGAGTCAATCACACTCGGAAAAGAAGTGCGAGAGGTGTTTGGGGAGAAGGCGGGAGACGGAGATGTGGGAGTTTTGGACCAAGGGGGGACGGTAGGGTGGGTGCGTGAATGGTTTGCGGTTTGCTGGTTCTACAAGGGGGTAATATTTTGATTTACCTGATGTGATGGCAAGGGGTAAATGGCAAATGCATTTCTTTGTTTTATGGATTCATCGATTGCAAGGCCTTTTTTTATTGGGGGGGAATTAGGTCCCGTGACAGAAGAGTCCGACATTTTAACCAGTAGAATTACGCATTTTGGTTATTTGGATCGCATGGGCTTTTCTGGTTGTAAGTTCTGGTCTGTCAGGGATAATCATTTTATGATTTAAAATTCTGACTATCTAATTGCCTCTGCCATTATTATTTTCTTTGCATCCTTTACATTGAGCAAAGAAGAAGTACACCAACTTCACGGGAAGAAATGAGGAAGTTGATTTTCCAGATGGCCGCCCAAGTTTGGTATGCACCTGCTAGCAAAGCATTGTAGCGACAAGCCGGAAGTATGTTAATTTTAACCAAATGTGAACATCACAGGGTTAGACAATCACATATCAAGTAAATAAATCAGAACTTATCAACCTCCAGTAGAACGCAATAACAGCTGCAGAAAGGGAGTATATTGCAAGCAAATCAGTACACCAAATGTTTATCGTATATGTAAGCCGTTTAAAGGATGTAAAGACAATTCCCAAACTGGAGGCAATGGCAAAGGCGGGGGGAGAAATCGAGAAAATAGACATTCAGCGATGAAATGTGTCTGGAAGACAGAGAGGGTAGCAAGATAGTCAAAGAGATATTAAAGAAGAATCAAAAGATTAAGCCAAAAATTAGGAATATACTAATGGAAAAGGGAGGCAAATGATTAAAGGTTGGTATCCAACAACGTACAGGTGACAAAAAGAAATATTTTAAGGCAAGTTTAATGTTTCGAACCACATTAACAGTTATCCCCGTCAAAATTTCGATTCTCAAGAACAATAGGATTGACGAAGTCCATCACGCTTCTTTCGTTTGAAATCGCCATGGTAAGTGTCGAGTTTATCAACGACTACGCCATCGTCGAGTGGTGGGCCCATCCAAGCATATGGCTTAACACTGCCATCATCGGTGTCATATGAAAACGAACGTGTGGTTTGCAGCTGCTTGGTAACGCTCTCCAGGTCAATATTGAGATAGTCCGCGAGGAATGAGCCAATTTCAGTATTTTCATGGTTCCCCATTAGGGAGAGGGCATCGTTAGGAGAGGAGGCGTAGATGTTCACATCGACAGCTGTTGGACAAAAAATTTTAGTGATCTACAGAGTAAAACACGCTTTGAAATATTCAAAGGAAAGAGAAGAATGGGAAACAAAGCATTAAACAACTAACCAGAATGTCCATGCGTGGACCAGCCAATTTGGGCTCGTCGACTAATCATGTCTGCAAAAGCATAAGCACCACCACCGCTTATCAGTTTATCAACCTCTAAGTCCGTTGCGTCATGGATGCCTAATCCATCAGCCAGCAGCTTTTTGCGGACATATTCTTGACGCTCTGGGCCGCTTGCACCTTTGCCAGTGCCGTCGAGATAGGCATTTAAGGTATTCCTAAGAAACTCAGAGGAATGGCTGGCGTTTGCGAGCACTCCAGGATACCAGAGATATGTTGGATACTGAGAGGGGTGGAGTTGTCTAGCGATAGACAACCCGCCAGTCTCGTGGTCTGACGTGGCAACGAGGATTCCGGGGGTAGAATCTTTCTTAAGAAACTCCAGAACTGCGGAGAACGCTTTATCATAAGCGAGAACTTCGTGGACTTGGGCTGCTGGATCATTTCCATGGCCTGCATGGTCTATCCTTGAACCCTCTATCATGATGAAGAAACCTTTGTCGCTATCTTCGGTAGCTTTGCTTAGTGCCTTTAGAGCCATACGTGTCATCTCCTCTAGAGATGGGTACACATTGTTCAGCAGGCGGCGGTCTATTTCATAGGGAATGTCCTTTGGTGCCAGAAGGCCAAGAAGCGGGAGATCAACATTTTCGCCCATTTTAAGATGGTCAAATCCCATCCAATCATCGATATATGAGAATCCCTTAGCTTTAGCTAGCTTCACCACGTCTATGTCATCTGCACGGCAGCTCCCCTTGGTGGAATTTGCCAAGAAATGACAACGTCCACCCCCAATCATTAGGTCAACCATTCGACCAAGAGGATATTCTCCAATCTCATGCAAGGCAATAAGATCTTCGTAGGACCGCATGTTAGCATGAGAAGCAAAGCAAGCTGGTGTAGCGTCAGTAATTCGAGTTGTTACGACTAGACCAGTCATATAACCAGCTTGTTTTGCGGCCTCAAGAACCGTACCACACGGAGTATGATCCGGAAGAACAGAGATGGCGCCATTATAGCTCTTCTTCGCACAGGAAAATGCAGTTGCGCCAGCCGCAGAGTCGGTAATTAAGCTAGATGAGGATCTAGTTCTCGAGGTTCCGATATGGTGCTTATCTAGGACGAGGATATCATCGACAGGCAGGTGGCTCTCGAATTGTCGGAAATTTCGAGTCAGCGATAAACTTGCCGGGCCCATCCCATCAGATACCATGAATATCAGATTCCTCTTCCCCGTAGGCTTCTCTCCAGGGCCCAATTTCCCTGGGCCTGATGCGTTCTTTTGTACTTGGTGTTGGTAGAGAACTGCGAGGATGATGACAGTGACGGTAGCGAAGAGAGCCCAGGCAAAGAGCCCAAGCTCACGCCATATGGAGGAGCGACTCCTTTCTTCATCGCGGTACGTCCGTTCACCAGTTAAGAGAGCGTCAGCCTCGCCTGTTCGTATCGACGAATGCTCAGAGGAGGAGCGCTGGACGAGTAGAGGATCGGACATGGTCAGGAGAGAACTAGAGATAGCTTTGGAGGTGGGTCCTCTGAAGGGGATGAGGCTGTAAACAAATTAAAGAAGCGTCTAGACACATGTCAACATCAACATCTAATGAAGGATTGTCGGAAGTCCAACTCTAAGGGTCGAATGTTGTGAGAGTTGTTAATTGAGCTTGTGACAGTTGATGACGAGGGTCGCTTACAAAGCCCGCGCCAAGCCCTCAAATTTAGGACTGGGCACGGGAAAATTGTGGAGTAGTTAACTCTATCTATGTATGGCACATAACCAAGGGACTAATGGAACTGATGGATTGAAATAAATATATGTTATATGATGAGAGAAGAAGCTAACAACCCTCCTATCCTTCATGTATTTTACAAGAAGGTTGCATGTATGTAGTATATATATGGATATTACTACCACTTCCCAAAACCAACCCTATCATCCTATCCTATAAATGTAAATCGATAACTCCAGGGGGCAATTCAAAAACGTCACCAAACAATTAGAACCCTGCTACAAATACACATCATACAAATTACTCCCTCATCCTCTCCCACCCAACTACGGCCCTTTCCAGCCAACAGGAATCAACGCCGCTGTGACCTCCCGCACTCCCCTTTCCGTAGCCAAGAGGTTGAACTGGGCCGCCGCATTCCTCGTATCCTGGACTTCAACCCGGATACCAAGAAGATTGATCTGCCTCCGCGTTTCTGGAGAGAGCGGATGGACAGAGGCACCAAGTCCAAGAATAAGAAGGTCTAAAAGTGAAATAGAATACGTAGTTAGCTCTAAGAATTCAATATAAACCCTCCGTTTCCAGTGGGCATAAAACACAAAAGCGAAAGCCGTGTCCGTCCACAAATCGAGAAATGAACGGGTGAATAGGAATAATATAAAAGGCCAAAGAAAACTGAAAAATAAATACCCACCAGGCTTCGGCCGTATCAGCCTCAACACCCCCCAAACCTCCGCATCAACCTCCCACTGGCCCTTCTCATTAATCATCGCCGCCATCCCCCGCCCATTCTCACCCTTTCCGGCCTCCCACGGCCTCCACGCCAAAACCTCCCCATCAACCAACAAACACCCATCCCCACCCGTAATCTTCACCCCATTATTCAAGTGGAACCCATCTGGCAAACACGCATCGACTGCTGTGGACGGGCCCGCTACGTCCATAAGCACATTCCGCGTAAAGAGAGATGGATCGCATGTTATGTCTTCGCTGATGCTTCCTGGGGGTTTGTCTTCGTGGGGGGTACGGCTGAGTGTGGGTATGGGTGTGGGTGTGGGTGTGGGTGTGCGGGTGCGGGTGCGGGTGCGAGTGTCGGAGGGATTAGGCCGTTGAGGGTTGGATCGGGGGGATTGGGGTTTGATGTTATTATTGCTGTGGTTGTTGTTGAGGGAGGAGGAGGTAGTGTAGAAATTGCGTAGCATGGAATGGTGTTGACTGGTGATGTCTGGTGCGCTGACGCGCAGGCTTAAAGGGCCATGCGTTTGAGGTTGTAATGAGGACGATGATGATCGTGATGGCGATGGCGATGTAGTTATCGTCATTCCAGATTGGGGTGTTTGCATTTGCTGTGTTCTTGCTGAGGGGCGCAATACCCGTAGAAGACGGGAGGATGGCGGGCGCATTGTGAATGAACGCTGAATGACGGAGGGAGGGACGTAGACGCCGGTGCAGCTTTATCTATTCACGGAGGCGGTATTAAGCTAATAAATATCTATATAGATATAGTTCAAAAGAGCAGCAATAGATGCATTTCACAGCTCGCTCTCTGCTCATCCCGAATTGCGACGAAACGTGTGTTGATCTCTCCTGTTGATCTCGCTTATACTAGCGTCACCCACGCCTCTGTATAAATCAGATCAAGTTGCTACGTATTCTCTGAGCATATCCGTAGTAGAAATAGATATACAGATATTACATTCAATAACGTGCGGACGAAAAAAAAAAAACCTTGATTTTCCAGCCACGCCAGGAAACCTCACCTGGACAACGCGTAGTGATTCCCAAAATCCTGTTGGATTTAGTGATCAACTTCGGAAGACACTGTCTGGGGTGGATCAAAATAATGCTATATCTGATCAAGAATCTGTGTGCTTGATTGTTTTGTTATTCATGTTTACAGAAAGCCAAAGAGATTGATATACATGATGAAAATTATAATAAACTACACAATCTTCTAAAAATAAAAGTGGATAATTCTATTCATAAAATTCAGTCAGACATTATAACTCAAGCATAAGATCATATCTGAAGTTAAAAAACTTCATAGACATACATTCTTCTTTTTATATTATTCTCTTATATTAATATCTAATTCATCATAAATTTTTTTTAAGATTATCATTTTCTAAACATTTTAAAGTTTATGAAAAGAAATATATCAAAGCTTATACTTTTCAACTAATTAAAAGTTTATCATGAAGTAGTAAAGAAAATTACTGTTTATTATTATATGAATGCAATAGCAGATATAAGAATGATATCTGGCAGTAGTCCGAAAGCAAGCGAATAGCGGTTTCAAAAGGTACGACCCACGGGACAGCATCTGTAATGGGACAGAGTAAATCTCGACGACGAATCAAAGGTTATATAGCGTAGCTCCCGAGTATTCATCGGCGAAACTTGTGCGGCGAAGCATGGAGAATCAGACCATCAACAGCGAATGGCCTGGGGTCTCCAGCGCCGCGAAAGATTGCGGTACGGGTCTGTTCCAATTTCCAGAGGCAACAGCGGTACCCGGACGAATGCAGCCTTGCAGGCAAGCACCCAGTAACCGGCGAAACGGTGCAAAGGGGCCACACTGGACAGAATACGTGAATTATAAAAGAGGCTCTCATCCGGACTGCGTTCAGCGGGTTCCAGCACAAGGCCCAACCGCTGCCGCCTATGGTTGAGAAATCCTCACTTTCTGAATTTTTATCATTTGCTACAAGAACCGACCACATAATGTCGTGTCGGTTCTTGGAGATCCCCCCCCCCCCCGAATTAAGATACAGATATACGCATATCTGCTGTAATCGTTCCCGCCGAGTTTTATGACAAGACACCCCTCCGGTCGGATGGAGCAAGAACCAAGACCGCGATTCTTCAAACCTGCCATCAGATATGTACATCATGAGGCAATCTCCATCCTTTATCACTCCGTTCCATTCGCAGTTCACACGTTACACCATGCTCGTTCTCCATTGGCAGCTATACCTCTAACTGTGCCGACCTCCCTACAATTCCAGAGCAACACGGCCTACATATCAACGCAGACTATAGAATGAATCATATACTGATGGAAGGGATATTAAGTCAAATGTTGATTGCGCGTTCTCAGTGGGCCGATGATTTCTGAGATGTGGTCCTTCCGCCTTCAAATAACCACTGGTTGGATTCCTGTACAGGCGCAGCCGCAGTCTGGGCCCGAGTATTCTGATTCTGAATTCTGGGATTGGGTTGTTTCTACCACATGTAGCACTCTGCAGAGGCTGGTTGATCGACTGGAAGCAGTTCATCCGCATATCGGCACCCTCGACGTGTCCATCGTCCTTGAGAATTCACCAGGAAAACAGAGAGCCTCCGAGGCCGTCCAACTCATTCTTCAGCCTCTCATGCGGCTCCGGAATGTTTTAGAGGCCCATGTCCGTTCGATTGATTGCTCTTTCACCTCTCCAACTGAGCGGCCGGTTGATCTCCTGAACTCCCCAGAAGAGAACCAAACATGGCGGGAGGTGGATGACTATGTGAGACGATGGGAGCTCATGCTGTGTGGACAAAAAGAGGTATCCTGTCGCTAGGGCGGTGGAAGGAAGATTCATGCTGTTAATTAACACATTGAAGAGAGAGGTGGTCTATATCTTTTTCCCCCCCTTGAGATTAAGCTGAAGCCTAGGATAAAATCAATTAAATATCAGTGGGATGCCGAGCAAAGCTGTTAGTTACGATGTATATCGTAACTGAGTGGGTGCTGAATCTATTTGCAGCATGTGAAGAAGAATTAACCCAACTCGCCCGGTAGGTCTACGTCGTGAGGTCGAGTTACGTTAAACCGCAGAATGGCAGAAGCGAACACATCAGATTTGGACAGATATCCGGAAATCCTGGAGGTCCGCCAAAGAAGGCTGATCACCTGGTCGATGCTCATGTGACATCTACGAGGTAGTTCTCTTTTTAAGCGTAAAGAAGCTGCATGTTTTCCGCCCTCGGAAAAAGACGACGAATTTCCATGCGGGATCATTTCCAACAATGAAAAGTAGGTATACGCACTCCTTGATGCAAGGTTGAGGAATGGTACCCGTCAACTTTTTAAGCGAGATCTCAATCACGAAAGGCAACCAGTCCTAGCCCACTTTGAAACATATATGCTAGATACCGTTGCAAAGCACGATCGGATAACTACGAGCCCTCCCACATCCTTCCTCACGAGAGAATTTCTCATGAAGCAACCGTGGTTTCCATTGCCACGAGGCCACTCCCGTATCTGAGATATCCTTGCCAGTGCCAGTTCTGTGAAACGCCAGAACGGTATTGGAGTTGGCAGAAAAGTGTGGATGTGAGTGCGGCGGGGAAGAATTTACCCCGCAGGTGGTGTATACCTTTTGCTACACTTGGCAAACTGGGCAATTAGACAAGAACGGCACTTGGCGCCGTCCCATTTGCTAACAAGTTGGGGACAATCAAACTGACCAGCTATATCGATGAGGGTTGTGACAGTGAACGGGACGGCCCGGGAGGTACCATACAAAATAAACGTTCCCAGCGTTTGTGGTCTCTCGTAGTAGAATCCGAGATGGAAAGCCTAGGCCGATAGGGATCCTGTTTTGGTAGTTCGCCTTCTCCTCCGGCCGGGGTCCTCGAAAGTCATTGAAGCCCGATGGGAAATCTTTTTCGCGGTTATGAGTCACAGAGTGAAGGGTTTGCTGGTTTTCGCCATCCATCCTTTCTCTGACACAAATCTTTAGCGTTCACTCGTTCCATCGAGGTGGGGATGAAATAATGGTTCATTAGTACGGAAACTTGTCCAGGTGGATCATCATTACCTTGGTTTCTATAATCATCTAAATAACTATTTGCGTCTTTTCTTTAGCATCTTGATTGCTTCTGAGGATTTGCTTTCATTTTCCCGCGTTACTGGAGGAGCACGCGAGGGAGCAACCTGTGAGATGGGGAGTCGGCCGGGTTTCCTCTCCCAATATAGACGTAAAACTTGAGTCTTGGACATGGACACCTTCAATCTCCTGTGAAAGCCCGGTTGATTCTGAGAAACTCGGCTCGGACTGCTGCGATACCTCAAAGTTCACCTCTGGTAGCTCATCAATAGCCGAGCACAAACATCTAAAATGAAAAGGTACCCAGTCGTTATACACACCCATCACGAACTTATAAGGTGTCCATTTCTCTCTGCCATCCGGCGCTGCGGAGCTAAACTCATGGATGGAAAGCCGATAATAGGTAGTCTTCTTTCTATCTGTTACTGGGTAGTGGCCGTAGGTCCGGGCCATTCGGTGATCATGCGAAATTGAAAAGGCCAAAATCTGTTGATGTAGCTCCTTCTCACGCTTCACAAGCCTGAAGAGCTTGACAACAACTCTTACCGAGAGGGTCATGCTATGCGCATTCTGTCGATCTGCTATATAAAGCGCTGCCTTTCCACACTTCACTTCAGCTGTCATAAACGGAAAGTTCATGAATGCCGTACTCATAAAGAAAGAAGTGTCCCCAAAAAGCCTGCCGGGTGAAACCCATAGCATAATCCGGCTGCGGCCGTGGTAATCGAAATTGTGGGGATCGCGAAGGCTGCGGAGCTTGTAAAGACTGTAAAGTTCGTGGTAATTGTTGAGATTGATCAAGAGAAATCGAGCTCTCCCAACCTTCATCCACACTGACAACCAAATGCGGGAATGTGACCCGACCGAGATCAATTGCACTCTCTGCTAACGGAACAATTAATTCACCAATAATGTGAATAACTCCAGTCTCATTTTTCCTTTGCATCCTTCGACACGTGTTTCAAAAACGCCTTCTTGAAACACAGTTTCCTTAGGGACCTCGGGATTCGCGCTCAGTATTTGATGACAGACAGACCTGCTGTCACCATCAATACCATCATCATGGTCATACATAAAACAGCCATTAGTCTCAAGATATGTATCATAGTTCTTGTCAGTGTAAGGTCTACTCTTCGCTTCTCGTGAACTCGTTTCGCTCGCAGTGTTCAAACTACCATTTGACTTCGTCCGGCGAAGAGATGGAGTTTTCGATCGCGCAATAAAGTATTCCATAGGATCGGGTCCCAAAGGCTCTTTAGGCCACTCGTATTCGTGAAGCGCCCAATATTCTGTGAATTTGATGTCGGTTCGTGGCCGCTTTGAAGGCGGATTGGAATTATCCGGAAAATGCTTAGGTTCGGGATACTGCCGTTTATGCTTACACCTTGGCGGTAATATTGGTAGACTGTGAAGAATCTTAGAAGAATTAGCCCCTGTTGGAATCACTAAAACGATGAGAAACATACATCTGGATCGACTGTTTGGGCAACCAGAGGGAGATCGGCGTTCGTTGGTTCAGTGGTCCCGTTCACTGCGTCTTCACCAGCGCTGTTAAGAGTACGCTGTCGCTTGTCAAGGCGTTTGACATGATGCCCACATGGCTCCCCCGTATCACATGCTCGCTTTCGTTGCTGGTCATTCACTTGAAATTTTAGGTGGTTCTGCTGTTGTTAACATTAGTTTCTTGCACAGCATTGGCTGCGGCGGCTATATCATACGGTCTTTATAGGGGGACAACTCGCTGGAAGTGGGGATCGGCTGGTTGGTATGGTTCCTTGCTCATAGGAGCGGTCCCTTTTTCGGCAGAGACTCTGGACTTCTTTCCGGATGCCTTGAGGTCGGCTCACTGGGCGGTGGTTAGTGAAGAGCAAGACAGTAAGAGACGAACAGCCCACCATTCCTTTTGATCTGCAACGTAGACGGCTGCTGCCGTCTTCTTTTGTAGTGTTTCGCTTGACGCGGAGCCATGTTTATTAGAAGAAATGGGGGTAAATGGTTGATGTTCCTGCACGGAGGCTTTGTCTGGACAACGAAAAGCCGAATTTTGATCGGGCGTTAAAGCCGACGTGCAGCGCTAAGAACAGCATCTCTGACTCATATAACCTAACGATGTGCCAGAACTGGACAGCCCAGAGGGGAGGGATGCAGGGTTGGCGTTGGGATGGTTGCTTCAGTCGCTGGATGCCAAAGCAAAATGCTGTCCCAACATTCGTGTCACGTGGAGATATTTATGTGGGAAAGCAGGGAATTGTCACGTGGAACGTGCGCGCACCGTATCAAATCCTGTTCCGAATCCCATCCCAAACATTTGCTAACTTTCTCTTCAACTCATATAGACGTACCCTTTTATGGAATCTACCTAATCAGGTGTCGGGCCGAAAACGTTCTTAATGGATTCTTACCTTCCGGCTTCCACGGAGCCCGGTCGAGACGAGGTCCTACGAGCCAGCACAGATCGATGGCACACCTGCATTTCCGAAGCTACTGCCTCAATGCTGCCGCGGTCGAGTATCAGACTGGACATGCACTCCAAAATGTACCAAGTTTCACTACTAGCAGACATGAATCATATTCAGTCGGTCGGAGAAATCGCACTCTGAAGTGTCGATCATATTGGTGCATTGGCGAAGGAAGCTGCGATTCCAACCATTTAGAGCTTGAGGAGCGTCTTCTGTTGGGAATCTCAACACCGACAAGCTGCAAAATCGCTGGAACGCCCGTTATACAAGAGGGGCAAACTATGAATGTTCACGAAGACGGCTTCTCGGCGGAAGCACATGGCAACAATATTGCAATTTTTTTCTTACTGTTGGGCATACATTCTGTCAGCTCGTTGGGCGGAGTCTCAGGGAGGACAGATCAGTTACCAAGACAATCTTGCAGCCTGCATTCAAGAAGCTTGTCCACAATCTCTAGACCAGATTGTGGACTTGGGTGATGTGACCTCTAATGAGCTCCGATGGTGGAGAACTGTGCTGGCTCCAGGGGCTGGCTGGGAAGCAACCACATCTACAATGCAGTATAACTACTATTCACCATGGTCTGTCAGCAATGATGCTGCATCGGGATTCCTTGTACGTGCTATAGTCAGGGACAGTGGCACACATGTCAGTGTTACATCATCAGAACAAGCATTTGAATTCCTCTCTCAATTCTGTCAACAGAAAAAGATTCAGGAACAATGTCTCATGGGCTTAGCAACCAGTTTAATGTTTCCCACTCATAATTTGACTGGTGTCCCTGTCAGACTGGTCTCTGCTGAATCTCCACTGCGGCAAATGGAAGTTTCAGATGATGAAAAAGATGCTGACATGAAGGCTTCATTTGAATTGCTACCATACCTCATGACAATTAGCTTACATGGACTGGTCCCTGTACTGTGCTCTACCTTTTTTCACAGTGCAGTTCCATGTGTATTTTGCAGCCAGTGGTTGTTATCAGGTATTGAGATGCTAGAAACTCTCCCTTGTGGACAGGTTGTCTCTGTTCTCAGTCAATACTGTCCTTTATTGGCAGCTTGGTGGACTGGAGCAATTTTCAGTGGGATACATGAATACATCTTTTGAATAGCTAAAAGTGCCACTCCTCCAATATGCCACTCATCAGCCTGGTGGACCCATTCTTCCCAATCATTTCTTTGCAGCACGATTTCAACCCCTTCGGAGAACAAGCAGATATCCAGGTCGCAGGAGGCATTGCTACTGTATCTATTTGAACCTCTCTGGTCTCATGAATGCCCTATATCACCATGGCGGCCCATTGGCACAATTGATCTGCAGGATGCAATGATTCAGGTGCAGATCCACTCCAAATGCGGATCACGATATTTCTTGAAATGCAAACACTGGTCATGATCGGAAGCTAGTGGAGAGTATCAAGATACAGGATATCCTTGTGAGAGTGATGCTATTTGGAAACGACATCTTGATATCACAATCAATTTGGCAGCTCCTATTGAAATGAAATATCTAGCAGGGCATAAAAGGATTCTACAAAGGCTGTTCTTCGATGGCTTCAGCGGGACGGAAAATCAAGTGCAGACCATGAAATGGAACAATACTTGACAAGCTCCATCTCCAATGATGAGTTCACGGATGGAAGTGAAGATATCTGATAATGAAAGCAGTGACAAAAAACGATCGCGTTACTACTCTCCAACTTGTGGGGAGAACTGGCTTTCTCGAACGAGAAATGTATCCTACCAATGGATGCCCTTCAACCCGGCTATTACCCTACTGTCAAGTCTTCGTACATACTCCAGCCAGGTGAACACCCTTCCAGATTTTGAAGCTCGTTCGGATGGTACGGACACTTCTAGCAAATCACGTAGTCGTCATGCGCTCGTGAATGACATCTTTTGAATCGTTGGCATCACCTGCTCACATTCTACCCCGCCAGGCATTATCTCAAAGGTGCTTCTCCTGCCCCACCTTACCACGATATGTTGCCGCAGTGCTTTCCGCTTGAGATGCCCCTTTGTACGAGAACAGCAGATAATTCACAGTAAAGTGAGCTTTACCCTGTGTCCTCAGCATCTGTGTGTGACCCAAAATGGGACCTGAGGATGAGCTTAAAGAAGCTCTATCAAGGCAAGACCGATTCTCTAACCTGCCAGAAATCCTCACTGATTGTCTTATCTAGCATTCTCAACACCGGTCACTTTTCAGATCTCACCGTTATTTCAAGGACTCGGAGTTATGACGTGCATCGATGCATCATTTGCCCCCGATCGGATTTCTTCCAAGCAGCTTGTGGGAATGGCTTTAAGGTGTGTAATATCCGACAAACTTGGTGGCTACAGAGGCTAATCCACGAAGGAAGCGGAAACTAGGGAGATATATCTCAGTGATGATGATCCTTTAGACATCGAGAGAATGGTGCATTATTTCTACAAGCTTGACTACAATGTCGATGATTGTTCGCCATGTCCTGCTAACAACATGGCCCAAGAATATACCGAAGCTGCTGTATCTGTGGCCGAAGAGCCATCTCCTTCGATCGATTACCCCGAAGCTGCTACTACGCCCGAACCCGGAAAACAAACACTTCAATCGATAAATACCACCCTGTATCAGACCTTGGGGAGAACCCGAGAGGTGCTGCGGAGGATTCTCCAGCGTTATTCCATGCTCAAATGTACGCTATTGGTGAAAAATTTGGGATATCGGGACTGAAGAGCCTCGCGAAAGAGAAACTTGAAGGTGACGGTGACATTCATCTTATCTGGTGTGGTAGAACATTCTATTCTGTCGTCCAGGTTATATATGGAACAACATACTCTGGTGATCGCGGCTTGAGAGATGTGATAGTAGGATTTGCGCATCAGAATATCACGGCTCTGAAAACTCGGCTAGAGTTTGAGGAGACACTGGAGGAGTTCCCTTCCTTCACTCGGGATCTACTGTGGCGGATGATAGGAGAGGATCGGCAAGAGGAGGGAGAGAGGTTAACAGTAGATCCCACCCCTGATTACCATGTCCGTGAGACTACCTAGTAGGTGGCGAGACTTTATAACCAGGCTTTCTTGTTGAATGATGCATTCGGCTAACATCAGGGATAAATCAGCACGCTTCCTACTATCTGTCACGAAAGCCGGCCCAGAGGGGGAAGAAGCTACTGCGCTGACTGCAAAAGGTCTTTAATCGATCGACAGGCACTTCGTCAGCATGACGCTGACTCTCATTCCTACTGTACGCATTGTATGAAATCTTTTGCTTCGGTTAAGAAAGCCCAGAGATATCGCTCCCAAAACCACTGAGTGCGGGGGAATTTCTGCTAGCAATTGTTGTGGAGAAGTTGATGGTGCAGTTTGTGCCACTTCGATCTTCCCCCCCATTCCTTCACTGCTGTCACGCCCTCAGCGTTAATTGTTTTATTCCTTTTGGTTTTTCTAATGCTCATTCCTCCCCCATTCGCCAAAATCAAACTAGAAATCCTGCCACGGAGCCAGCTTGTCGCAGAGTACCGGCATTTCTTCAGACATTCAACTCTCCGAGAGATCCTCAGGATGTGAGGCAGGGGTTCACTGATCTTGACTACTCCGGCGTCAGCTTCCAGGGTCGGCGGGGGTTGATGGACTGGCTCATTGAGCACAGCATCCTCATCAGCACCTTCTGCGGCTTGAGGCCACAGTAGATGCTGAGGACATCAATGGTGATGTGATGTTCCAATCCATATAGTGTCGGAGGAATGTATTGATACCGGCGTGCTGGAGCATCAGGTTCTGAAGGGAATCACTCACATCCGCTGTCTGACAACGCTAATGTTGGCACACACTCACTCCAGAAGTGGTAAGGGGGCTAAGGATGGGAGCAGCCAGAGGGAAGGGAAGCACAGGTGGATACTCACGACTCTTGTTAAAAGCCTTCGCGGCTCCATCACGGAGGACATACAGCTTCATGACCTGATCAAGGCCCGTGATCTTGCCGCCCCTTTTCATGCAATTGCGCAGCAATGATGTGGTCAGCTGTCTCTCATGTGCGATCCGGACGCCATCTCCTTCGCGGACCACCATGCAGAAGATGAACTTGTTTGCCAGATCATCCCGCAGTGGCAGTTCCTGCTGGTTGAGCCTGTCCAGAATGCGCAGGCTGTACAGCTGCTCGGGGGTCTTGAGGCTTGGTGACTTGAACACCTCGATGTGGAACAGCATCCCCAGAAGGAAGACATGTGGACTGAGGACCAGAGTGGGGTCGTAGATGATCTCCGGAAGCCGAAAGGTGTTACTGAGCGCGGAGTTAGTTGGATTGTAAGGAAACAAGGCGTCCATGGAGCATGAGGTAGAACCTACACATCCTTCATGCCCAAGAAGGCCTTAAGTGAAGTGGGTGATCAGCACCACACACAGACGCGGTATACCGGAATGGGGGTCCCGGACCAGTGTGAGCACCAGATCGTGATAGCGAAGCTGGGTCAAGGCATCCAGCCAGTTGCCTGTGACAGCCGCGAGCTGGGTGTAGAGGATCAGCTGTAGGCGCGCCCAGCCGACTAGAAACTCCATCTCGTCCGTGCGAGGTCATCAACGGACATGGTCCCCGGCGGCCTCAGTTTACGGCTGAGCTTCACTCTATAATTATTTAAAATTAAACAAATAAACTTATAATATAATAAATATACTATTGAATATAACTTTAGTACTTTTTATAAAGTAAAATAATAAATTTATTAATAAATAAATAAAGTTATTAATATAATGTGTTAATATTATTTATTAAACAGAATAATATTATTTTATAAAGATTGTATAATAATTTATAATAATTATTTATTTTTATTATTAACTATATTATAAAATTATTTATAAATTATAATTATAAAATGATTATAATTATTATAAATTATTTAAAAATTTTTATTATTTAATTAAAATCTCTATTTTTATTAATTAACTATTTTTAATTATAGTATTTAATTTATTAATAATTTATATAATTATATATTTTAATTATTAAAAATTAAATATAATAAAATAGGTGAAGTTATAATAGAGATTAAATATATATATATATATATATATAGTAAAATAAAATAATAAAAACTGAAGATTTTTTAAATATTAAAAAATATTTTATTATATTAAATAGAAGTTAATTTTTTTATCGAAAATTTTAATAATTTTAAATATTATAAAATTCAACTTTTTTATTTTTTTCAAAATATAATTAAAAATATCTTTTATATTAATAAATATAGTAAGTAGTAAAAACTCAGTTATTATTTTTAATTATTTAAATATTATAAATTATTAATAAAATATATTTATAACTAGTTAAGTCTATTTTTTAATATTATATAATAAATTAATAGTAATACTAGTTAAAAAAATATAATTTAAAATTAATTATTTTAATTAAATATTTTTTAAAATTATTAAATAATTTATTAGTTTATTAAATTAATATAATAGAGATAATAAAAAAAGAAAAATAATAAATATTCTATTCAATTAAGCACTTAGAATTAAGATTTGAATATACATACATCAAAAGCAAGATCAAAAAACATATTATTTAATAATGTTGAGATGGGGTATTGGAGAAATTTAATACTTTTATTAATCTCTAAAGATTTACAAGAACTCAAGATGTCCATTCAAGATAATCATCTCGGAACAATAAGACTTGGATATGCTCCTGTATCCCGTAAATGACCACCGGAAGGGCATCATGCATTCCCCCGTTTGTAGCTGTTGTCCCTTCTGCTCCGCAGCCGGCAAATCGAGAGCTTGGGAAATAAGCGTCTTGGCATAGAGATGCCAAGCCTTTGCAGCGGTGAAGTGGTCCAAGCTCCGCCTCCTCCCGCGGCTTACCCAGCCCGCTCTCCTCAACCCATACAGGTAAGCTGCTACAACTACAACTACAACTTCACCCACGGAGACTACCAGCACACGCACGATATGAGTGCTTCAGTGACATACTTCGCTACTTTCATCCGAACCAGTCTCCTTCCCTGAAAATGAAATAAATTGCTAAATTGCTTCGTATTGATAGGTGTGTTTAGCTATCACATCTATGCTTATCTACCACTATCCAACACAGCCACAAAAGCAGAAAATATCCTACTTGTTTTCTCGCGGAGGGAGACGCAAACAAAGGGGGAGCGCGGAGATGATAGACTTTTCTTGAAAAAAAGAGAACCAATTATTAATCATCCGCACAACTATTCGGCCCAGAAGCAACCATGGGCTTGAACGGTGGGGGAGAAAAATAAAATAAAGAAAAGAAAAGAAAAGAGATGCCGAGGACAGAAACACAAAGGGAGAGTGGGAAAAATATCAGGCGCTTCAGAGGATAGGTAAGATAATAAATATCATATCACTTCAAAAGAGAAAGCAACTCGCAAAATTGAATTTAAAAAGGCAAGAAGGCAAGAAACACAGCTTACCAACAACCCCATGTTGGACCCTAACGCCTGCCCAAAAAAAGAAGTAATGGGATTCCACAACCGTTGAACTGTTCCACGAACCTCTATTTAGTCCCTGTTGGTAACAACTTTCTTCCTCTGTATATCCTATTTCCTCTGTCCTGGTTTAACATTTCCCACCAGTAACAAAATGGGTCTTCTCACATCATGCCTTGCTGCATTACTATCTTCGGTATATTTCATGATGTTGTGGCCCCTAGCGATTCAGATACCTTGGTCGCCCGTTGATTGAATGGCGGTCTTGCCGGCCTCGAGTTCGAGCTTGAGCCACTCCGCTCTTCATCCGATTGGCTAGAACTATCATCCCCACCTACTGTAGATGCGCTCCGTAGCCGTTGGGCACGATCCTGTAATACCTGCGCCTCTGCAGCTGCTTTTTGCGCGCGAATCTGCTTTCGCCACATGCTCGCGTATTTTCCCTTTAGGTTAAGGAGCTGTTCATGAGTTCCGCTTTCGGCCACTTGCCCGTTGTGTAACACAAGGATCTGGTCAGCTGTCGTTATCGTACTTAGGCGATGCGCGATAACGAGCATCGTGCGCCCTTTGGATAATGTCGACAACGCCCTTTGAATGTGCTCTTCGGTTTCAGTGTCAAGGGCAGCAGTTGCCTCGTCGAGGAGAATTATTCGAGGGTCCTTGAGAATTGTGCGGGCAATAGCCACCCGCTGTTTTTCTCCACCACTCAAACGCAGACCCCGTTCTCCAACTTTCGTTTGATATCCATCTGGGAATGCAAGAATCTTATCATGAATACTTGCTGCCCGACATGCATCGTAAACTTCGTCATCCGTGGCAGACGGGTTTGCGTACTTGAGATTATACATCAATGTTTCGTTGAAAAGAACTGTGTCTTGAGGAACAACACCAATATGTCGACGGAGGGAATCAATCGTTAGGTCCTCAACTTTGTGACCGTCAATGAGAATATCACCGTAGGTGGCATTGTAGAACCTAAACAACAGCCGGAACACGGTTGATTTCCCCCCGCCAGACTCGCCAACTAGCGCTGTGGTTGTTCCAGGACGGCAATGGAAACTTAGCCCGTTCAATGCAGGTTTGCGAGGATCATATGCAAACTCCACGTTGTCAAAGACAATATCGCCTTTGCAGCGTGGAAGTTCACTCGTGTTCGGGCCATCAACAACGGTTGGCTGTTCGCGGAAGAGTTCCAGCATCCGCTCCGAATTTATCAACGCAGATTGGATAGACCGGAAAAATGTCCCGAAGAAATTAAGTGGTCCCTGAAGCTGTGCCATATAGGTCAATAAGGCAACGAACTTGCCAACCTTTTGTTCGCCTGTCGCAACTTGATATGCAGCAAGGAAACATGTCACTAGCAGCCCAAACATGAAAACGGTATTCTGGCATGTATTCAACAAGTTCAGCGAGAACAACACATGATACTCAGCCCTTTGAAAATCGGAAACCGCTCCGCGATATCGTTTAAATTCGTACTGCTCCGCGTTGAAATACTTCACGGTTTCGTAAGACACCATCGAATCATTTCTGCAGAAAATGACGTGTTGCGTTCAGTTAGCCAATACAAAAATTATATCAGATAGAATTCGTAAAAACTCAAGTATGGACTTACTTCACAGCATCTTCCTGTCTACTTGCATTGACCATTTGACGACGGATTGAAGCTCTCCATTGCGCCATGCGAATTGTAACGTAGAGGTAGATGAAAGTGACAATGGCAACGACCAGGGCATAGTAAACGTCGAATACGATCCAGAAATAACCCACAGCGACGCAGAGATCGATCAGCATAGGGACAACCTGGAATGTAACCTGCTCGAGGAACGTGTTGATAGAACTGCCTTTGCTCAAGGCAGACAACACCTCGCCGGTCTTTTTCCCCAGGTGGAATTCAAGGCTCAGGCTGTGGACATGCTCAAAAGCCGCAGTTGAAAGTTCCATGTACGAATACTGTCCAACAGGAATCCATAAAATGGAACGCAAAGAACCGATTAGGCCTTGGCTTCCCTGTAGCCAGCGGTAAAAGACATAGAGGCAGATACCACCCCACGGAAAGTAGAATCGACCTCCATCCTCTCTGGAAAGGACATTGGTTATTTCACCAACCTGGTAAGGAACCAGAACATTGACCACGCGCTGGAGGACGACCAACAAAAAACAGAAAACGACCACCAGCTGCAAGCGTGGGGACTTGGAAGGCCATAGATAAGGAAAAAACAGGGAATAGCCACTGAGATATTCCCACCAACTCGTTGACGGCACAGTAGTTGGTCTTACCCAGGCGTCCTCAACTGGTTTAGAATCGTGGTTGTGCTTCGAGTTTGTAGAAGATGTGTGGTAGCCATCACCATCACCATTCATGTCGTTATGATGGCCATTCAGGAGTCTGGTTGTCTCTGAAGCTTCCCCGGAAGCGAAATGAGCCGCAGCCTTACGACGACGGCTTTCCCATCCAATGGAATTCAGGGCATAGAAAACCACAATGGTAAGCAGAACAAGAAGTCTCACTGCAGCAATGACTACTTCCAGTGATTCCCAGCCAGTGATAGTTTTCCTCAACGGACCACCGATAAGGTCCCCTACAACTGGCTCATGGTGAGGGGAGGTGTAGAGGGTTAGGGAACAGACAAAGATTATTAATTCCAGTGGTACAGACAAGACCCATGGGACTAGCTGAGCGACAGTCGGGGAGGGAGTTGTATCCACCAGAGAGATCAGGATTAGGGTGTATGTGAAAAAAGAGGAGACGACGTAAATCTAGAAATCATCACCAATGTAAGAAATATAAGTAATCAAAAGGACATGGGGGGAAAAATATATAAAGGAAATAAACAGAGGTGGAAATTCTCACCACTGTGGACTGGCCGCACCACCAGTGCATTTTTCGGAACAGAATGACTTGGAGGATAATAACCGTTGCATCAGCAACAAGAGTGAGCAAAACGCCCACTGAGAGCCATTTGAATGCTGATTTAGCATTTGGTGAGAAATCAGGCGTAGAGGGAGATAGTACAGCCTTACTCCGCATACGCTTCGGTAGCGGTCGACCCCCAGGACCTGTTTGTACGGCTGTCTGGAGGGCAGGTATTTTCCTAGCAGATATTATGGAGTGGGACAAGAACGATATGAGAAAGGCGACAAAGATTATGGCCGGAGACAGCGTTCTTGTGGAATCGAGAATCTTTCTCGTCGCCCTGTGAGACAACGAAGACACCCCGCCATCTTCTATATTGCCGGTGATATCCATCCTGCCTCCAACAGCAATTCCCAATTCCAAGCCCGCACAGAAAGGAAGTAAACACCGCCACGTTTAAACCGCTTCCATGACAAGACCGCTACGGGTTAATGGATATGGCAATCCGCAGAAATGACCGCGTATATAAGATATATGGGGCTGAGTAAACGAGAGAGAGAGAGAGAGAGATCTGGTCGAATGGGGTAAAGAGTAGGAGTACGGAAGACGATTTGTCGGCGGAGGGACAAGAGAGGAAGCGAAATTGGTTGAGATAGCCGAAAATTTTTATTTCTTTTCTTATCTTATCTTTTCTCTCTTCTTCTTTTTGTTTTAGCTGGAGAGACGACCTAGAGGATCTATGGGGTTCGAAGAAGTAGAAGTAGACGAGGGAGAAAAGGAGAGAAGTGAAAGAAGTGAAGAAGTGAAAGAAGTAGTGTTGAGTTAGCTCCAAAGCAAAACGATGTGTCAGCCAAGAAGGGGAATTGGGCAAAGGTGCCGAAAGCGGCAAACAAGAGAATGGAGGAAGGAGCGAGCCAGCAGAGTGCCGAGCCCCGGGAAACTGCAGGCGCGGGCTGCTGCGGGCGTAAGAAAGGAAGGACGGGAAGACAAGGGAAGGAGGGAAGGCGGGAAGGAGGGAAGGAGGGAACGGAAGGTCCTAGAGGAACCAGCAAAGCAGGCAGTCTTAGGTTATAGGACTAGCCGTTCTCCGCAGATCCACGGGATGGGGATGAGGATGGGGATGGGCGGGACGGGCGGAAATCGAAGACGGCGTGGGCATATATCGAGAGCTTTGGTAGGGGAGGGAGTAAGGGTGTTTTTATGGAGAAGGTGGAGACCGGGGGAATGGGGAAAAATGCAAAAAGAAAACAGAGAAGAAGAAAAGGAAATAAAAATAACAGAAAGAAGAGAAGAAGCGCTCGGGAAGGAAGATTGGGGAGTCGACGTGTTGTGGCGGGTGAAAACTAAGGTAAGGGTTCGATCTATGGGATGAGATCAACGGCACGGGACCTGCGCAGAGGCGAAAAAAAAAAAAAAAATTCAAATTCAAATTAAAAAAAATTATTATAACAAAAAAATAAAAATAACAATAAAATAGAAAAAGAGAAAAAGAACAACGAAAAAAGAAGGAAAGAAAAATTTTTAATAATAAAGATAAATAATAGCAATCAAAGGATTTTTTTTTTTTAAAAAAAAAAAAGGAGAAAGAAAGAAAAGGCCGAATATGATCAATTCAGGTTTACCTTTTTTTGTATTTCTTTTGTAACCCCCCTGTTCTTCTGATTATTCTACCCGTTTTCCCGTTCCCTTGGCTTTTGCTTCCCTACCCCGGTCTTCCCTAGCCAACCAACCACGGGTTCCGGCGCAGCTATTCGTCAGGCGGCGTCTCTCGTGTGTTTTTGCGGAACAAAACCTTGACAAGTCGGTGAGCTCAAGCTTGGGAAGCTATATAGGGCGGTGAGGCTGCCAGGGGGTCGTGGTTGGGTCCTTGGGGCGTCTTGCAGAATAACTAATATGTCTCTCGCCAATGACGCGCCAGCCGGAGAGATACGGATTCCTTGGGCTACAGAGGGTGGGTGAAGAATGGGGGAATTAGTATAGGGTAGGGGTGGCTGCGGTAGCTGGTACCAGCTCGTGGCCGGAGGGACTGCGGTTTCCTTGTACTCGGTACCTGTGGACCTCAGAGTTCACTTGGGAAACCCCCCTTCTCCAATGTGCACTTATGTCCGCGGTTCGAGATTTCGTCAGGAAGGGAGAATAAGAGAAGCGCACGTCGGAAGAGACAGCTGTCCGTGATAGAACTGGGGGTGAGTTGACGTCGAAGTGTCCACTGGTCACCAGAACAAATAACCAAGTCCTGAGATCTGTCGAAGCAGGTGGCGGGTTCAACAGGTAACTCTGTTGTTCACTTCCACTGCTATTGCACATGAGAGATTATGGGTCGGATCTGGGGGCTGTTTAGTAGTGATCGCGGTTGAGGAACGATGAAGCCAGATATCTGAAAATAATGTGGACATTCGTTTTCGCCTGTATATATACATCATGGAACATAATGAGTACAGGCGCTCTGCTTTTATATATACACCTCAGAGACTATCTTTCAAAACTTCACCACTACTGCAGCACCTGGAGCAGTCGTCACTTCACTTCCTACACACCAACCCTTCCTCTCTTACCCCCCAAACTTTGCTTTTGTGTCGATTGTGTACCGTATGAACAATTTCTTCTCAGATCGTGTACAGCTTTGTTGTCAGGACGGGATGGGTATGTCCGCGAGCCATCGTTGTCGGAATATATCTCCACCCCCTCGCTTACCGGCTATAATCTTGTGCATGCAGACGAGTCTATTTTCACAGCAATGCTTTAGTTGTCTTTCTATTTATTTTAAAATTTTATCTCCATCACGCTCGTGGCTGCCACGGTCGATCTCGCATAGCTAGGCATGTTACTCATATGAGAGTACCGGACTTAAGTGACGATGGTCCACGGATAGTAAGAAAAAAAAAAGAAAGCAAGAAAAAAAAAAAAATCTCCCTTCGTGTCAATACAATGCATCATCTTGCATTAGCTAACAGGACGCTTATGGACAGTGATGTCAGGAGGCCTGCAACTTTATGGAAGAGGCGTAATTTGAAAGCGTTTGATCAATCACCGACAAAACACAAGGAATATCGGTGTTGCATGGGGTGAATTCATCATTCGTCACTTTGCTCGTGATATAGTTTTTTTTTTTTTTTCAGGATTGGCTGTGGCCAATGTGGCCTTTTTGGGCCCCTTTCGTCGTCCTGCCCTGCTGTTACTAACCCGCCTGCAGCTTGCAAAAGCGGAAATTGATCATCACCGGGATTTCACCCAGAAATAAAAAAGTACAATTTAAAGACATTGGACATTGTCGCTCTTCTCCGTTGATGCCCAAAGGGTGAGACTCACAGCTCGAGTTATATCATTTATATAAAGTATATTGGCAGGCCGAGAGATAAATAAAAGCGTCTCAAGTACCGGAGGAGTATAAATATGAAACTCTGCGCAGCGCAGCTGGCCAGAGCTTCTGAAACATAAACTACACCACCAAAGCGGTAAATAGAAGGAGATATACATAGTCATTGGGCACGAATCGGCAGTGCCCAAACCCTCCCTTCCCTCTTGCAAGTATGTATGTACATGGCAATAAGAAAAGAAAAAGTCCAGAACTTCACGCTGGATTACAAGAGTACAACAGATCGGGAGGCTCACACGCACTAGGGAGGAGTGGAAGTCGTTGGAGATTGCAGACTCAGAGCCAAGTGCTAAAATATTTTATTTTTTATTTTATTAAACACTCTTTTGTTTTTTCTATCCCATTCAACAAATCAGGCTGCAGAAATATACAAGGAAATAAAATAAATCTAACCCTCCTAAAAGACGCCAAGTCCAAAATAAAAATAAATATCAATCTTTACAATGCAACACCCCACCCATGCAAATGCATGCTGACAAGTCTCCAGAAACAACCTAGCCAGCTTCCAGATTTTACAAGGTCAGCTTCGTGTGACTCGGTGAGTCGCTGGCGATGATCTGTGAAGCCGGGGCTTGGGTCTGGTCCTCAAGGTCCCGCTTGGCGCTTGTTGAATGTTGGCCTGGCGTTGTTCTGATGTCTCGGGTGCTGGACTTTGGTATGTATTTGTTTTTTCTTCATTTTTATTTTGTTTTTAGCAGAAACGGCCGCGATTAGGGGCGTTTTTTCTTATTTTTCAATTAACTAGTTAGGTGCCTCTTCGACTTTTCTTTGGTTGATGGCTGGGCCGATTGGCAAGACCCGACTTGACAGCAGAGTAAATGGATTTATTTTTTTTAATTTTATTTTATTTTATTTTATTTTAATTTTAATTTTAATTTTTTTGCTTCTTACTACCATGGCATGAAGGTTGTGTCCCGGCAATCCTTCCTGGATGCATCATATTTTTGTTTCTTTGTAAGTCCATGATGCTCTGGTTCTTGCCACCTTCAAAGATCTTCTGCGTGTTGTTCTTCCTTATTTCATTAATTTCGATTGTTTGCCTAACTTTTCTTTGCAAAGGGGGTCGAGAATATGTTTGAAGGGCCCTGAGCTGAAGTTTACAGTTTGTTTTCTGGCAGATGACGGCATCGGTCTATCAACTACTATTAACTGCGGAGTACATGCTACTACTGACAAAGGGGTTAATGAAGGATGCATTATTTTCTCACGCGACCACTTGCTTTTTAATTCGTCATCATCATTAGCTAACTAGTTAACTAGCGATATAACTCCAGAGGGAAGGTTGGTAGTTAGTTACCCAATTGTGTCAGCGTTCAACGATAAAACTACGGCGTAAAAGGACAACAGGTTCGAAATACAACTAACCGACGGAATAGTTATGTTGATGATTTGTGGAGGACAGTGCCGTAATCAGCACTGAAACCTGCATTGCCAGCAGGTCGAGAAGGGATTTGAGAGACGTCACCTTCTACTCCAGAGCATTGACATGGCGTGAGCCGTGGTAAGGATTCAACGTCCATTGAACGGTGGGCTTATCTTCAGCCCTTCATCTACCGAGGTAGATTATCCAATAGGCATCGACCTATTTACGCCAAGATATTTGTTACCATATTCTTTCTAACAGATTTGTAGACTGAAATACATTTCCTTGACTGACAAGAAATTTGGGGAACATTCCTCTTACAGGCTTGCTGGGTTAAGAGGAGTGTGAAGAAATCTCAGAAGATGAATAACTATTGCTTGTCTAGATGAGTAGTATATTTGACTTTCATTCTTAGCCCCTTAGGAGACGGAAGGGACATAAACGCTTTCAACTTTCTAAAGCTCTTAAATTCTGAGACTTCCATAGCTTAACGTTATATCACCCACAGTCTCTTCTTTTATTCCCAAGATCTGCGAGCCTATCCCTCTGTTGCCAACAATGTCAAAGCCCTCCTAATATTCAGGGAGTGCTCACCGCTCAAACTAGGATGAACCCCCAAGCCAATAGGTACCACTAAGCTAGTATGCATCCGGGGAATCTTCTGCGTAAAGGAGATCCGAGGATACTGAAAGTAAAAATATCTGGAATCAAACCCAAAGGTCTAAAGATGGACTTCGAGCTGCTGCGCTAAGGGAAACCGAAATCTGGGGCGGAGAAAATTCACGAGATAAAGGCCAGGTACGTACTTCTATTATTGTTGGAACGACAGCACACCTTAGTACGAAAAGGATACAAAATACTTTTTGAAGAGAATAGAGACAATGACATAAATATTTGTTAGCCGATTGTTACACTCTGCCTGTTACACGTGATTTAGATAGCCCATGTAACTACAGCGTAGCTAGCCTCTCCTCTTGGAGCAGAGGGATTACCGAATGAAGGGACAAAGGTGATATTCGTCATTAAATACCTCACCTCATCACACCCGACGATGCGCGTACGGTGATGTTAATATCTCAAGAAAAATAAAGAGAGTGTTTTTGATCAATTCGGGTTCAACAAAGAGGTTCTAAATACAATGCCCTCTGCGTTAGAAAAAGCGGTAGTGGAGTCACTACTCTCATCTTATCCGATATTTGGGCATCTGCGAACCCTTCAGCAATAATGTGGCTCACATCATCCCGAAAACCCTCCACTCTGAAGAGGGACTACGCTGTCGGATCCTAGAAACGTCCCCACACTTAGTGAACAGTGGGCTGGAGAAGCATATATAGTGGGGAGGGGATTGAGCTGGGAAGGTAACAATCGATAGTTGATCATTCCAGATAGTGAGGTCATACTTTCTGACTGCTGCGAACAGGTTCCCAGTACAGCAGCAACAAAACCCCTAAACCCATCCTAGTGCTATTATTAATTCAGCAAATCACTGGTTAACTAATTAACTAATGGCTGTACTTTCATCAAATACTCCATTCCGCACCTCCAAAGCAAACAACAGGGGAGGGTACGGATTAGGGCCGAGAGAAAACAAAATCCAAAAAGGGGAACCATGTGTGTAGCCCCAATAACCCATGGAGTCTATATTACTTGGGACGATCAACATTAATAGTCGTCAATGGTTACCCTGCTCGTGCCGGGAAACATCGGGTCATCTTTTTATCCCGGAAGATTTTGCAGGAGCCTTTGGAACATACCATACGCTGCAACGGCGCACAGTATCCGGTTCAGCGTGGCGGGAGCAAATCCATGACCTTGTAGGAGGCGGGAATAATCCTTGTTTCGGCTTGATGATTCACATGGATGCTGCGCCAGGGTGGGCTGTTATTCAAAGCACTGACGACGGGATAGTTAAGAGGAGAGCGGCGAAATGCTTAGGGGACAGGAAAGGAGATGAGAGTTACAGTAGTAGTTAAGAGGAGGGTTGGTCACCACGCGAGATTCCGATGTTTGCCAATGCAGGGCCCGTTGTAGGCGATCGCCAGGCCTAATTCTGATTGTGGTTCGGTGGTTGTACTTTCCAATGGCCCTCTATATTTTTGTAAAAATACGTGTTTTCTTCAGAGGCATCAGTTCAATTTTCCCCGCTGCAGAGAACAGTTAGTTAATCAACCCTTAGAGTTTAAGGTAAGTAGATAGATACGATTTTCCTGACGGAGTTTCATTCAGAAATGTGTGTTTGCCCTGGACTTCGGATCCCCTCACAGATGAAAAGCGGATAGCTCTATTAACTCTGCAAGAACCATATCGCAACATAATTCTAGAACATGTCTCAAATCTTCACATCCACTTACTTTGGCGTGTTACTGGGTTGTTCTCCAGAAGCTCACGCTTCTGAGTCCTGATAGGGCAGATGTTGGCCGTGGTTTGGCTGCCGATCAGTATGTGGTGTGTGGAGTTGGTCGATGGTTTTGGCTTGGCGCAATCTGGGTCCTTCCAAAGTTCGCTGCTTGACACATGCGCAGACGAACATCAGACATCATCCTCGGATATAACCATCTCAGCTGAGCAAACCACCTCCCCTCCACTTCCACTTCCACCTCCACTTCCACCACAACCCACAACAGTTTGCCACCACTTCAGGACCCCATCCTGAGCTTCAATTTAAAAGCCTAAATCTACTGAACTACGCTTCTGCCTTGTCCCTGAACGCCTCCGCCACACCTGTCACAAGACCGCTTGCCCTCCCCTGACCTCAACTTTGGTCTGCTGCATTCTTCCTTTCAATCCATTCCCCGTGAAACAGCAGTAGAGATGGATCAGCAGTCGTCACCAGACTGCTCAGCCTGGATCTGAGCTCAAAATGTCAGGTTTCCATCAACCCCAGTCTCAGTCCGATTCTGCTGCCGCCCCACCAACTCCATCTCATACTCCTGCCATCCCAACCCCGCCTCCTGCGCCATCACAACTTTCCCAGCGCTATGCCAATAGAGCCACAAGTGCATTTGCGCGGTTTGCGCATCCGTTCATCTATGGCTCTAGGCCACCCAGTCCCCATCCAAGTGTGCCGCGGGAAGCGCCAGTGGCCATCCGCTCTGGACAGTCCATAGTGCTGTATGTCCCGTATTTGTTTTTTATACTGCTGAAAAAACAACGAAGCGTTATTGGTTATTTTGCCGCTACTTGTACATATCTAGCTATGTGTACTATTGTCTAATGATGTCTTTATTCCAAATAGTCCTGGTTCCTCACAAACTATCGCGCTTAATACAAAAGTTCCCATTTCGGCCCTTGATATTTCGCCTCAACGAACACACGCCATCGTTGCCGGGCGCGGGATCCTTAAAACAATTCGTGTAGCTCAGGATATTTGCGAGGAAGAATTCGACCTTCGCGCGGCTATATTTTCATATCACACGAGCCGCCATGTATCAACAGGTGCTGCAAAACGCAAGGACCAACTTGCCGTGAAGGACGTGAAGTGGTCTCATGGGGAATACGATCGCATCATCGCGACATCTGTCATGAACGGGAGTATATTTATCTACGATCTAAACCGTCCAGGCCTTGAGCTGGGCAGGCTCCAGGAACATAATCGTCAGGTCCACAGACTAGCATTCAACCCCCATCGCGGGGCTTGGCTCCTATCTGGCAGCCAAGATGCTACGATTCGGATGTGGGATCTGCGCATATTGTCCGGGGAAAGAGGCGCGATGAACTTTGGTAGCAAAACGAGGTTCAATGGCCATAGCGAGGCTGTCAGGGATATCAGGTGGTCACCGGTTGATGGCGTTGAATTTGCAACAGCTACTGATAGTGGCGCTATCCACCGCTGGGATGTTCGAAAGGACAATGCTCCCTTGATGAAGATCAATGCCCACGAAAAGCCTTGCTTTTCGATTGACTGGCATCCCTATGGAAAGCATGTTGTAAGTGGCAGTACCGATAAACAGGTTAAGGTGTGGGACTTTTCGTCTACAGATCGGAGACAGAAGCCATGTTTTCAGTTCCGCACCCCGCAGGCTATTCACAATGTGCGCTGGCGTCCACCTTCCTTGGGTTTGGAGAATCAAGAAAATTCAAATTGGCAGTCGACGCAAGTCATTACCAGTTATGACAACGAGGATCCGCGTATTCATATCTGGGATTTTCGTAGACCACACATTCCATTTAAAGAGATCGATCGTTACAAAACATCACCTACCGATCTATTATGGCATTCTGGTGAACTGTTATGGAGTGTGGATGTAGATGGCATTTTCACCCAAACAGATGTTGAATTTGCGCCCCAGGTGATTCAGCGTCGAAAACCTTGTTCAGTATCATGGAGCCCAAATGGTGATATTATCGCCGTGAACTACAAACGTCCCCCAAGACCGGGGTTGAACGTGAGTTTGGATTCAGCGGAGTTCTTGGGTCTTAAGACAGGAAGACTTAGCAGTGGGGACAAGGGGACAGTTAGCTTCAGCTTGACAGATGACAGTCTAGACGAATCTGTTGCTTCCTCGTTAAGAAGGAGATGGAACAAAAGCACATATGGGAGGGGATCTAAATCACTAAGCGGCACTTCACCAATGTCAGAACCCGGCCCAACGGTTATTTCTCTTGAGAAAGCTATTGCACATAGTGGGGTGTTTGAGCTAAAGCAAACTGGTGCTATTGGCCATATTTCCGGTGCTACGTTTGACCCAGGAATATTCAGATATTTTGCTAAACACTATGCGCCATTAATGGATAGTGTGGATATAAAACGTCCTTCGTTTAGTCTGCTAGAGAGCCTGCGGGTCAGCTTTGATCAGAATGCGGAATGCGCAGATGACGCCTCGCTGTATAGGCTAGCTCAAACATGGAGAATCATGAAATCCGTTGTCATTCAAGAGATAGAATTTCGAATGAAGCACGCTGCGTCCGCTCCAGAGAAACAGATGGAGAACACGAAATCGAGAATGTCAGGGGATGGTAATGCTACTAACAGATCCCACAATATGGAAGAAACTGTTCCGGATAAGCTCAAGAGTCGCCTGTTCAAAGGTGTGATAGAAACAGAAAGTCCTGCCCGCACACTGACCGATCCGGAAACTACGTCGAACATGACAACTCCTCTTGCCAAGCCGTTGCCGGATTCTCCTGTCGCTAGTAAAAGTAAGGGGTCCAACTCCTCGGGCTCTGATTCAGACCACGAGCTTGATGACATACCACCCCTGCCGCCGTCTGTTTTAAGCTCCAGCGGAGGAGGCGCTTTCAGGCAAAAAGCAACTGAGGCTCGTTCAGCAGCTTATTCCGAACGCTTCAGCACTAATAAACAACGTCAATCTAATGTGATTGACAAGGGTCAAGATTCACCCCGCAGCTTGTCACCAGATCGCATACCCAGGCGAGAGTTGACTGCTTCTGATCTCTTTTCCGGAAGGAGATCCGCTCCTCGTGCCATCTCAGGAAGAGCCAATTGGCGTTTGCACGATATTAGCACATATGAAAATCGCGATCTCGAAGAGGAAGACTTTGACCAGAAAGTAGAGGAGCAGAGAGCTGCTCTTCGAGATTTTAAATCTTTCCCAAAGAGGGTTTTGTCGCTTGATCCTACGTCACATGGTCATGCTGAAGTTCCTCCCCCAGTTTCCTACGCACGTCATGATTCTGCGGAAAGCTTTCCAATGTTTTCTGCTGCCACTGATAGTTCTCAAAGGACCAAATCCAACAGTGAATCATATTTGCCACAGACGAAGCCGGAGGGAACTTCTCAAAAGAATGTTGGTGCCTGTGAATCTGCAGCTGGAAGCTCGTTGGGGAAAATAAACGAGTTTAAAAATGATTCCTTCCCGAAATCGGCCCATGAGAAAATTAGTGCCCTTTCCTCAGAAGATTCTTCACTTGTGAAGTTGCCATCAGAGTCCAACAAGGTGAATCTCGAACGACCGCAGAGTCCTCTCCCATTCCTAGCAGAAACATCCATTTTAAGGGATCTATCACCTTGTCGAACACAGGGTCCTGTTTCTTCAAGAAAGCCTACTCTTGGTTGTCGAGATCATCCTACTCTTTGCCCTCCTAAACGTTCGGAGGAAGCTGGTATCACATTCCCTCTCCCTCCTTGCCCGACTGATAATCAGCCATGGAGTCCACGCAACATTATTAAAGAGGCTCTTTTATATTACTGCTCGAGTTCGCCAGTTGACATACAATCTGCGGCGCACATGTTGATTAAATTGCATTTTCTCTTTTCCTCATGTGAGCAAATTCTTCCATATGAGCAGCGCAAGCTGATTTTCAAAACGTATAACGAGCAACTTCTCCGACAGGGGATGTTCGTTGAAGCTGCCGAACTTCGGCTTCTATGTGTACCTACATATCCTGCTGTTTATGATTACGCCCAGCAAAATACATACATCAACGTGTATTGCTTCGAATGCAAAAGGCCGTACGAGAACCCAACACGAGATAACCGGCGATGCCACCGTTGTGGTGTTCCGCAGTCACCGTGTACTATATGTATGAGCCGAGAACCTCCCGTGGAATGGACCCTACAGTCTTCTGTTTCATTCGTTCATTCTACAACCCCAGAGATATCACTCCAGGGTGGTAATAGTCTTTTGAATGATAATATGCACTTCGAAATGTCAGATGACTACGTAGCCAATCGTCCCCACGGCACCGCCCTCTGGTCCTGGTGCCAAGGCTGCGGTCACGGAGCCCACTCAGCATGCCAAACTGCTTGGCTAAAGGACATTTCCATCAGCGAGGGCGGTTGTGCCACACCAGGCTGTCTCCATGACTGCGGCCCAGGTCCGAGACGCGATCAATATCGCGCGACTCTGCTTGATGAAACCAAGCGCGTTCGGGATGGCTCTTCTGGACGAAAAAGTAGTCTTGGCTTTGCAAAGAGAGACTCGTGGACTGCTGGGGAAAGCAAGGCTGTTGAGCGGGTGAGGGGGATGCTGGGCGTTCCTTCTACACCATCTGCTGCTGCGGGTGTAGCGCCAGCGGGACCCTCTACGGCGACTACTGGCGGCGGAGGGTTTGGTAGTGCTGGCTCCGCGATACTCATGTCCCCGAAGAAAGTTAGACTTGTCACTCCGAGTGAACAATGGGATCAGCAGCAGGGTGTTAAGGGGTTGGGAATTGGAACTTGAGCTGCAGCTGGAGCTGGAACGGGGACTGGGATGGGAACTCATACACCCCAGCACAGGCACTCGATATCTGAAATGCTGATTTCCACCAAAGTATTTGTAATGTATATTTTGGTCTTTTAAAGGGGATTTTTACGGCTGCTTTTTGATATATCGCTGAATAACTCTTCCATACCGACATCCTTCTCCTTCTCTTTCATTGTTCTTAGTGTGGCATTAAAATGCTAAGTAAGCACTATCGCATTTTAGGGTGTTGGAGAAAAGTATGAATGTAATGTGGAACTTTTGGTTTTTCTTCTGTCCCTTATATTTTTCTTCATTGATCGTTTAAGACTATTTGATGGGTTACGGGAAAAGAAGCTTTTTCTGATTTTCCCTTTCTTTTATTTTCCCCCTTGGTTTTTGCCTGTTTGTTCACATGTATGGCATGGGAATTGAGGGAAGAAATTGGTGAAATTTCCCATGTATATATTACCTTGGCACCCTTCTCCGTGCTCATAATTGTAATCCTTGTTTGCTTGAATGGGTCTTTCTGTGAAAACATTATTAAGGTATATGAGCGATAGATGAACCAAATTGAAAATACATATAATAGTAGTACGCGTATAAGGCTGTAAGTGATATATTGGTTGAATGAGCACCCCTTTTTTCCCTAGTCTTTTTGGTTGTTTCAAACTATAATGAGGAACCGGAGACGAGTAGATTCCGGTTTTTTCTGAACGGATTGCATCTTGTATTACAGTAGTAACTTGAAAAGGCAAGGAAACATCAGGGTATCTAGCGACTGATGAAGACCACAAGGGTAATAAAAGTATATCGACTATTCAGTCTTACACAAAGCTAGTGATGAAAAACGCATCGGTTTTACCATCTCTTAAATTGGGAACACAACGCTTAGTCTCAACGTCAGCTAAAACCGTCTCTTCTTCTTCTTCTTCGCTGGCCCACCAGCGCCGCCAGCATTGTTCCTAGCCTCCAACTGCTTCCTCAACTCCTGCCTTTTGCGATTTGCCCGTTCCTCAGGAGTCTCTTCGATTTTTTCCTGTTCAGCTTCTTTTTCTTTCTCCTCCGGAATCAATGGTGGCTGCTTCGTCGCCCCCGTGGCGATCGTGGGCTTTCCACTCGTAGATGGTACTGGTGATTCCGACAGTTCTCCACCCGGTGCTCGGTTTACATCGTCACTGGCTGGCGGGGATTTTGGTGCCGGCCTGCTACGACCACCAATTATACCTAACTTGCCACCTGGTCGTTGGGGTTTTGCTGAGGTCTGACGGGGCACTGGTGATGTTACCTCTTCGGTGTCATCATTCTTGTCACTTTTTTTTCCTACGTCAATCATCTCGGGTTGTTTCTTTCTCTGTTTGCCGCCGATCTGACCTATTCCACCAACATTACCGGACCTAAGTTGTTGTTTTAATGCAGGGGGTGATCCCGTGGGTTCCTTATGATCTAACCGCTTTCGTTTGCTTGGTGGTGAAGTTGATTCTTCAGTCTCATGTTCCGATGCGGTAGGAACGCCTTCAGAATCTATGGGGCTTTCGGCTTGTTTTGGCTTTCGCTTTGGTTTGGTAACATCAGAAACGTCCGATGCTGTGGATTCTGATGGTGCTTCTTGCCTCGGTTTCTTGGGAGTTTTCTTCCCACCGATCATTCCAACCGGGCCCTTGGCTTTCGGTTTTGATACCTCTTTTGCCACAGACTCTGAGTCTTCAGATTCTGTGAATTCTGATGATTCCACGGGTGATTGCTTTCGCTTTGTCGGTTGTTTACCGCCAATAGTTCCGAGCCCCTTGGCCTTTGGCCCGCGCTGTTGGGGTGGACGCGGATCTCCATCCTCAGACGTAGCGGTTTCCACTGAACTTAGTGCAGATGACTCCTTTTCATGTTTGGTGTGAAACCCAGTGGTTCCCATTCGTATGGTTTTTGATTTGGATTTAGGAGATTCAGGTGAAGAACTTCTTTCTGTTAAATCGTGATCCGATTTGTTAGCTCAATGCCTGGTGGGACTAGAAAGTCTTTGGAGATTGTTTTTGGAAGACTCCTTACTCTGTTTGCGGCTGGGGCTTTTCAGCCTTTGGGGTGTTTCCATGGTCTATATAATCAAATTTAATAGAAAACTTTTGGGTTGGAATTAAGAATGTTGGCTTTACCTGAAATTCATCAGCATCATCACTTTGGGTAGCCTCTTCCTCTTCATCCTTCAGCTCCTCCAGGGAGGGTGATTTCCTCGCTGTGAGGTTTTCCTGAGCTTTGCCCTTGGTTGCTATTTTTGGCCTGTTAACAGCTCCTTCGCCTAATTTATCCCACCAATTTTCGAGAATGAAGTCATCGGCTGGTAGCTCAACCAACGGGCCCGAAAGCTCCTTCGCAATGTGAACTCCCAGATTGTAATCAGCATCCTTAGCTTGGAACTCAAGCTTCCATGAGTCTTCGTCAAATGGTGCAGCGCCTTTAATGTGTTTCGACGCTTGAGAATATATGGATTCTTTTCGATACAGCCGTACGTTTCCCATGCCAGGGAACACAGTGCTCAAGTCCATACCAGAAGACTCTATTTTGTCAAATAACTTGCTAAGAGTCCAGTCTTTCTGCTTTATATGGTCTATCAGGGACAAAACACGAGCTTCATGATTCGCCTCCCCCTTTAAAATTGGAAGCAGGATGTGTTTAGTTAAAGTAACAGGGGGCAGCTGCAAAAGGCTAAACGTCCACTCTAAAGGATCCAATGGAGGAGGTAGATTTGTTGATGTGATGAGCTTGAGATCTTCGCTTCCAGGGCCTCTTGTCAATGATATCGAGCTGCCCCCAGACCCTCGGAGAGCATCAGCAATTTTCTCCAGAAGAACAAAATACTGTTCCTCATCTTCGCTCGGGTCAATGCTCGTATTATATTTGGATGCGTCATTTAAGATTTCTCTGCGGCTTAGGCTCTGTGACCATATATACGCCAGATCTGTCAAGTAAATTTCGCAACCTGACTTGCTTGTGACGTATTTATAAAGGAGATGAGGGGTGTTGTTGCCATTTGGAAGCGGGAGTATAGACCACTTTGACATTTCTGTCTGATCAAGGTTGTAATATAGATATCTTTTAGAATGAAAGCCTTGTATAATGTCCTAGGTAATTCGACTGAACCATCACCTTCACATACGTACAAGACAAGTGAGGCTGGCGCGGGTGGTTGACTTGATGTTCTACCTTGGAAGGTTTTCCGAGTGAGGCCGGCTAACCTTCCTGTTGGGTTAGTAAGCAACTAGTCTGGGTCGAAGCAATCAGCCAAAGAGCTTCACAAAATACGTTGCGTGGCGTTCCCAACCTCTTCTTCTCAAGGAACTAAACCAGAAACACACGATATAGCTCCACAATGTCATTTAGAGTCCCAGACAGAACGGGTTCCAAACGGAGCAGATCTCGCTCTCCCTCATCCTGGCGCCGCCCTGAGAAATTGCCTCGTCAAACGGATGGCGATAGCCCGGCGAAGGATCGTTCGCGAGGATCTCGATACAAGGGTCCCTCCGGGCGGTATCCGTGGAGTATGAAAGAGCAGACTCAGTTGAACCAACTTCAAGAGGATGAAAAAATGCGGGAATGGGTTGCCCAAGAAGACGATTTCGTGCTGAAGCAAGCAAAGAAAAAAGCAGAGATACGAGTGAAGGAAGGACGTGCAAAGCCAATTGACTGGCTTGCAATTACCCTACGAGTCATCGATCCTACAAAAGACCCTTTGGATGATGAAATAGCTGATTCGGAACTCGACCTGATCGACCCAAATGGCGTTTTCGAGGGATTGTCACCCGACCAACTACGTGACCTGGAGGCAGACATAGACACTTTTTTGACACTTGAAAAGCACCATAAGAATCGGGATTTTTGGAAGGTATGCTCTAGCATCTACACTTCGCTTTTGGGAGATATATATTGACCATTCCATAGACAATGAAAGTAGTCTGTGGAGACCGCAGACAGAATTCCCAAGCGTCCGCACCTGAAGGTCGAGCGATGAATTCTGTTGTTGAAGATATTAACAGACTTCTCAGCCCAAAGTCACAAGAAGAGCTTGAAACGCTTGAGGTGCAAATCAGGCGGAAGCTTGCCTCCAAGGATCCTATCGACACAGATTACTGGGAGCAACTCCTGAGAAGTTTAACAGTTTGGAAAGCTCGAGCGAAGTTGAGGAAAGTCTACCAAGCTGTTATTGACAGCCGCGTCCAGGGGCTGCAGAAACAGCAGAGGGAAGAAGCGGCAGCTGTACAGAAGAAACTTGCACCGCTCGCCCCTTTTTCGGAAGGAAATGGCGGCATGTCCCCATCCCACGCCAACAAAGAAATAATACAGGAACTTGACCCCGAGCCGCTTCTGCATCTTCGGCCTCAAGATAAAGGACTTGAGATTCTAGACGAAGAAGCTTTTCTAAGCACAGTGGTATGTCAAACTGTTAAGATACATTCTACAAACTATCTCTAATACTGTTTCAGGCCCTTGACCGTCAAAAGATTCTTAAAATGGGATTTGTCCCTCTACGGCACCGTACTGCAGGGAGACAGTCAGCCTTAGTTGCGACATCTGCCGTAAATACGTCTCCTGCCCAATTTTCGTCTCGGTTTGCTGCGATTCCAAATGAAGATTTTTCTCAGGCCACAAAAGCTCTGTACGAGCGAGAAGTGGCAAGAGGAGTAAGCGAGAATGAAGAGATTTTTGCTGGCGAAGAAGCCGTGAATACTGTTGCGAAGCCAACCTGGGCCAACAAGTACCGGCCTCGCAAGCCGAGATATTTTAATCGTGTGCAGATGGGTTATGAGTGGAATAAGTATAATCAAACCCACTACGACTACGATAACCCACCGCCAAAGGTCGTTCAAGGATATAAATTCAATATATTTTACCCTGATCTTATCGATAAAACCATGGCGCCGACTTATAAAATAGAGCGGGAAAATGGCAGGAAACGCGGGCAGTCATTTGCTCCAGCTGGGGAAGAGGATACTTGTCTCATTCGTTTTGTTGCCGGTCCTCCCTACGAGGATTTAGCATTTCGGATTGTGGACAAGGAATGGGATTATAGTGCAAAAAGGGAGAGGGGATTTAAGAGTAGTTTTGACAAGGTATGGTTCCTTCGGGCAAGATCTACTGTCTTTAAGCTTGTCATGAACTGAATGAACACTAACATTTTCTCCTAGGGGATTCTCCAACTTCATTTCCAGTTCAAAAAGGTATGCGAGCTAGTTTCCATCTACGTTAGAACGAACTTTACTAACATTAATTTCACAGATATATTACCGCAAATAATGGTCTGTATAGGATACCGTTGGAGAAGGTCCGCGGACGCGGTATTGTTTGTTTCACAAATCAACCGTTCTGTAAGTACAGATCCTGCATGAGCCATAATATGCCGTTGGGTAGAAAAGGGACTACGGGTGGATCAGTGGTTGGGCTGTGCTGATGAATGTGTTGAAGAGCTTCACCATATCGGTCATGCTCTTGTAAGTCATTGTCCTCTATGTCGATAAGGTTATCACTATCCGGTCGGAAGTAACATGAGCACTTAAGGGTCCACAGAGCTTCTATCGGAATTTTAAGTCCAATCATCTGGGCGTTCGTGTTTTGGGGCTCTTCAACGTCTATCTCACCAGTGGCACAGTTTCAATTATACATGCGAGATAGGTTCTCATGTTTTACGCGGTCACCAACCACCACAATGCTTCTCTCATGATAATTTTGCTTTCTTCCTCACGGACCATATTCCTACGGTCGTGCATAGTGAAAGAGCAGCCATGATTCTAGTCTACGTTACCCACGATTCATAGAGCTATATCAATTATATTTTTGAGAATTGTTGAATGAATCGACCATTCAAAAATACTGTTAAACCTATGGAATGAAAGAGGAAAAGAGGGGACGGGAGAGAGGGCTTTGGATTTGCTTAGTTCGGGCTGGCTTTCGTGGATGACCGGTCCCGGGAGATTTTGAGTTTCGGAAGCTCTTCCAGATCTTTGTTGATCAACTGGTCAACCACAGGTGGTCGTACTTTTACCTTTATTAAAACAACTAATGACAGGGCAGATCAAGCAACTACCCGCCGCGCAAAGCTAGTGTCATCGATGTTGCTACGCTTGCTTGCTTGTCACATTTCAACGCCTTTCCCATTCTACCAGGCTGCTGTAAAACCGGAATCCTGACAATCCCTGCACATTAATTGGTCTTAGAGCAGATTGCTTGTTCCACAAAATACTGAATATCCAGCAAAGTATTAATTGCAATTGTGGAAGGATCTTGTTCTTATTTATGATATCTATTCTTTGTTTGCCTTTTGCAAGCTTTTTTGTATAGGTTGTCTTCAGCGACAGGCTGCCCTATGTGTTGGCACCTGCAGGTATTAATATATCCCACTGTGTATCCGGCAACCTCAACTCATTCCGGAAAGCCGCTGTTGCTCTCCATATCACTGTCTCACAGACCCCGTTTCTAGAAAACCAACCCTTAATACTCACTTAGTGACACATTCTCGAAACATATTGACCCCGCCGACTTTTATCACCGTCTAAGACATTCAAATGAAAGTGTCGAACTAGCAATACCCAAAGACATTGACAATAATGAAAGACAGCGATGGATATTATCATTTTCAACCACGAAATCCACAGCCACCGAATCTACCTCTTCCACCTGAGCCAGAGCTGGTGTATGGAACATCTCCCCTGGGACAGTTTCCGTCTTTCATCGATACCGTTTCCCTAAGACATCCCTCTGACCCTTTATCATGTTTTAACGTGATCCAAAATTCTAACGACTTCATGAGCTACGATCCGAATATTTTGCAACATCCAAAGCTAGGTCAGAATTCATCATTCCAGCTACAAGATTCATGGCAATTTGGTTTGGGTGAGGGTTTCATGGTGAACCCAAATTGTCTCAATTACGTCTCCCAACGTGATGCGGGAAACTATAATTTATGGCATGGGGACAGCCCGGGTGAATCGCTCCTTGCTGGTTCCTACGTCAGCCAGCATCATCCGCCAGTCAATTCTTGGGATTTCGCTCAATTGACGCCTTATCCGGAGCTGTCAGCACACGGACCAAATGGCTCCATTTCATCTATTCAATTTGCTGATGGCCAGCGGTCACTGTCGCGACCGCAGTTTCCATTGTCCAACTGCCCAGATCAGTGGACACACCGCATGTTTTCAAACCGCCAGAGCACTCGTTTTGCATTTTCACCAGAAACTTCATTGATGTCAAGTCCATCAGTAGAGTCCAATAATTTGCAGCTCAGTCCTGATTCAGCAACGCCTTCCGCAGCCAATATTCCTTCAGATCGCGAAACTGGGAATGGAAAGGCTAATAATACTTACTCCAGATTGATATATCGGGCTCTTCAGTCTGCCCCTGACAATAAGATGGCCCTGAGAGAGCTTTACCGATGGTTCGAAAAAAATACGAATAAAGTTAAAAGTTCGGATTTGAAAGGCTGGCAAAATAGTGTACGGCATAATCTTTCAATGAATGCAGTAAGGATACCTTTTACAAATAGTGCATGCCAATTTAGCATTGTGTTTTACTGATTCTGTGATAGGCATTTGAAGGTATGGATATCACCTCATCTCCTAATGGTGCGAAAAGAAAAAGGGCAAGTGCATGGGTCCTTACAGAAGAGGCTCTCCGGGATGGAGTGCAGTCGACTACGAGGTACCGAAAGCTAGGTATTCACGAATTGTCTCCAAAACCAGAACCTCCTGCTCCCCAGCACCAACGATCCGGGGCGAGAGGCGGCGTGGCTGGTCTCCGGAATGGAGTGCAATCGACTACGAGGTGCCGAAAGCTAGTTATTCACGAAATGTCTCCAAGGTCAGAACCTCCTGCTCCCAAGCGCCAACGATCCGGGGCGAGAGGCGGCAGGGCTGCCAAGGAATCTGCCAAGATGAGGCAAGTTAAACGGGAGCCTCTACAACAAGTGGCCAACAGGATTGTGGATGTCAATAACTACCAACTCCAGGGTGGTGATATTACGTCGTTTAGTTTTGAATATTCACAGCCGATGTTCTCCAACCAGACTACCGGTTTTACGCCCGATAGCTTTGGTCTTGAACATGTGATTGGCATCTATGCAAACTCCGATTTCCATGACAATCATCTATTTTCCGCAACCTTATTTTCGCAAGGCAATGACTTTAGCACTCATTTTGACGATATCAGTGGAACTGTTGAAAGAACGAATCATGTCGTTCTAGGTTGTCATTCGTGCCTCTTCCCTGCTGGATCGAACTGATGCACGTTGATCTTCTTTTTCTTGTTTCCTTTTGGCGTATGGATCACTGTTGCGATTCGACATTGACGTTTTACAAATTTGTTTTTCCTTTTTAGATTTGGTTGACCCCCCACCCCCTAATTTGTTTAAGCAGCAGGATGACTAATGCGTTGCAGGGTTGGTGTGTCTATTCATTGTTCTCCCACTCTCATGTTTTGCAGGCAACTCGAAGTTTGCAGTCTTGGTTCATTTATATAGAGTGATGATCGACACGGCCCGTTTTGTGGAATGCGACTCCAGCGTGTACATTACAAAGGGCGGGATGGATGTCTAAACCGAATTTGATGTGCATATCCTATTTTCTGGCTGGATGGACTTGGCCATATCATATTCCCATGTTTAACTCTATTCGGGCATTTTTGGGCTTTATTTTTATGCGAACTAATGTTCATTTAATATTTTTCATCTACAACTCCCACGTCAGGTTAGTTCGTACTGAGGCGAAGAAAATTCGATTTTCTTAAGGTACTTTCAATTTTATGAGCCAGCTACAGAAGTAAATAGCTGGCGGCCATCTACAGTAGGAGATCACGGGAAGAGTTTCCAGTTAAATGAGAATATCAACATAGAACAACTGGCCCCACCCGTCTGCGACTTCTTTTATTCACAGCTCCTCCGGAGTGAGAAGTATAAATATTCTCCGTATTCAACGAGTGATAGGAAATTTTAAATCATATTCTATTTATGGGAGTTGTCCAAAATGTCACTCATAAATCGCTGGAATTCGGTTGGATTCTTCCCTCAGAACCAAAACAAATTTTCCTCGGGAATAGCGTTTTCACATCAATGGTTTTTAATCTTCTTAAAATGCCAAATATTGGGGTCAAGCCTCCCATGCCGGATCCGCCTCGCATCACCTAGGACGTCAATTTTGAGCGAGATGATTCTGTGATACGTGAGAAAGCTGCCGCCCTTCTCCGATCACCAGCCGCTGTCACCTTTCGATTCGACGAATGTACTGGCGTGTAAAGAAGCATTGCTTAGAGTATTCGGTACCATCTGACCCTTTTAACTAAGTGGTTCTTTGATCTTCGGTATTCGATCTTAGGCCCTGCAATGCGACCAGTGGAACAAGACAACCCTTGCATCTTGGTATGTGCTATTACTCCTTCCCTTAACCCAACCCACGGTTTTTAATCCGATTACAGTCGATCTTCCAGAAAATCTAGTGCCAACCCCGGAGCCCTGCGCGTCTCCAGACTTCCCGCAACCATGCTTTTTGCTGACTGGCACGGGTTTGCGATCCGCCGCATTGTTCTGTCATCTCAAATTTACGGCAATTAGAACAAAGAAAGGGGTGAGGAAAATTTGACCATCAAAATCCCTCAACTGTTGAAATATATGGAACGGAACGCATCCATCTCTCGTTGCCTAACTCCTTGTTAGGCGCAAAAGAAAATATTGTCACACGACTGGTTCGAAGCTTCGGGTAGGATACCGGTGTCGCCTCTCCACTGGAGGTCTCCATGAATTGAATCGTTTTAGTTGTCGATCCGAGACCAGGAACTGATAAACTGGTTCCTCAAAGAACGACATGATCCAAAAGTTATAACAACCTCGTTAGCTGAAGGGGGGCAGTATTTGCCGAAATCCGTACTCGACAAAGGGTGTTTTTGGAAGCTGTGGCGCTCTATTTTTCTTTTTTCTTCTTTTTCTTTTTCCTTCCCTCGGGCTAGTTATCCACCGGGCTGGGAATGCTGCTAGCGCGGATAAATGCAAAAATAATTGAACCTGTGCCGACTTTTCACTTTTTCAGTGCATTGCATGGTATTGCGAATAACCCAATTAGAAGATGAAGAAGTAGTTTGAAGGGAGCCTAGATAATTTGCAGCATATAAGCTGTTCAGAGTGTGGATTGGATCCAAGTATGGCATACTTGTCAGATGTACGTATATAGCACATTGGTTTCGGACTAATTTTATCCAATGGAAAACGATTTTGCTGAAGTCATCATTTCAATGAACTCCGTCTCTGAAGGCATTTCTTCTTCTTTCAACAGTGTGGAGCGAGAAGCGCAGATGTTACCACTGCCTCAGATTATTCCATTCAGCCTTTAATTCGAGGACTCTCTATTTCACCCCGTCAAATCAGCGCGGCACAGTTTCAATAGCTAGGCAAACTATGTTGGCTCTTGATCAGTTCTCTCATTTTGTATATGGATATCTGAAATATTTCCTCTCCTACGGTGAGAAATGATAAGTTGTCATTAATCTGGTTGTTTGGTGCGGAACAGTGACTGCTCAAGATAAAGCACCACAACTTCTCGGTGTGGCAAAGAGCAATTACAAATGCATGCCGTGTTGGGAGATCCCGCTGGCTAGACCAACGTTTCCATGGAAATGAGGAGAATGACCGACAGGATAAGGTCTCCAGAATCGCGAAATATCGACTGATCATCACTGCTTCGCATCGGATCCGCGCACATTGTATGCAAGTTCGATAATCCCTCACCGCTTTCGGACTTCAGAAATTATGGGGTGGGCGGGTTAAATTTTAGCATCATCTTGGGTTCTTTGTCCTTCTGGCGCTTATATACGATGGTCATTGGCCTTCTGGCGCCTATAACTATACGATGGTTCATTGGCGAAATGACGATGAACTCCACTGATAAGCGAAGAATGGGGTCGACCCTGCGTCGATCTGAACAGACACTTGGTGTCTCCTGTTGACGGACAGATCTCGCAAGGCAAGCTTTCGATACCACTTAGGTCACGATTGTTGGAACATAGCCATTAATCTACCTGATTTTTCTTTTTCTTTTTCTTTTTTTTTTTTCGGCATCGTCGAGATTTTCGCTTCTTGTCTCAGTGTGTGTGCTGATCATCATCCCTTCAAGGATGCATATTATATGGAAGCGGGCCAGATTGCATCTCACGTTTCCTGGTGAGAATTCATGCCATGCAGCCAGCACTTGCAGCAATCAGTGTTACGAACTGTTGCTCCGTAGCCGGGATACATCATCATCATAAATGTATATGATAAGCGTTTCTTCAACTTACTACTGGTGTGAAGAAGTCCTAGCCTTCAGATCTCCCTGGTGTCTTCCACAATTGGCTAGTATTTTCCTTACCCCTCTTTGCGATGGGTGCTTGATGGTCTTTTCATGCAGAGGGTGCCGGACATACAATGCCTGATGTGGAAAAATTGATATAAACGCTCTGGCCTGAGCAGTATGAATCTTCTTAATAATGCATGCATATCTGAGTGATTTGGCTGAAGGTGTCTACAGCGTGCATCTGCTCAATGCCCAATGGGCTGAAGAGTGAAGACTTTATGTGATTCTCATCTGGCCCTTCATCGTCTGTATTCATGCCCCTTCGTCAGAGTAATTAAATTATTGACCAAAGAGTTGAAGACACGGAATTGCCTGTAGATTAGAGGAGAACCTTCTCATGTTGAGGTTCCTAAGGACCAATTTGTCAAGGGGAGAAATCTTATTCTATTCGGTTAAGCGATTAAAGTATCTGTCAATTGCCATTCATTGCTGCCGTTAGTACAGCGCTGCAAGATTGAAAGATTTTATGCATACTGAAATTGCTGTTGCTAACCGTATGGGAAATGCAAGTGCGGAAATAGGAATATTATCTAAAAGGTATACTTACATGTCAATCTCTTAATTAGGTGCCTAGTTTCATATATTTCTCTGGTACGGTGTGGGAAGGAGAAGTGGAGCCACCATTATTGATTCAATTCTGAATTACAACGGCATCATTTTCCCGACTAGAAACAGCCTCTTAGCCATTTAGAAGTTTAAACATAGCCTGCATTTTCAAACTCAATAAGCCCTTGGCGCAGATGCTCTCAAATATTGCTTGCATGATCTTTCAAGATGCGATCCCTGAAGAGCAGCATGCCATATGTAATCTTCGTCCGGTAGAGGCCGAGACCACATAATCCGTTCACCTGTCACAGTCCTTCAAAGGAAATGGTGGCGCCTGTAGAATGGCATCTACGTTTTGGACGCTAAGTTGGGTTAATGTCTCCGACTATCAGATAAATATGCCCTTGGTGTAATGCACTATTTGCGCCTGAATGCCCTGCAGATGATACCTTCGCGATGGTTATTAGCATAGCGTCTGCTTCGCACAAGGATCCCTAAAGTTGTGACCCAAGACCCTGGGGTAAGTTCCTGTTGTAGACAACTATCAGACATTGCACACCTTCATAAAACCCAACCTCATCAATCAAACGAAGTCCCAATGGAGCTGTAGTCTCCTGTTGAGGTTAGATGTGTGAGACATACTCACAAATTCTGCCACAGTAGAGGGGTTCCGTGAAATATTACACAGCATCGTTGTTGTTGTATGTGCCATAAAGTAGTGATGAAAATAAAAGAACTTCATCTGGTATGGCTTATTTTCGGGCTGGAAATTTATCTAGCGGTACCGGGAACCAGGCACGGCTTTGGTGGAATCACAGTGCCTTAGTCTATGTTTTAACAATAGGAGTTGTCTTGGATGAATCCGGAGGACTACAGTGCCGCTGTAGTGCTCTTCATTGCTCCAAGAAAAGGGTGAAGTTAGCCGGACAATTACTCTGCAAGCCAGTTTAGAGGGCCTGAGCCTCAGGAAATAAGTAGAACTCGTGGAAGAAATTGAAACAAGTTAGGAAATGACGTTAAATTCATCTTTTGAGTGTCTATTTCATGGATTGAAAATCCGCCTAGTTTTCTATCTCAGCGAAAACCTGGGGCAATCCCAAACAAAAGAGAATTTAACCCATTGTTGACTGGAATAACGATCACATCATTGGCACAAAAAGAAAAAGAAAGAGAAACAGAATAATGCACCGCCATGACTGACGCTTCCATATGTCATAGTTTCCCGCCATTTTCGTCCAGCAGAACTCCAGAACATCGAAAATCCACATCAAACATCCCAGTTTCCCCACTTAACGCTTCTTCGATGCAGCAGCAGTCTTCTCTTGCGATTCTTTCAGCACCTTCTTGACGATCTTTTGTTCCTCAATCAGGAACGCGCGAACAATACGGTCCTTGACGCAGCCAGCGCAGCGGGAGCCGCCATAGGCACGGGACACCGACTTCTTGGGCCGGGAGACCTGGGAGTATTCACGGGGTCGGAGGGCAGGAATCTAATATTTAACAACGGAGGAACCGTTAGCATTCTGGAGGAATTTTTGGCGTTCTGTATTAATTCCGCGTCATATTCTTCGGGGCGTTTTCCTCAGGTTCTCGGTCGAAATGTCGTTCAAAAATGTTCCATAACTCCCCAGTTCTATCCATACACCAAAATCCCGCACATATAAATGTAATAACCCGTTAGGTGAGACTCACGCCTTGGAGTTTGATACCGCAGTCACCACATTTTGGTGCGGTTCCTTTCTTTTTGATGTGAAGGTATCTGAGTTTGCCGCCTGGAGTCTTGATGATGCGGACTTTATTTGACCGTGTGTTGTACCTAATGCATCCAAATTGTCAGAACCACCATTGATGTCCAAAAATTAAAGCATCACAGCGATTCATTTCGCAGCGGTTCGGGAAGGAGAAATTGCACATACGGATTCCGTCGTCGCTAAGGAGACAAAACATAAATTAGCATTATTTCGCCATCATAGAGCAACTTCCCACAGAATTCCACTCACGTATTGAAGTCTGGTATTGGCCATTGTGACTGTCCTCAAAACTTTGCTGTCGACAAGCTCTGCTTCGGGGTGATGGCGTCGCCGTTGTCGTTGTGGTTGTCGGATATTTCGTTATGCGATTCGATTTTGTGTGGGTTGCAATACAAATTCGGGAAGCGCGCTAAAGATTTGGCGAGTGGGTGCTAAACCGTATTTGGACTAGTGAATATCGGACTTGAGCCGCCACCTAGAGGATTCTTTCCAACGCGACCTATCTTTTGCTTCATGAAAATGACAAGGCAACCAACGACCTTCGCATCCACTCAGCAGCTTCTCTTTTCTTCTCTGTCGTGTCGGGACCTCTGCTATTTCACCTTTGAACCTCCTATCAAACGTTGGAGATATCTGGTCAACCGATGGTGAGACTGATCGTGAAGTTTACCAGACCTGTACTTATCAACTAGGGGCGAGGCGAGATTGTTATTTAGTGCCATCCTCATTCAACATGGCGTCTCTTCCACCTCCTCCACCCCCGGGGTGGGGAGCTGCATCTCCTCCGTCCATGCCTCTTGCTCCCCCACCTCCCGGATACCGTCCTCCGGCTGACCCTCTGGTCGCGAAATTTGCACAGAAGAAGAACGAATGGCTACGGACACAACGAAACCGTTTTGGGGAGAAGAGAAAGACCGGGTTTGTGGAAACTCAGAAGGCAGATATGCCGCCGGAGCATTTACGGAAGATTGTAAAGGATATAGGAGACGTATCGCAGAAGAAGTTCAGCACCGACAAAAGAAGCTACCTGGGGGCATTGAAATTCATGCCGCATGCCGTGTTGAAGTTGTTGGAGAATATGCCGATGCCCTGGGAGTCTGCTCGTGAGGTCAAGGTCCTTTACCATGTCAATGGCTGCTTGACATTGGTCAACGAGATTCCCCGAGTCATTGAACCCGTCTTTCACGCGCAATGGGCTACCATGTGGATGACGATGCGACGGGAGAAAAGTGACCGGAGGCATTTCAAAAGAATGCGTTTTCCACCCTTTGACGATGAGGAGCCACCTCTGTCTTGGTCAGAAAACATTGAGGATGTGGAGCCCTTGGAACCCATCCAGATGGAACTTGATGAATCTGAGGATGCTCCCGTCTTTGAATGGTTCTACGATCACCGCCCACTCCTCGATACCCCACATGTCAATGGACCTAGCTATAAGGAGTGGAATTTGACCCTTCCGCAAATGGCAACACTGTATCGCTTGAGCCGTCAACTGCTCAGTGATGTAGTAGATAAGAATTATTTCCATATGTTCGAACTTAACAGCTTCTTGACTGCTAAGGCCCTTAACGTCGCAATTCCCGGTGGCCCCAGATTCGAACCGTTGTACAAAGACGTCGACCCTAATGATGAGGATTTTGGGGAATTCAACGCGATCGATCGTATCATCTTCAGAGCTCCCATCCGAACCGAATATCGCGTTGCTTTCCCATACCTGTACAATTCTTTACCTCGCAGTGTTAAGCTGTCTTGGTACTCCCACCCTCAGATCGTATATGTTCGATCAGATGATCCTAACCTCCCAGCCTTTTACTTTGACCCTGTCATTAATCCGATATCCTCCCGCTCTGTCGCACCTAAAAACATAACGGTTAGCCACGAAGATCAGATATTCGGGCTTGGCAATGATGAGGATGAATTTACACTCCCAGCGAATGCTGAACCTTTCTTGGCGGATGAGGAATTGTACACCAGTGAAACCGCTTCTGCAATCGCTCTTTGGTGGGCTCCCTATCCATTTGACCGCCGCTCGGGCAAAATGGTTCGGGCTCAAGACGTTCCTCTTGTAAAGCAGTGGTATCTGGAGCATTGCCCGCAGGGCCAGCCTGTGAAAGTTCGAGTATCTTACCAGAAGCTTCTAAAAACTTACGTTCTGAATGAGTTACACAAGAAAAAACCGAAGGCACAAAGCAAACAGAATCTTTTGAGAACACTGAAAGGCACGAAATTCTTCCAGCAAACAACAATCGATTGGGTAGAGGCCGGTCTTCAAGTCTGTCGACAAGGCTTTAACATGTTAAATTTGCTGATTCACCGCAAAAATTTGACCTATCTACATCTCGATTATAACTTTAATTTGAAGCCTGTGAAGACGTTGACGACCAAAGAGAGAAAGAAATCCCGTTTTGGAAATGCTTTCCATCTAATGCGAGAAATCCTTCGCTTAACAAAGCTGATTGTTGACGCCCAGGTTCAATATCGGTTGGGAAATATTGATGCATTCCAGCTAGCTGACGGTATCCTCTATGCTTTTAACCACGTTGGCCAGCTGACTGGGATGTACAGGTACAAATACAAGTTGATGCACCAGATCAGATCATGCAAGGACTTGAAGCATCTCATATACTATCGTTTCAATTCCGGCCCAGTTGGAAAGGGTCCTGGTTGTGGATTCTGGGCACCCGCCTGGAGGGTTTGGCTTTTCTTCCTAAGGGGAATTATTCCGCTTCTTGAACGCTGGCTTGGGAATTTGCTATCTCGTCAATTTGAAGGTCGCCATAGCAAGGGTGTCGCGAAAACTGTTACAAAGCAACGTGTCGAATCGCACTTCGATCTAGAACTCCGCGCGTCAGTCATGGCGGATCTTATGGATATGATGCCCGAAGGTATTAAACAAAATAAAGTTAATACTGTTCTTCAACATCTTTCGGAAGCGTGGAGATGCTGGAAGAGTAACATACCCTGGAAAGTTCCGGGCCTTCCGGCTCCCATTGAGAATATCATTCTTAGATATGTTAAGAGCAAGGCGGATTGGTGGATTTCTGTTGCCCATTACAATCGAGAGCGAATTCGGCGCGGTGCAACGGTTGATAAGACTGTGGCTAAGAAAAATCTCGGACGACTTACCAGACTCTGGCTCAAGGCTGAGCAAGAGAGGCAACATAACTACCTGAAAGACGGGCCCTACGTCTCTTCTGAAGAAGCAGTCGCCATTTATACGACCACTGTCCATTGGTTGGAGTCTCGCAAATTTTCCCCTATACCTTTCCCGAGCGTATCCTACAAGCATGATACGAAAATCTTGATTCTGGCTCTAGAACGTTTGCGTGAGGCTTACTCTGTCAAGGGTCGCTTGAATCAAAGTCAACGAGAGGAACTTGCGCTTATTGAACAAGCTTACGATTCTCCAGGCACAACACTAGCGAGAATTAAGCGATTCCTTCTCACGCAGCGAGCGTTCAAGGAAGTTGGTATTGATATGAATGACAACTATTCCAATATAAATCCGGTGTACGACATTGAACCCATTGAGAAAATCACCGATGCGTACCTGGATCAATACCTCTGGTATCAATCCGATCAACGCCATCTTTTCCCTGCCTGGATCAAACCATCAGATTCTGAAGTACCTCCTCTCCTGACTTACAAATGGGCCCAAGGCATCAACAACCTCTCCAATGTTTGGAACACCGCCGATGGAGAATGTAACGTTATGATCGAAACGGAACTATCCAAAGTGTATGAGAAGATCGATCTAACCCTTCTCAACCGACTGCTGCGTCTGATCATGGACCATAACTTGGCTGATTACATCACCTCGAAAAATAACGTTCAGCTCAATTACAAGGACATGAATCATACAAACAGCTACGGCATGATTCGTGGCCTCCAGTTCTCAGGCTTTGTTTTCCAATATTATGGTCTCGTTATCGACTTACTCCTGCTGGGCTTGCAACGAGCAAGTGAAATTGCAGGTCCTCCCCAGAGTCCGAATGATTTCTTGCAGTTCAGAGATCGTGCAACTGAAACAAGGCACCCTATCCGCCTATACACAAGATATATTGACAAAATTTGGGTTTTTTTGAGATTCTCCGCCGATGAATCACGAGATCTTATCCAAAGGTTTTTGACTGAGCAGCCGGATCCGAATTTCGAAAACGTTATCGGGTATAAAAACAAAAAGTGTTGGCCAAGAGATTCAAGAATGCGGCTGATGAGACATGACGTTAACCTGGGTCGTGCCGTCTTTTGGGATCTCAAGAATCGCCTTCCAAGATCCATCACCACTATTGAGTGGGATGACACCTTTGCCAGTGTGTACAGCAAAGACAATCCAAATCTGTTATTCTCAATGTGCGGGTTTGAGGTTCGCATTTTGCCCAAAATCCGCAATCAGAATGACGAGTTCCCAGTCAAGGACAGCGTTTGGTCCTTAGCAGATAACACGACCAAGGAACGAACGGCGTATGCATTTTTACAGGTTACGGAAGAAGATATCCAGAAGTTCAACAATCGGATAAGGCAGATTCTGATGTCTTCTGGCTCGACTACATTTACCAAAATTGCTAATAAGTGGAATACGAGTCTGATCGCTCTGTTCACATATTATCGGGAAGCAGCTGTATCTACCGTCAACCTCTTGGATACTATTGTTAAATGCGAAACCAAAATCCAAACAAGAGTTAAGATAGGGTTGAACTCTAAAATGCCGTCCCGTTTCCCCCCTGCTGTGTTCTATACCCCCAAGGAATTAGGAGGTTTAGGAATGATTTCTGGTTCTCACATACTTATTCCAACGAGCGATAAACGATGGTCGAAGCAAACTGATACCGGTGTCACCCATTACCGAGCTGGTATGTCCCATGATGAGGAGACCTTGATCCCCAACATCTTCAGGTACATTATACCTTGGGAGGCAGAATTTACAGATTCCCAACGCGTTTGGATGGAATATTCTCAGAAACGACAAGAGGCAAATCAACAAAATCGTCGATTAACTCTTGAAGATTTGGAAGACAGCTGGGATCGCGGTCTTCCACGCATCAACACTCTCTTCCAAAAAGACCGAAGCACACTTAGCTTTGACAAAGGCTTCCGTACGCGCACTGAATTCAAAACATATCAATTGATGAAGAGCAATCCTTTCTGGTGGACCAGTCAAAGACATGATGGGAAACTGTGGAATCTTAATGCCTATCGAACCGATGTTATCCAAGCTCTCGGGGGTGTTGAAACGATTCTGGAACACACATTGTTCAAAGCCACAGCGTTTC